ACTTTCATTTTGGCGGTTTTTTTGAGCGAATTTGACAAAGATCAGTTTGAAAATGCAAATTGCTCGATGTAAAATTACCACTGGTAATTTTTTGGAAATGGGCGGGGTTTGTGTGAAAAAGTAGTTTGAAGGGTCTTGAACAATGTTGGGCAAAAATTGACGAGTTTTATGCAAATTTTGTTAATTATTTTGATGCATGGCATAAATAACAGTCGTGTTCGGGATTCTAGTGGATATTTAACTTATCTTAGGTGGCAGTTTTTGCCTGTTTTGGCGATTTTTTTGGACCCTACCAGATCTTGATGGTCATGGTGAATATATGGCCAAAATCGATATTTTGCGGTAGTTTAAAAAGAGACTTCTTGTCCTATCCTCAAGCAAATGGCCCAAGGATTATTACAAGCCAAATTTAACTTATGCCCTTAGGCATTTAACCAGGTTTTTACTTATTTGTTCAAAAATTTTGGTTTTTAAGGGTCATGGTGAATATCTGCTCGAAATCGATATTTCACGGTTGTTTAAAAAGAGCCTTCTTGCTCTATCTTCAAGCCAATTTATCAAAAATGATTACAAGCGAAAATATAGCTTATGCCCTTAAGGCATTTAGCTGCTTTCTGCCCATTTCTTTGAAAAATTTTCGCTTTTAATGGGCATGGTGAATACCTCCTCAAAACCGATATTTTACGGTAGCTTAAAAAGAATCTTCTTATTCTATCTTCAAGTCAAGAGCCAAAACATTGTAACAAGTCCAAGCTAACTTACCCCCTTAAGGCATTTAGCTGATTTCCGGCCATTTCTTTGAAAATTTTTGTTTTTGACAGTTATAGTGAATATCCCGCAAAATCACATGTCTTCTCAAACATCTTTTGTAATATCGATATTAAAAACACCTCTACTTTGATTAGTCATCACTTTAGTGGCCACTTGACTTTAGAGGTGTAAAGCCCGATTTCATCAATTCCTCGGAAATGTCATCATTTTTAAAATTTCCATTTTCTAAACTATCTAACCACCTAATCCCACCAAATTTACAACCGTCATACATTAAACGACACTTTACACTTCGGTATCCCCTCAGCTAAACCCACAACACCTACGGTAGCATCATCTTAGGGCCCGAAATTGCGTCGCCCAAAAATCCAATTAAAATTTGAGCAAATCCTCGGCTCGAAACCATCCGTTTTTTCGATTATTAAATGCCAGATTGTGGTGGGCATTACGGCCAGTGTGCTCCCATTCTCCTCTGCCCGTTCCTTATCAGATGTGGGGCTCAATTTGAATAAAAAGTCGATTTTTCGATAGTTTTTCGCGATCTTGTTTATTGTTTTCGGTGTGGAGTGGCCTGCTTTTTTCGATATACCGCGTTTCGACTCCCAGTTTTTCGCCATTTTGATCTAGTTTATCAAATGTATCGATAATCCGTAACGGTTTTTTTGGAAGTCGGGCCTTTTGCAGTGATTTTTTTCGAAAAAACTAATCAAAAAACTTTGTTATCGCATGTATTTACGTGCAAAATTGTCTGACAGGAATCTACGTTGTATATTTTGTCTAGTATTGCTTTTTCTGACCCTTGAAAATGGCTAAAATACGCGCTTTTTACTAAATTTTCCTAAATTTTTTGATAAAATTTCAGTTTTTAATTACTTTGTGCAAATAACTCGCCAAAAGATAATAGTTTTTTCGGACTACACACCCTGAACCCTCACGTAAAGGTTTGCTCGACCGTGTTGTTTAATGATAAGAGTTTGAAATTTTGTTTTCAAATTCGGCGGCCGATGTTTTGAAAGCTGTTCAAAAAATCATTTTTCCTACGCAACCGCTGTGTACAGGGGAGTGCTAATATATTGGGTATTTTCTAGGCATTAGAGTGGGTGAAAATCAATGCGAACGTTTGGGGTACCCCTAATTTTACAGTAGCTAAACGAGGCTTCAAAATTTTGGCAAAAATTTTGAGCAAATTTTGGGTCCCCTCAAAAAATCTCGTTTTCTCTCGTGGCCTGTAACGACTGGGATTTCTGTGTGCCAATAGTGGACACTAGTAGCTTGATTATGATACCATAACTGTTTATAATCCTGCTTAATTACTATGATTTTTTCGGCTTGAAAGTTTAGAGACCAAAATTTTATAAAATGTAAATTTTTCGCCAAAATATCCACATTTTTCTTGAGGTTGATACAAAATATTTCAGTTATAAGATAGCAGGTCCCTGGGCTGTATTTTGATACTAAAATTGTGTTGCTGGCTATTCAAATACTAGACTTTTTTGGACCTTGAACTTTGGTCATCAAATTTTTTGGATTCTCTCAAATTTCCTTCAAAAAATCGGTTGTTTCAGAAGTTTTTGAGCATAAGATCGTATCAGCATGAAAGCTGAGGTAACTAGCTTCATTTTGATACTACCCTTGTTTTTCTGGCAATTCAAATACTAGAACTTTTTGCACTTCGCACTTTGGTCATCAAATTTATGGATAATCTCAAATTTCTTTTAAAAATCGGGCGCTTCAAATTTTTTGTGTCTCAAATCATATCAGCATAAGAGCTGAGATAACTGGCTTTATGTCGATACCATACTTTCCAATATTACTACTCAATAACCACCTTTTTTTATAACTTTTCCTCCTCGAGTTCATCCAGTAAACTTTGTCCATTCCCACTCGTGTCTCCCACGGAACGTAAATTCAAAAATATTTTCCGAAATAGTTTTCGTTACAAACTGCCCTTCTCGTCGCTAAAAGGGCACGGTTCGACCGATCATTTTCCCATCTCACGTTGCAGCGACCTTTGAAAATTTCGACGTTTTTCACAAATCTCATGATTTTTTTTTTGCTTTTTGGGGTGTTTCAAAATTTGTGTTTTGAAAAAAAAATTTTTTCTCGAACTCTTTTGTTATTATGGCAATGTTTTTTCAAAGCCTTTTGATGAGAGAAAGGAAAAAGTTTTTTTGGAGCGTTTATAATTAATTTTTTGTTCAATTTGATTCGTGTGGTTATCAGTCAATTCGATTCACATTTCGGAGTTTTTTCGGAATTTTTGTGAAGTTCTTACGGTTTTCATGACCATGAGACGTACTTTTTGCGGTTTTGGGTGGCGATTTTCGTTTTGAAAATTTAAAATTTTGGGATTTTTTGCTTTAAATTGGTTTAAAATACGGATTCCAACAATTTGCTGTCTAATATTCAGCTCTACTAATATTATAAATCACATTTCTGACCATTTATCTAACTTTGCATGAGCTGGGATTCGAACTTGCGACTAATCGAGCCGTTGCTTAACTCGCCAGATCGGACACAATTTGAGACATTTTTGGAAACTTTTAGTTTTACAGTAAAGTACAGTAAGAGACAAGGAGTAAAGTTGAAAATAGTTAGTATAGGATATTTCTCAACCAACCATAATATTTCTCCCCTGAGGCTATTTTCCAAGGACAAGAAATTGAGACTTCTTTTTAAGTCACCAAACCGGGAAAATTTTGAAATTACTTGGAAAATACAGTATGATTCCGGGTAAAAATCATTTGCTTTGTAGCTACATAGAATTTTTTGGAGTCAGAATATTGTTTTAGCCTTTCAAATTTAAGTTTTTACCAATAATTTGACATCATCTTTTTTAGTCATCAATTTGGAAAAAATTTTAATTTTCTTAAAAAGTACAGTAACCTCGAAAGAAAAATTGTTCCAAATATTCTTCTCAAACCCTGTTGTCATCGGCTACAATGTTTTCGCATTAATTTCCTGTCACTTTTCAAGGCTTCCGACCTTATTTTAGTCATCATTAAGGTTCAAAAATCTCTTGATCAATTTCCCCAAAATTTCCGAAAACCGCGGCGCCAAAAGGCACCCCAAAACTTTTGCAGGTCCCATTGATAGTGCGCGTAAACAACAATTGCCCAACGTGACTTGTTTTATTGCTCCAACTGATACTTTATCATCTCCCGAAAAGGTTTGAAATTCGGCAACTCCGGAAAATTTTTAAAACACTCTTTTTCTTCGCCACCATTCCTCTCGCCGAATCTCGGCGAATTTCCACGTTTCTCCCGCTCTATTTCCCCATTCGCCTTCGTTTCGGCCGCTCTCCGCTTTCGGCGCGCTATTTTTTTGCTCCGTTCCATAAATATTAGTTTTTGCGCGCTTTAAAACGACCGAATTAACAGTGAAGAACATAACTGATACAAAGCAGAGAAAGAAATAGGGGGAAGTTTCTTCTTCGCCCGCCCCAAAAATGGGCCGCGGCCGATCGCCGCGAAAAAAATGAAACTGTTTGTAAAAAAAGTGGCGAAATTTTCGGAAATGAAACACCCTACTTGTTTTCGATGGGCTTTGCGAACTGTTTTCGTAAAGTCATAAGAAGATGGGATTGGAATTTGGGGCGGAAATTTGAATAATTTATATTGCACTTGGTATGGATGTAAAGAAATGATTATTGTGAAAAATCTAGTGAAGCCTACGGCCTGAAATTTCATCGAAGCGTAGAAGTCATCGTATTTTACCAAGTTTAATATTTTCCGGGTTCAAATTTGCAATTTCTCTCCTAAGCCTGGGCGCAGCTCGCGCTTCCAAAAATCCTCAATTTTTGTCGAATTCCGAGAAAATCTCAGTTGATAACCTTTTCCAGTGTCTTATTTTACTTTTTTCATTTATTTTTACCCCCTTTCCACCTAGTATTTACTCGATTTCACCCATATTCCATCAATTTATATTATTCATGGCAGATTTGATCTCTTTCCCCTTATTTCCCTTGATTTTCCGCGTGTTTTTGGAAATTTTCTGTCCTCAACAAACGATTTCGACTTTGTCGCGTTATTTCCACTGCAGAAAAGTTGCATAATCTCGCGTTGTTCAACAATTTTCGCGATTTTTCTGCGCTCGGCGCCGATTTATTGCCCAAAAATTCGCAAAGTTCATTCCGAATTTGTTGCAGGCTCCAAGAACGGGGAAAAGTCTTGATCAGCTTCTGCACAAAACCCCTGCTCGAGCTTCATTGGTCCGCCCCGCGAAACAGGATGCTTACCGATTCTTCGGATCTGGTGGATGCCAACAAGTCCGAGGCCGAAAATCTCCAACAATTGATGATGCAGCTGCAGGTATGTGGTGTTATTTTGAAGCTGTTGGGTTGATAATGCTATCTGGAAACATTTTGCTACCAAAAATTTGGTTTGGAGGGGTGAATTTTTGGTCCGACCTTATTTTAGGTGATGTTGATGGAGATTTCGATTTTTTGATGGGTAAACCAATGTTATTTTGATGTTTATCGACTAGATGTAGCTGTTAAATTTTCTGGCGGTTCTTTTGAGATGAAAAACCAAACCATTCATCTTCTTGCTTATCAGATTTTATCGATTTTTCCCACCGAAACCTCTCCAAACTCTTCTTTCTCCTCCAGCTCGCTTTTACTGTTACAGTAGCCCAAAAATCGGATTGTAGATTGCTCTAGGCACTGAGGCAATGTCCTTAGCATCCCATTCGTCACAAAATTTCGCACGTAGAGCATGGGATTAGCGGCGAAAAATCCGCTTTTCCCCGCTCCCGCCCCTTTCCCTACCGTAGCGTTTTACAGCGCCGCCGGATGGCCCAATAAAGACCCTCAGGGGGATGCGTGCGGACTCTTCTCTTTACTATCGAACCGTCCAACTTCGACGGACTGTTTACAAAATTTCGCACCGTTATTTTCGAAACTTTTTCCCGTCCCCCCCTCCATCCCCATTTTTCTTCGATTTTATCGATGCGAAAAAACAGTCACGCTGCCCATGGAAGAGCGCGTTTTTTAGCGTCGTTTAAACGAATTATTAATTTCGCGAAGAGGAGTCGACGCCGATCGCAGTTTGCCGATAAGCGGAGGGTCCGCAAAAAATTTTGGAAATTTCAATAAAAACACCGAGAAAAAACCGCTTATCGCAAATGTTTCCAAGCCTTTGTGGTGTTGTGGAGGGCCGATACAGTAGCGGAAGAAGTGCTGTGTTATCAGCGATACGGTCCGGGAAGGTGCAGGGAATCAAAAGTTGCGGTTTTGCAAATTTTTCGATTTTTTGGGGGGCTCTTGGTAAAATAAGGTAAAATTCGAAATTTTTTTTGGAGTTATTGAGGTAATTTTGATTGTATAATTGAGTAAAGACTTTGTTAATTATATTTTAGAATATTTTAGGGCAGCTGAAGTTAGTTTTATATGATTTTTTTAGGAAAAAAAAGAAAATTTGGGGTTTTTTGGCTAAAATAAGGTAAATTAGAGTTTGAAAAGGTCTTAAATTGCCTTTAAATGAGTGTATATAGAAGATGAGACCTTGAAAAGTGTTTACAATGAGATTTTTCACAATTTCTCAACGATTTTTTATCGAAAAATTGAGGAAAATTGAAAATTTAGGCATGTTTTGCTAAAATAAGGTAAATTAGGGGTTGAAAAGGTAAAAAAAGGTTTAACTTGCCTTCAAATTAATGTATATAAAAGATGGGACCTTGATAACTATTTACAGCATAATTTTTCACAATTCTCCACGGATTTTTTTACCAAAAAATTGAAAAAATCCCCAAAAAAAGTTGAAAAAATTAACCAACCGTTTTTTTCAGAATGCTCAGAACTCGAACGGAACCTCCTCAATGTTCGACACGCTCTTCAACCAAGCCCTCTTCCAGAACGGCCGCTCCTCGGCGCAGACCGAGCACGCCGAGCAGTCGCCCGTCTTCTCCGAGCCCACCACCCCAGCCATAAACTCGAACGACCTGATGTCGCGCCTCCTCAACGACCACCCACCGCAGCCGCAGCAGCCGGCCCAGAACGAGCTGGACCCCCAGCAGTTGTTGAACTTCCTGGCGACGCTGAACCCGGCCGAAGGCGGCGCCGATTTGATGAGGTTGTTGGGCCCCAATGCCACCTCCTTGTTGGGCCCGCTGGACACACAGACAATGAATAAGGTTGGTGATTGTGGTGTTTATTATTTATAAAGGGTGTGAAGAGGCTTTGGGGAAAATTTTTGGGCCATAGGGTTACTGTAATTTTAGTTATAATAAGGTCTTTGGATAGCGGAATTTTTGAAATTTCTTGGGAAATTCAAAATAATTTTGTTGTTTTTTGATGTGTAGAGATAGAATAGGGTCTAGAAGAGGCTTTTGTGAAGTTTCAGGGCATTTGGATTACTGTAATTTTTGTTATAAGCGGGTTTTCGATTTTTTGAAATTTCTTGAAAAATTCAAAATAATTTTATTATTTTTTTGATGTACAGGGATAAAACAGGGTCTAAAAAAGGCTGTTGTGAATTACTGGGCCGTTCGGATTACTGTACTTTTCAATTTTGCCAAAAATTTTTAACGGGAAACACTAGGAAAAAGTCTTGGAAAAACGAGATTTTTTGATGGGTTTGATCAAGTTAATGATCATGCCATGTCTTTTCGAGTGTTTAATTATCTATTTTGGCTTTTGGATTACTGTAATTTTTGATAATTTTAAAAAAATTGCGATTTTTTTAAAATTTTTCGATTTTACCCTAATTTCCCTAATTTTTCAGCCGCAAAAGCGCTCAAACGTCAGCACCACCGCCTCGCCAGCGCCACAACACTCGGACGACCGGCCGGTCGCTAAAATGCCCCGCCTCACCGCGCAAACCGAGAAGAAGGACAGCGATTTGCTGGAGAAGCTGGACCTGGGCAACTTCCTCCTGCAACAGGCCCAAAAACAGATCCGCTCGCCCACCAACTCGCCCGAAAACACCCCACCCACCCCGCACGTCAACGTCCCCACCTCATCGGACCCGGCGAGCGTCCTCAACCAGCTGCTTCCCAGCTTATCCATGCCCAACTTCAACTTCCCAATGTTCCCAAACTTCAACAGCCAGTCGCTGGGCCTCGAAAACCAACTCGACATGGCCCGCATGGCCCAACTCGTCAACCAGGCCCAGCAGGTCCCCAAAACACCGAAACGACAGTACTCCTCCACCAGCAAGAATTACTGCGACCTGTGCAACAAAGAGGTCTGCAACAAGTATTTTTTGAGAACACACATGCTCAAGATGCACAATATCGTGATTGATGAGAATAAGAGCGTCATCGCTAACATTGATACACTCGAGAAGGAAAAGGAAGGAGGGTTGAGCTTCAGGTAGGAGAGTTGGGAGGATTTTGGGGGTTTGGAGAGTTTGCACTGTGCGAAATATGGGAAATTTTTGATTTTTTTGCACGGTGCGAAATTTTTGGTTTTTTGCACTGTGCAAAATTTATGATTTTTTGCACGGTGCGAGATTTTTGATTTTTTTGCACGGTGCGAAATATGAGAAATTTTTGAATTTTTTTGCACAGTGCGAAATTTTTAATTTTTTTGCACGGTGCGAAACATGAGAAATTTTAGATTTTTTTTGCACAGTGCGAAATTTTTTGATTTTTTGCACGGTGCGAAATATGAGAAATTTTTGATTTTTTTTGCACAGTGCGAAATTTTTGATTTTTTTGCACGGTGCGAAACATGAGAAATTTTAGATTTTTTTTGCACAGTGCGAAATTTTTTGATTTTTTGCACGGTGCGAAATATGAGAAATTTTTGATTTTTTTGCACGGTGCGAAATATGAGAAATTTTTGATTTTTTTTGCACTGTGCGAAGTTTTGGATCTTTTGCACTGTGCAAAATTTTTGATTTTTTTGACTGCACTGTGCGATTTTTAAATTTTTTCACCGCACAGTGCAAACTTTCACTGCACAGTGCAGTGAAAAGTTGATTGCACTGTGCGATGAGAAAATTTTTTATTCTGCACTGTGCAAAATTTGGCGTTTCTTTTTTTTTGCACGGTGCGAAAATTTAAGTTCTTATTTTTCCCGCACAGTGCAATTCGATTTTTTTTCTAAATTGTTTGCAGACTTCTTGGAGGTTTTGGATAAACTTTCAATTATTGTATCGCTAATTGAAGACATTTCAGATGCGACCTGTGCAAGATCAAACTGGACACCCGCACCCAGCTGCGCGACCACAAACGCGACGCGCACGGGATCATGCCGCTGACGAACGCGCAGCCCGTCCCCAGCACCAACAACAACAACCACGCCGGCTCCTCGGCCTCCTCCGAGTGCGAGGTCAGCCAAAAAACCCCGACCAACTTCGACAGCACCCAGGAATTCACGAAATTGGAGCCCCAGGACACGGTACCGCCGCCCAGCTCGAGCTCCTCCACCGCCTCCATCTCGGAGGAGTGCTGCCCCGTGTGCGTGGGCAAAATGGAGGCCGAGAAGCTGAGCCTGCACCTGATGACTCACCACAGCAACCAGCTCAGCCAGACCTTCCTGGACGGCATGAAGGCCGAGGATCAGGTGCTGGAAAGCGTCGATGAAGCCGCCCTGAGGTTCGCCAGAGGCCGAGAGGAGTTCAGGCCCGGGAATAAGGAGGAGAAACACTCACATACTGTAGGTTGCAGGGGATTTTTGAAAGGAATGGGATTTGGGGAGAAATGAAATTTTTTTTGGGACCTTGTTTTAGATGAATTTTTGGTGATTTTTGATTGAATTTAGATGATTTTGTGGGTAAAATGGATAGAATAGAGAGTGTAGAGAATTTAGAGACTATTGGGATTTATTTTGGACACTTTTTCACATTATTTTAGAACAAAATTTTTTTTTTCAAAAATTTTTTTTTTGATTTTGTGGAGTGGTAATAGCTAAATCAAGAAGGTTATGACCTCAAAGCTTATTTAAAAATATTTTACCCTCGATTTTACCTTGATTTAGATTATAAAAATTAATTTTTTTTTCAATTTTTTAATTTTTTTTCAAATTTTTTTTTTAATTTTTCGAAGTGGTAGTAGCTAAATCAAGAGGGTTATGATCTCTAAAATTGTTTAAAATTATTTTGCACTCGATTTTACCTTGATTTAGATTATAAAAATTAATTTTTTTGAAATTTTTTTCAAAATTTTTTAATAATTTTTGACTTATTTCCCCCATTTTCAGTCCGGCTCCGCCTCCCCGCTCTCCGTGAACATCCCCGAAGCCTACTTCCAAAATCTGGAGACCTCGAAAACAATGCACAATCAAACCGTCGTCCTGAAAGTACTGGACCAAAACGCCAATCTCCCCGAGGAACTGTTGGCCTACCTGCCGGTCAAGACCCAAATCACCCAACCCATCCGCCTCACCATCGAACTTCGTCCCACCCCCGACCCGAAAGAAGTCTAACTCTACCCAATTAATTATCGTTTATAGCGTTTTGATAACAACCTTACAGTAAATATGTCTCGTCTTTTTTTTTACTTTGTTCTATATACCTGAACGGGAATCCAAATCTCTAATCAGTTACCCCCGCAGGTCATTTTTTTGGGGTCGGGAGGTTTGAGTTTTTTTTGCACGGTGCGAAATTTTGAATTTTTTGCACAGTGCAGATTTTTAGAATTTTTGCACCGTGCAGATTTTTAAATTTTTTGCACGGTGCAGATTTTTAGGATTTTTGCACAGTGCAGATTTTTTTGAATTTTTGCACAGTGCAGATTTTTAAATTTTTTGCACGGTGCAGATTTTTAAAATTTTTTGCACGGTGCAGATTTTTAGAATTTTTGCACAGTGCAGATTTTTTTAATTTTTGCACGGTGCGGATTTTTGAAATTTTTGCACGGTGCAGATTTTTTAAATTTTTTTGCACCGTGCAGTTTTTTAGAATTTTTGCACAGTGCAGATTTTTTTGATTTTCGCACAGTGCTAAATTGTTTCTTCGCACAGTGCAATCGACCAAATTCGATTGCACTGTGCAGTGCAAAATTTTTTTGCACAGTGCAAAAAAATCAAGAATTTTTGCACAGTGCGACAAATTTCAAACTTTCCGAAATTCCAAATCCGACCCCTTCATGCCCTGCGGGCATCTCCAATTAGGTCTAAACTTATTAAAACTGCAAAGTCTCGCCGACTTTCAGTGCTGCTAGTTTATCGTTTTTTGTGCATAATTCCATTCCTCGTAGAGTTTGACTACCAAAAAAGCGCAGACTAGGTCGTAGCTGTGGCTGTGGATTTCTCACCATCTTACATTTTACGAAAACCTCGGACTTTTGACGCGAATTCGCGTACTTTTTTGCGGCGACGGCAATATTTTTTGTGTTTTTGAGTTTTTTCGATTGTTTTTCATAGGTTTTCTTGCTAAATCTCGTATGTTTGGGACGAAATTGGCCTGTCAATTATTGATCTTTGAATTTTTGGCTAAAATACGACCTAAAATACGATTTTCCAATTTTGAGATTTTTTGAAGTTTTTCGATTTTTTCTATTTTTTTGCTACTTACAACTACTTACAATTAGCTTCAGAAATAGTATTTGTCTCGCTTATCTGTGTATATATGCATTTTCACAGTTATTTTCACATTTTTCGAATTTTTTTATTTTTGAAATTTTTTGATTTTTTCTCCATTTTTCAATTTTTTTTTATTTTTTTTTCGAATTAGCACTGGATAGGTTGTAAAACGCGTTTAAAGTCGTACAAAAAAAGAAGAAATTAAACCCCCTCAGTCTATAAAATATTGTTTTTCCGTTTTCTCATCGTGTCATAAAACGTTTTGTCTTTGTGGAAAAAGTTCTTCGAAATGTCATGAAAACATTAAATAAAACTTATTAATTTGAAGTGTGAACTTATTTTGTCGGATATTGAGGTAATTTGATAAAAATTTTAAAAAAAGTTTTTGCACGGTGCGAAAAAAATGAAGAAAATTGCACTGTGCGAAAAAAAGAGGCGACTTTGTGCGCACTGTGCGAGAAAAGAAGCGACAAGTCCTCCGCACTGTGCGAAAAAACAAACAAAATGTCTGCACTGTGCGAAATAAAGACGCGACAAGCCCTCCGCACTGTGCAAAAACAGAAGCGACAAGCCCTCCGCACTGTGCGAAAAAACAAACAGAATGTCTGCACTGTGCGAAATAAAGACGCGACAAGTCCTCCGCACTGTGCGAAAAAACAAACAAAATGTCTGCACTGTGCGAAATAAAGACGCGACAAGCCCTCCGCACTGTGCAAAAACAGAAGCGACAAGCCCTCCGCACTGTGCGAAAAAACAAACAGAATGTCTGCACTGTGCGAAATAAAGACGCGACAAGCCCTCCGCACTGTGCGAAAAAACAAACAGAATGTCTGCACTGTGCGAGAAAAGAAGCGACAAGTCCTCCGCACCGTGCGAAAGAAGAAACCAGGACTCTGCACTGTGCGAAACAAGGAAGCGAAAAGCCCGCACTGTGCAAAAACAGAAGCGACAACTGACCTGCACTGTGCGAAACAAGGAAGCGAAAAGCCCGCACTGTGCAAAAACAGAAGCGACAACTGACCTGCACTGTGCGAAACAAAGACGCGACAAGCCCTCCGCACTGTGCGAAAAAACGAGCGAAATGTCTGCGCTGTGCGAAAAAAAGAAGCGACAAGTCAGCACGGTGCACAAAAAGGAAAATGGGAGCAGCGACAAAGAAGCAAAATAAACGAAAAGGGGGGAAAAATTCAAAAGAGAACTTTTTGGTTTGCACCGTGCAGAAAATAAAAACTTTGCGGATTGCACTGTGCATTCCATGTTTGGAACTGCATCGTGCAAAATAAAGAACTTTTGTCATCCTGTCGGGAAAATAATGGCCATTCTGTCGCAGCGAAAATCGTATCGCCGTTTTAACTGTGTCGCTGCAAAATCAAAAACATTTTTTTTATTTCAGCGACGCGCAGCAACATTGCGCTCATTATTTTCCCGACAGCCTGGTTCAACATGAGATTTTTTAAGTCTGTCGGGAAAATAATGCGGATTTTTCGCGCCTTAGAATCGCCTATCAGCGCGTTGCGACGGCTATCAGAGATTTGATGCGCTACTACGACAAAGTGACAATTTTTCTGCGACAATCCAACGTTATTTTCCCGACAGACCGATATGACGAATTTCACTCTGCTTTGTTTACGGATTCATTATACAATATTCTCCGATTTCACAAGTTTATTTTTACATTTTCGTTCTCTTATGATTATGAGAATATGGGAACATATAATAAATGTGCACGTAAACTGGATTCGAGTTCTTTCATTAATTTCTAAACTCGTTGACGACCAAAAATTATTTCCAGAAAACATAAACACATAATATAGTTTATGACAAAAGGAATATAATTACTGGTTCTAATGGAATAACAGAAAGGTTCAAGTGTCTGGAACGTACATATGTAGCACGTATATACATATGTGTTGTATTTTACACTAAAAAGCGAATTTTTCAAAGTGAGACACTCAGATTTTCCCTCAATGCCATTAAATTGCACACACTTCGGGAATCGGTTACATATCAGTCTGTCGGGAAAATAACGGCGGATTGTCGCATCAAAACCGTTGCGGCAGAACTCTACCCCTTTTCTGAACTTTACCCCAATCTGAACTTTACCCCTTTTTCAACTCTACCCCAAAAAAGTCTCTACCCCTTTTTTTGATTTTCGCCAAAAAATCTGAACTCTACCCATTTTTGAACACTACCCCATTTTGAAAATTGAAAAAATAAGGTGTGACATCTTATACGATGAAAATTTTTTCAAATTGAAAATAATAAGGTATGACATCTTATACGATGAAAATTTTTTTTAAATCGAGAAAAATCAGGTGTGACATCTTATACGATGAAATTTTTTTTTCAAATTGAGAAAAATCAGGTGTGACATCTTATACGATGAAAAAATATTTTCAATTTGAAAAATTTTTTCATCGTATAAGGTGTCACACCTAATTTTTTCAATTTTCAAAATGAGGGGTAGTGTTCAAAAAGGGGTAAAGTTCATTCAAGGGGTAGAGTTGAAAAAGGGGTAAAGTTCTGAAGGGGTAAAGTTCGAAAAGGGGTAGAGTTGAAAAAGGGGTAAAGTTCAGAAAAGGGGTAGAGTTCAGGTTCAACCCATCAAAACGCCTCGCCTCACCGCCATTGCGCACCAAATGTCCAGCTTCGGCAGCCGTCGCAAAGCGATGATGGGCGATTTCGAGGCGCCACGAACCGCCATTATCAGTCTGTCGGGGAAATAACGGCGGATCTCGTTGCGCATCGGAATCGCTCATCATCGCTTTGCGACTGCAAGCTGCGGCTTGGGATTTGGTGCGCGATAGCGGCGAGGCGAGACATTTTGCTGCGACGATTCGCCGTTATTTTTCCGACAGACTGATATCAATTCCTAAAAATTTTAGCTCACACATTGCAACTGCCGCCGGGATGTTTAAAAATCTTCGTCGCTGAGAGCGTACGTGAAAATGCAGAGAGCGAGAGAAACCGCTTTTTAGCCATATCTTTCACAATTTTATGCGGAAAAAACTGATTTTTTGTGGAAGCGTTACCTACTACGGTAGAAAAAGGAGTGAAACTTTTCATGTCAAAATGTGCAAAAAAGTAGCCCGCTTTTAAAAAATCTTGGTCCTCATAGCAAAACACGAGCTATCAGTTGTCTCAGAAGAAAATTGTCTGAACCTTTCTGTGCTACAGTCTGTCGGAAAAATAATGCCGATCTTTCGCAGCAAAACTTCTCGCCTAGGCGCACTTTTTGTTGCGCTGCACGGTGCATTTTGCGGTTTTTGCATGGTACGCCATTTCGAACCATTTAGCACCGTGTAACGATATTTCCACTGTTGAAATGCAGAGCAGAGCTGCGACGAAAAGTCTACTAACTTTTGAAAAATCGTAGTGTAAGCCTGTCGGGAAAGTAATGTGGATTTGTAGGGTAGAACGCGACGCCGGAGTCTCACCTGCGTCTTACAATTGTCAATAAATATTTGGCAAAATTTGTGCAAATTTTCTTCAAAATCCCAGCGTCGCACCTTGAGCACTGCCCCTGTATTATCTTTAGTCTGTCGGGAAAATAATGAACACCATGTTTCTGCGCCAATCGCATCAGTGAAGTGAAAATCAACTTGATTTTTCCGCGATAAAAACGTTCTTCGCTGCGACAGAATGCTCATTATTTTCCCGACAAACTAATATTGTTTCATTTCTTCCTTGTTAAATCGACAATTTTCGACATTCTCCAGCCCATAATCCGTTTGCATCAGCCCAATATCATAGTCATTAATAAATTCATTAAAAACGCGGCGGGTTGAAAAGCAATTCTCGTCGCCCCGGGCAACCGAGCATTTTTCCCTCCGCTTTTTCGCGCCCTCTCCATTGCGGCCGGTCTTTTCGGCGCCCCCGATTACCACGGTAACTATCGGCGTCTTCGGCCCTCCCTGACGGCATGGAATTACCCAAACGGCTGGGATCTCCGATAATCAGCCGCCTATTTTGGGGCCGCGCTTCCAGACAGTTCGCGAAGCGAAAATGAACTGTTTTGCGGGGGAATTTTGATATTTTTTGTTTTGTTTTGGGTGTTAGATGGCTGTAAATTGGATTTTAGGGCTTTGCGAAGAGTCACGGAGTACGAGCGGATTGAGTTTTGTGTTTATAAGCCTATTTAGCCGCAAATTGAAAGGTTTTTGGGGGAAATTTTGAGATTTTTGAAGAGTTTTTGGATTGTTTTGAATACTCATCTTTTTTTGTGAGTATTGTAAATTAAATTTAGACTTTTTTTATGAAGTAACGAAGATAGTTCAGGGATGATTTTTCGATTTTAAGGCTCTTATTAATAAAATAAAACATTTTTTGGGATTTTTTGTGATTTTTTGGCCGTTTTTTTCATTTTTTTTATTCTTTTTTTATTTTGAAAGCTTTAAATTTAATTTTAGAGCCTTTTCAACGAGAATTAAGTTGCACCGAACAACTTATTTTATTTATAAACCCCTTTATTAGATATTTTAGCCTTTTTTCAGCGATTTCTGGCTAATTTTCGGCATTTTCTAAACAATTTTTTTGATTTTTAATGTCTGGAAATTCACCGTGGTGGGCCCGTATTTTACCCGTTAATCTTTTTTATGTTTTTTTATCTATTTTTTTATTTGATCTTTTATTCGAAATTTTAAACTTGTTTTTTTCGAGTTGCATAGCATTTTACAACTACAACTTTTTCGTTTCAGCAATGAGTAACGACTGGGTAACACACAATCTGCAACGACAGGTAAGGAAACTGAATTGTCTTTTGCTTATCTTTTTTGCTTTCATACTATGTAATTCATTGCAAAGCGCGCTATTAAATGTTTTGGAAAAAGTTCCTTATTTTGGCCACAACAAGGGTACTCCGCGAACTGCGCCCAAGCTTGGGCACTAAAGTTAGGAAAAAAACGCTTCGACCTAGCTGGCACTGAATTACTGTAATAGCTCCATAGTTTAAAGGGTACCTACGAAGGCTGTGACGACTCATTTTAGTTCTATACGGAGGCAATAAGTTTAGTTCCGGACATGTTTCATCGTATAAAGTGTAAAATCACAGGCTGCAGCCGTTTTTGAAGAGTAAGGTGGTGCGTAAAAAAGAAGGTACCTCGCTAACTAAATCCACTATCCGGGCATTGACAACGATGAATTGAGCGTGCACGCTAAATTTGGGCTAATTCCGACCAGTTTCCGCAAAGTTATAAGTTGTGGCCAAAATAAGGAACTTCTACCAATTTTTTTGCGTCACATTGAAAAAAAAATAAATAGATTTTTTTTTTAAATACGTATTGCAGTAATGTTGAAAAAATGAGCACATTTTCTCTGCGCCAATCGGGTCGCTGAAGTGAAAAGCAATTTGATTTTGCCGCGACACAATTCATTTTCTCGGCGGTGATGCGGTTTTCGATGCGACAGAGTGCTCAATATTTTCCCGACAGACTAAGACATAAGGAAAAAAAATTACGAAATATGGAGGCACCAATTGCCAAAAACTTTCGCTCTGACAAGGGAAGTACCCCAAGTGCGACGCACGTCAAACTAAGGAGTCCGGTGACCGGAAACGACTCTTCGCCATCGGTTTTTTACACTTCGTCTTGATTTTGCAGAGAAAGAGAGAAAAAAGACACGCAAAAACGTACTCTCTCGCCCCAAAAATTCCCCATTTCTTCGCCGACAAAACGTTTTTTCGCGTCTTTTTTTGGCAAATTGTCAATCTATTCACCGGACTGTTTTAGCTTATCTCAGTTTGACGTGCGACGCTCAGATTTTCTTTAAATTTTGCACACACCTCGGTCATGAACTAAGTATCAATTCCTGAAAGTTTTAGCTCGCGCTTTGCAGGCGCCACCGAGATATTTAACGATTTTTGCCGCCGAGAGAGCACACTAAACGTGGAGAGCGGTCAGAGGGAAAATCACTTTTTGGCCATAACTTTGCTAGTTTCGCGCGGAAAAAATTGATTTTTTTGTGGAAACATTACCCTCTATGGAAGAAATAGGCAGGAAACTTTTTGTGCCGAAGTTCGGCAAAAATTGTCAAATTTTCGCCAACTTTCCATCCAAAAATCTCAGTCGTTTCTGCAAAGCGCGAGCTAGGATTCTCGCATATGTCTTAGAAAAAAACATTCTAAATTTGTGCCAAGTTTCATCAAAATCTGAGCCTCGCACTTGGGGTACTTCCCCTGTTAGAGAGGGAAGCACTTTGCCACATTTTTGATGCTTCCCGGATGCAAAACGATACGTTTTTTGCCACTGGATCAGGTCCCCCACTGTACTAGTAGTTCCACAAAGTGCGTGGATTTTTTGTCGTAGGCCGCACCGTACACAAAAAGCTCTTTTTTGCCGCGTGCATTTGACCTTTTGCACCGTGCAAGCGCAATATCGCAGCGACGCAAGCTTTTCTCGATGGAATCGTTGCGATTTTCAGGAATTGCACAGTGCAAAATAATAAATATTTCGAAAAAGATGGCGTTGCGCGAGGAACAGAAAACTTGCACTGTGCGGTGCAAAAAAAAGCCCAAACAAAAGTCTACGCACTTTATGAAAATGCTAGTACTGTAATAAAGAAAAAAAATTTTTTTTAATAATTTTTCTATTTTTTGCACAGTGCAATACACTTTTCTCTACACTTTTTTCATTTCCAAAAACTTCGTATGTCATAATTGTTTACCCAGCCCGTCATCCACGTAGGGTATTATGTGGGATTACATAAGACGGACAAAGCAATTTTCTCGCGAAACTGCCTCAAATGCATTGATATTATCTACATTTTTTGGGGGAGAAATGTAATTGTATGCACCGTGCTGGGTAGTCATGACAATTGCTGTAATATATGGTTCAAATTGCGACATTTTCAAACGCATTTAATGTTTTCGGACTTTGGTTTGGAAGGTCAATAAGATTTTTAGAAAAAAATGTGTTTTGAGCTATTTGCACTGTGCGAAAAAACCAAAAAAAGTTGGTTTTTGGCCGCACGGTGCAAAATTTTTTTGTTTGTTTTTGATGATTTGTGGTACTGTGCAGAATTAGGCTAAATTTTTTACGGGCATTAAAAATCTTGTCGGGTTGATTTTTTACTGTTGCTAATGCTAACTCACCAGCGTATTACAAAAAAATTAAAAAAAATTTTTTTCCGAGAGGAAGAAACTTGACACATTAGGGAAAGATTTGTCACCAACTTCCAGTTCAATGCGGAATTTTCATTTTTTTTTCATTTCAAAATCTGCAAAAAAATGTTTTTTTGTTGTTTTTTGATTTGCTTGACTGAAAAAGAACTTTTGGTGCCACTATTTTTTTTTTGCTTCATGATTATTTGTCTTGTAAAGAATTGGTTCATAAAAAGTTTGCAGGTTGATGCTTCCGTTTCCAAATGAAAATTTATTTTTCTAGCTACTGCACTGAAATCTTGCATGTATTTCGTTTACTGGCTGCATTAGTATCGATTCCTGAAAGTTTTAGCTTGCGCTTTCCGTGAACAGCCTAGATATTGTAGGATTTTTACGACCGGTAAAGTACCCAAACGCAGAAAGCGACCAGAGATAAAAAAGCCTTTTAGCCGTATCTTTGCCAGTTTTGTGAGGGAAAAAATTGGACTCTCTACATTGCATTTTTACGGCGGCTTTTTGGTAAAAACAATGTTAGAATACAAAAATTAATTTCTCGTATTTTACATTTCAAAACTAAAAAGTTTAATCTCCTTTTTCTCACACTCTTTCTTACGTTCTTGCATTTCTTTTCTGACTTCTCATTTTTAGCGCCACCTCCTCGAAGAGCGTCAACGGCAACGTCGTATGCAACAGAATGGCATAGTCGCGTCGAAGGTTGAACGCGCCGATTCCAGCGAATACGACGATCCGCTGCCATCGACGCTGAACTCCGGCTCGCTTTATTCGTTTCTGGAGAACGCTCCGGCCCAAAAACCGTCGCACACGCCGATTCCGTCCAGTAAATCCATTTCGAGCATATCAACCGGCCCCAAGATTATCACGGTCAAAGGGCTGACGCCACCGCATAGTCAGAGGCAGAGGTGAGAAAATCAGTTTTTTTTGGGTTTTTATACAATCAAAGGTGTGAATAATATGTAGTGCTATGTATATATGTATTTTCATAAAGTGCAAGGACATTTTTTTCTTTTACATTCGGAAAGGTTTAAAATAGGGTCCCTATGTTTGACACTCAAAACAGAGATGATTATCAACCGATATGGGCATGAAATCGAAAAGTCTAGGACAGAAAAACACGTAGAATTTAATGGTATAGACAATATTTTGCTACACCTCAAGTTTTCGCTGCAGGACCCATCAAAAAAATTACACTTTTTATTTGCCACCCTGTAATACAGGGTCTTACAAAAAACGTGAAGGAAAGTGGAAGGCTATAACTTCCGGCGGAGGCGGCGCAGAGACTTCGTATTTGAAATATGTATTTTTAAAAGACATGTTTTTGGGGGTTTGTTGATATAGTCTTTAAGAAAAAGTCGAAAAAATTGCAAATGTTGGCACTTTCCTCCTCTTTTTCAACATCACCCATATATGGGTATATCGACCCATATATGGCCATATTGAAACCCCCCAAAAAATCCGACATTTCCTGGTGATTTTCAACCGAAAAAATCCGAAATTTCTCGATCATCTTCAACTGAAAAAACCTTGTTTTCTGGGTAGAGATGCCTCTACTTCAGAAGGTCGTAGCTACCTCAGTTTGCACTTTAAAAGCTTGTTATTTCGTAGACAAACACTAATGTCTTTTAAAAATACATAATTCAAATACGAAGTCTCTGCGCCGGCTCCGCCGGAAGTTATAGCCTTCCACTTTCCTTCACTTTTTTTGTAATATCCTGTAATTTGGCCAAACGGCTTTTTTTCTCGAACCGCTCTCCTCACTTTGAGTACACGCTCTTCGGAAAAGATCATTTTTGATTTTATTTATAGTACCGCATTTATCGTAACGTATTTTACTCTCACTTTCAGCCTGTCCATGGAATCCACCACCACCAAGACGAGCTCCTCGACGTCGGTGGCCAGTGATCCGGTGAAGCCGGTGATCGACGTGGATCGGCTGGACATCTCGGCGTCGAATGACGCCATCTCCGAGGGCGAAAACGACGGCTCGGAGACGGTGCGCCCGTGGGAGGAGGATGATAACTTGGAGACGAACGTCTTGGAAGATACCTCGGTGAAATTGGATGTGGGGGATATTGTCAATAACTTGGATAAATTTGTCATGGGTAAGGGTTCAAAAAAGGTGATTTATACTATACCAGTCTGTCGGAAAAATAATGTGGATTTGGTTTTAAATCGTCCGGAAAATCGCTTTTCGGGAGCTAGCCGCGGCTGGGACTTGGTCCGCTTCTGCGACGGCTGTTTGCTGCGACAAATCCGCATTATTTTCAGGACAGACTGATAAAAAAGAAAAAATGTGCGTTCTGGGGTAGGCTCTTTTTCTAGGGTTAACCTGCACTTTGCAAAGTCGATTCTGGCCTTGAAACTAACACAAAAATTATGGAGATCAAAGAGGTGCTAATGCATGATGATTTATCAGTCTACCAGGAAAATAATGGCCACTCTGTCGCGTCAAAAAGCCTATCGAAAATTAATTTTATCGTGGCAAATCAAATTGCTTTTCACTTCATCGACGCGGTAGGCGCAGCGAAATTGTGCCCATTATTTTCCCGACAGGCTGAGAAAATCTTTTCTGCAGTGTCGGACCTGATCCATAGCAAAAAACATACCATTCTGCCTCCGGGATGTATCAAAAACACAGCAACACACCTCCATCTCCAAATGAAGAGACTCCGATTTCAAAAGCACGCCCGCTATTTTTGCGAGGGGAAGGGCGAGCTCTTCAAAACCGAGGTTTTTTCAGTTAGAAAGGGAGGCATTTTGCTACATTTTTTATACTTCCCGGATTCAAAATGATACTTTTTTTGCCACTGTATAAGACATATTGGAAAACAACCAATCTTTTTCGTCAAAGTGGACTGTGAAAAAAACAAAATTTACCTTATACTTGGGTCCCGGAACGAAAGCCCTGAAGATCATCGAAATTTTTCTTAGATTACCTTCTAGCCTTTGGCGTATAACTAGGCCGCAAACACGGTTTTAAAAACCAAATTTTACTCGTTTGTGACAGTTTACGCCCTGCTTTCTCAACAAATATATCATTTCCAGAGCCGGCCAAGAAGAACATCACAATGAAATGTCGGATCACTCGAGACAAGAAAGGAATGGACAAAGGAATGTTCCCGATCTACTACTTACATCTAGAACGGGATGACAACAGTGGAAACAATCGAAATGTATTTTTATTGGCAGCACGGAGGCGAAAAAAGAGCGCGACGGCGAATTATTTGATTTCGACGGATCCAACGGATTTGAGTCGCAACGGGAGGAGTTACATCTCGAAAGTCAGGTACGTTGTGCTGACAATTTATCCTAATATGTATATTAGTCTGTCGGAAAAATAATGTGGATTTGTCGCGGCTTGTAATCGCCCATCCTCGTTTTGCAACGGCTAACAGCGACTGAAGGTTTTATGCGCGACTGCAACGAGGAGAGGCACTGCTGCGAGAAATCCGCATTATTTTCCCGACAGAGGGATATACATATTTCTTACATAGTGCATAAAATTTTGTGCTTGTCCGTTCGTAAGGTCGCCGGGATGATTTTTGCGAACTGCACTGTGCAAAAAATTTGGCAGGGTGCGCTGAAAAAATAAAAAAAAATTTCAGTGGTGAGGTCCGTATTTTAAAATAAGCTTTGTTCAGACGCAGGGTTCCAAAACCGTTTCCGAATTTTTTTGATATTGCTTTCGATAGGTTGACCCTGAACTCTCCCCCTTTTTGAACATCCCCCCATTTTGAAAATTGAAAAAACGAGGTGTGACATGTTATACGATGAAATTTTTTTCAAATTGAGAAAAATTAGGTGTGACATGTTATACGATGGAAATTTTTTTCAAATAGTAAAAATGAGGTGTGACATGTCATACGATGACGATAAGATGTCACACCTATTTTTTTCAGTTTGAAAAAGATTTTCATCGTATGACATGTCACACCTCATTTTTTTCAATTTTCAAGGGGGAATGTTCAAAAAGGGGGAGAGTTCAGGCTCAATCTATCGAAAGCAGTATCAAAAAAATTCGGAAACGGTTTTGGAACCCTGCGTTAGAACAAAGTTTATTTTAAAATACGGACCTTTCTCTTTTTGTGTAATTTTTTTTCTGAGCTACCGCGCATCCTGAAAATTTTTTGCACAGTGCAAAAATCACCCCGGCGACTTTACGAACGGACTAATACTCAATTTTCTACAGTACGTAAGAAACCTATATATCGGATTCGAACTTGCGGTGTGTCTCCATCACTCTGTCGGAAGAATAACGCGGATTTGTCACAACAGTGCCTCGCCTCGTCGCAGTCGCGCATAAAATCTTCAGCCGCTGTTAGCCGTTGCAAAACGAGGATGGGCGATTACAAGTCGCGACGAGTCCACACTATTTTTCCGAAGACTGATATACATATTAGGATGAAAAGATTTTCATCGTATGACATGTCACACCTCATTTTTTCAACTTGAAAAAAATTGTCATCGTATAAGATGTCACACCTTATTTTTTCAATTTTCAAGGGGGAGGGTTCAAAAAGGGGGAGAGTTCAGAAAACGGGGAGAGATCTGCCGCAACGCTTTCGATACGATATCGCTCAAAGGCGCCCGATCTTGAAACGACTGTTCTCTCTTCGACTGCACAGATCGTTGAGCATTTTTGCAGAAAATCGCAAAGGAAAACTTCTTGAAGATACGCTGCTTACAGACTTCTTTCAGATCCAACGCAGTCGGCACAATGTTCACGATATACGACAATGGCGACAATCCGCGGAAAGCGACAGTAATCGGTGACGGCGTTCGACAAGAACTTGGTGCTATTATTTATGTAGGCCTCAAACGTTTACCTTATATTTTATTGTATAAATAACACGATCACTGTCGTATGTTTCAGGAGACAAACGTTTTTGGATTCAAAGGGCCGCGAAAGATGACGATCATTCTGCCGGCGCTGGTCGATGGGGAAAAGCGGAAAGAAGTTCGACCGGTCAGTGTAAGTTATTTTGCAATTTTGACCCAAAACATTGCTATTGGTCGTATATTAGGTGTTTTTTTATAGGACGTGCTTTTCGGTGCCCGCAAATGGACTTTTCGATGCCCGCAAATTTTCGCGGTTCGCGACCGCAAATTAAATCGAAATCTGCCCGCACTTTTTCTGCCCGCAAATTATAAAAATGTTATAAAGCGCCTGAAACATGGATGATTAGTGAAATATTTGTATAAATCCGGTGGAATTAATAAATTTACATATGTAAAAATGCATTTGACAAAAAAAAATTTTTGACAAGTGTCTCTGATCCATGTTTTTTGGGATAAAATATCAAATCACGGAATTTTATCATGTTTTTGGACAAAGCTGATGAATATGGAGTCCAAATCAAGTTGTTATAAAGGCTGAACAAAACTTTTTTTTGTCCAAACGAACTTTTCGATGCCCGCAGATCGGAAAATCGGGTCCTCAGACGTTACGAATGTAAAAATCTTCATTGTTATGATTTTTTGAGCAATTCCTAGCTACCACTAGGCCATTGACGCATATCTCTTCGCAGAAAATTTGAATTTCAGCACACTTCTTGCGACCATCCGCACCGATTTTTCGGTGGAAAAATGCAAATTAAAATTTGCGGGCAAAAAAAGTTCTAAAAATTTTTGTGTGCCCGCAAATCTAAAAAAGCTTCCAAATAAATCAAAACTTGTTGTCTTGGGGAAAATTGGGCTCATAATGCTATTCTGACTATCTTTATGACCATTGACGCCGATTTTTTGGTTGAAAAGCTCAAATTAAAATTTGCGGGCAAAAAAAGTTCCAAAAATTTTTGAATGCCAGCAAATCTAAAAAAAAGCTTTAAACGCGGTTTATGTTAGAGATTACCGCTATAGAAAACTGTAACTATGTCAATACACATCAGTTCAACTATTTCTTACTTTGTGATAAGCCCTCAGGCATCAGTCAAGGTTGGTGACATTGTTCATGATTAAAGCCCGGTAAAGTGTTTTGGGTTTGTGCCTTTCTTTTGATAATCCTGAGAAATACTGTAGACGGTTATTTATCGCATCAATGTGTAAAACGTCCACTTCTGCCGAAACTGCGTCATTTCTGATAAGAAAACTCAAAAAATGAAATTCTTTTACCGAATTTTTTTCAAAAATTGACCGAAAGGTAAGTTTCTGTTTCAAATCTTGCACTTTTGGGGACGAATCGTTACCTTCAGTGATTCTTATTGCTACAATAACAGTAAAGAAAGAGTAATATGTTTTGACGGAAGGCACAGCCACCATTCTATCACAAAGTTTTTTTTTCTTGAAGTCAGTTGGTACAAGGTCTGTAACCCGAATAAGGATAATTTTAAGGGACTCAAATTTGTCTTCAAATAATTGAGTCGTGTCTCAACTATGCCACAAATGCGACACTAGTTCTAATTTCTATTCAACGAGGTTTCGGAACCGGACAAAATTCATGATAACTTTCTGAAGTCGAAAACTGTAAAGAATAGTGGTTACCGTTTTACACGGTCGTTTAGAAGCTTTTTTTAGATTTGCGGGCATTAAAAAATTTTTGGAACTTTTTTTGCCCGCAAATTTTAATTTGGATTTTTTCACTGAAAAATCGGAGCCGATGGTCGTAAAAGCTGTCATAATGTCGCTTATGGAACCCGCATTTTCATCACAACAAGTTTTGATTGATTTGGAAGCCTTTTTTGACTTGCGGGCATTCGAAAATTTTTGGAACTTTTTTTGCCCGCAAATTTAAATTTGAGCTTTTCAACCAAAAAATCGGCGTCAATGGTCATAAAAATAGTCAGAATAGCATTATGAGCCCAATTTTCCCCAAGACAACAAGTTTTGATTTATTTGGAAGCTTTTTTAGATTTGCGGGCACACAAAAATTTTTAGAACTTTTTTTGCCCGCAAATTTTAATTTGCATTTTTCCACCGAAAAATCGGTGCGGATGGTCGCAAGAAGTGTGCTGAAATTCAAATTTTCTGCGAAGAGATATGCGTCAATGGCCTAGTGGTAGCTAGGAATTGCTCAAAAAATCATAACAATGAAGATTTTTACATTCGTAACGTCTGAGGACCCGATTTTCCGATCTGCGGGCATCGAAAAGTTCGTTTGGACAAAAAAAAGTTTTGTTCAGCCTTTATAACAACTTGATTTGGACTCCATATTCATCAGCTTTGTCCAAAAACATGATAAAATTCCGTGATTTGATATTTTATCCCAAAAAACATGGATCAGAGACACTTGTCAAAAATTTTTTTTTGTCAAATGCATTTTTACATATGTAAATTTATTAATTCCACCGGATTTATACAAATATTTCACTAATCATCCATGTTTCAGGCGCTTTATAACATTTTTATAATTTGCGGGCAGAAAAAGTGCGGGCAGATTTCGTTTTAATTTGCGGTCGCGAACCGCGAAAATTTGCGGGCATCGAAAAGTCCATTTGCGGGCGAAAAAAAATTCCTCCTTTTTTATATTTCCCGCTATTTGTTTGGCATTTTCCACAAATCTCCCTGCTTTTCAGGGGTTTCGTGGTGGGACCAAAAAACACCGGAAATGAGTGAAAAAAACGTATTTTACGCTGTTAAAAACAGTTTTAAAGCAACCATTTTTACTCTTGTTATCGGTTTATTTCATTTACCAGTTTCTGAGGGTTTTCGTGGTGGGACCAAAAAAAAATTTTTTTTTGAAAGTCGTATTTTACAAAAATTTAGCCAAACATGTGATGTCTGGCCAATATTTTTTGATCTACTTTTTCTTAGTTTTCAGTTTAATCGTCTTGATTTTCAAGTTTTCGTGGTGGGACACAAAAATTTTTTTTTAACTTTTTTGCACTGTGCAGAAAACTAATGTTCAAAAGGGCACTAAAATAGCCTAAAAATCATTTTTAAAATTTTTTTATTTGTTTAAAAATCAATTTTTGCTTGCACCGTGCAATTTTTTGAGCTTCTTTTTTTTGCACTATGCAATTTTTTTTATTTTCTTATTTTTCGAATTTCAGGAAAAAGACACGATATTAGAGCGCTACAAGTCCCATCGATTGGAAGAAATGGTCCTACTCAACAACAAACAGCCCCAATGGAATGAGGACACACAGAGTTATGTCCTCAATTTCCATGGGAGAGTGACCCAGGCCAGTGTGAAAAACTTCCAAATCGTCCATCATTTGAATCGTAAGTTGGGTTTTAAAAAAGAGAAAAAATAAAAATAATTTTGGTAAAATACGACAATGATGTGGTTTCGCATTTTTGGTGGAAAATTTTGAAAAAACAAGTTGAAGGGGAAATTGTACAGTACACGTCAAACTGAGGAGTCCGTTGACCGGAATAGACTCTTCGCTATCGGTTTTTTACACTTCGTCTTGATTTCGCAGAGAAAGAGAGAAAAAAGACACGCAAAAGCGTACTCTCTCGCCCCAAAAATTCCCCATTTCTCCCCCGACAAAACGTTTTTTCGCGCCTTTTTTTGGCAAATTGCCAATCCGTTCACCGGAATGTTTTCACGAAGGACGGAAAGGTCCGCTAAAAAAAGAAAACAGGAGGGTGGGGAGAGGGGGAGGTTTTCGATGGCGCTGATTCCGAATATCGTATGCATTTTTTTTTATTTTACAATTTTGCTTAAGCAGTAGTGTTAATTAGTAATTAAAAAAACTTTTTTTTTTGAGTAATGGATTTAGGGGTTTTCGGTGGTGCTGATTTTGAAAATTGTATCCATTTCCTCTGAATTTTTGCCTATCTTCCTCAATTCTTTAAAATGAATGTTTTAATTGGTAAAAACTTGGTCAAACTTGTATGATATTGTACGAAAACTTATGACGCTTTTTTTCGTGTATACAGCGAAAATGGCACTACTGCTTAAGCAAAATTGTAAAATTCAGATGAAAATTGACATGATTTTCGAAATCAGCGCCATCGAAAACCTCCCTCCACCCGTCCCCCCGCCCTCCTCTTTCCTTTTTTTAGCGGACCTTTCCACATGCTTTCCGTACTCAATCGAATGCTTATCTCTGTTTGACGTGCAGTATTCTATGGAAATCATAGAAAAAGCAAGAGAAAGTTTTTATAGGCATAAACGGGATTTTTCAAAAAAAAAAAAAAAAAAATTTTTAAAGTTTGGATTTTTTCCAAAATTTTTTTTAGCGACTTTACGAACGTACTAGTAAATAAAATGCTTTTTTTCTGTCTCGATTTTTTTTTTGATTTTTTGTCAAAAATTTGTGAAAATCAAAAGAAAATTATTCTTTCAAAAAATGAAATATTTTCGGCAAAATTTAAAAAATTTTATTTGTAAAATACGAAGCCTTTTACTTTTTACCAAAAAATTTTTAAAAAAAATAAAAAAATCTCAAAAAATGGCCCAAACAAAAACCCTAAAACTCCTCCAATTTTCAGCCGACTACGTGGTAATGCAGTTCGGTCGCATCAATTCCGAGGTGTTCACCATGGACTTTCGATACCCGCTGTCGCCGATTCAGGCGTTCGGCATTGCAATGAGCTCATTTCACGGGAAATTGGCCTGTGAATAAAAAATATCGGTGTTATTATTTATTTATTTTTTGAACTTTTATTTACTAATATTAACAAACCCGATGGTAATTCGGTAATTTTAGTCGTATTTTAAATTGTAATCGGTAAGAAATTATTTTTTTGGAGATTTGAATAAAAATCGATGACTTTTCGCAACTTCGGTCAACTTTTGGGGTTGCAGCTGGTCTGTAGGTTACTAATCATTATTTTGATTGGTCTATTCTTTACTCTACGCCTATAGATTTTAAAAAATATCCACGTTTTAACGCATTTTGTTTTAAAAATAAAATTTTTGTCAGTTTCTTTTAAAAAAACGTCAGAAATTGCATTTTTTAGTTGTTTCCTTGAAAATTCCGTTTCATAGAGCCTTTCTGAATACCCAGTAGGGCATACAAAGCTCAACTTGCCGTATTTTACCATCTCACTTTTCCTTTTTACCCCATTTTTACCACAATTGCGACCAATCTTTACACTTGATGTCTAGTATAATATAATCCAAAAATCCAACTGCTCCTGCTATATTTCTCTCTTCCAACTCAATTATTAGTCTATATATCAGATATGTAATCATAAACACGCATTTTGAAATCGAGTTTTAAGACTTTTTCAGAAGTTGCAACAGAATGCCAAGAAATTAATTTTTGGCGGGAAATTTGAATTTTTCAAAATTTTTTATCTAAATGAGACTGTCTGAAGTACCGAGACTCTATTTTATGAGATTTTTTTTCAATCTGTGCGGACTACTGCGTATTTTACAACTAAAAAAATCAAAAAGTCCCGTTTTGAGCTGAAGCCCAAACTCAATTCAAATTTTTCATTTTTTCACCTTCTCCCTCCCAAAATGGTCATCTCTTACGCAACATGCTAGCCCCTTTGCGCTCGGCTCACTTTGTCGTTTAAAATAAATAAATCATGGATTAATTCCGTCGATGGATCGTGAATCTTCGTCGATCAAAAAAAAGTGAAAAATCGCGCAAACGAGTTTCAAATCGAAGTTCGCCTTTGAGGCTAAGAATTACTCAACCCGCTCACCTGAGGTTTCACTTTTGGCTGACTGAAATTATTTGGGATTTGGGCCGGGGATTGGGTCGAAAATGGCCGATTTCGAATATGAAAATCGGATCAAATACATGCATTCCATGCAGAAGACGGTGTTTGTCGCAGTGGCACTCAGGTAAGAGGGGTGGGAGGGGTAAGGATATGAATTTCTTAGCATTTTTCATAAAGTGCGTGGACATTTTTTCTCTCTCTCGCTTGAAGAAATGCACATACCGTTTTCTTCGAAAAGGCTAACAGGGGAACTACTCCAAGTGTGACGCTCAGATTTTCTTGAAATTTTGCACACACATCGTGTATGGACTAAATATGAATTCCTGAAAGTTTTAGCTCGCGCTTTCCGAGCGCCGCCGAGATATCAAACAATTTTTGCCGCCTAGAGAGCACGCTAAACGTGGATAGCGGTCACAGAAAAAAACGCTTTTTAGCCATAACTTTGGTAGTTTCGTGCGGAAAAATTTGATTTTTTGTACAAACATCATCCTTTACGGTAGAAATAGTCATGAAACCGAAATTGGGCAAAAAGTCATAAATTTTAGCCAACTTTCGATCTAAAAATCTCGGTTGTTTCTGCAAAGCGCGAGCTAGGATTGTCGAATATATCTTACAAGGAAAGTACTTCTATGGGGTGTGGAATTACCGGTCGAGATATATATCAAAAAATTCGCAAAAATTTTCTGATTCAGAATATATATAAATTAGCTGCCTAATTTTGGTCTGATGACATGTTTTTGTCCTCAGAAGTTTTCTCGCGACACAATGCAAGTGTCTTTTTGACCGTGTTTTTACCAATAAAAAAATTTTGTTTTGTGCTAAAATAAATTTTGAGGCCTTGACAAGCCTTAAAATATCAAATTGGATTACAACTACACCTTAAAAGTAGTTCCAATGTAAAAAATGGGTTCTAGTGTGGCAAAAAGAATCGAACCCGTCCCCTTCGGATTCCCAATCTAGCGCTCTAACCACTCGGCCACACCGCTCTCTTCCGAGGGAAGAGACCGAGCTCGCTTTTGTTGCCGCAGATTTGTTTCCTCGAGAAATACATTTATTGATAAAACTCGTTAATAGACCAAAATTAGGCAGCTAATTTTTATATATTCTGAATCAGAAATTTTTTGCGAATTTTTTGATATATATCTTGACCGGTAATTCCACACCCCATAGAAGTACTTTCCTTGTTAGAAAAAATTATTCTAAATTTGTGCCAAGTTTCATAAAAATCTGAGCGTCGCACTTGGAGTACTTCCCCTGTAAGTGCATTCTTCATGCCTCTAAAATCTCAACCGAGAATGCCCCCTCCGGCACTTTCTTTTTCACAATTCCCCCTTGTTTCATCAAAATTTATCGATTTATCCTTCTGTCGGGAAAATAATGAACACAATGTCTTTGTACCGATCGCGTCGCTGAACTGAAAAGCAATTCGATTTTGCTGCGACACAATTCATTTTCTCGGCTGCGATTTTCGATGCGACAGAGTCCTCATTATTTTCCCGACAGACTGATAAAGTTAACTTTCTCAAAAATTCAACATTTTCCAGCTCTTATTCAACCCCTTTTTTTCAGCTGTTTAGCAGTCTTCTCAAGCATCGTCCTCATCCCCATGGTCTACTTCCGGATGCAGCGCACGCTAACGCAGATCCAGCCGAACATTGAGGAGTGCAAAATCGACACGCAGTACATCTGGAGGGACATTGACGCCACGGAAGAGGCGCTCGGCACCAAGATCTCTGCGCATCGTCGCCTCCGCCGACACACATCTCAACGCCCGTTGGTGGCGTCAAACGTATACTCCACCGCCGTGCCGGGGAGGCCCAAATATCGTAAGGGGAGCGTCTCGAATACTCCGGCTTCGTATGCGCGGCCAGCCCGGCCAACTGGACCGTCGGGCCAAGGGAATGCGAAAGGAGCGGCTGCTGGAGACTCTGATGGATGTTGTGGCTGTGGCCGAGGGTTGGCTGGCCCACCGGGACCGCCGGGCGCGGCTGGAGATCCAGGTAAATCTTGGCTTTTTTAAGCTTTCTAATGTGAATTTTGGCTTTTTGAAGCTTTCTGTTGTGAATGTGATGTCAAATCTTGAAGATAATATTGCTATTTTAGCCATTAGCTTGTAATTTTAGAGCTTTGCAAAAAAATCAAGTTTTCGTGGTGGGACCAAAATTTGAATTTAACAAAGTATCCCACCGTATTTTAAATGTTCTCAAAATTTACTTTTTATTCTTGTCCACGAATAGTCTTGTATTTTCCCAATAAATCACGTTTTCGTGGTGGGACCGAAAATTTTAAAAATCATGCATAAAATGAAAACAAGCATATTACTTACTGAACCGTATTTTACAAGTTCTAGAAATTGTGTTTTTAGATTTTTTCCAAAAGAAAATATATATATATAGTCTTGCATTCCCCCCAGTAAATCACGTTTTCGTGGTGGTACCAAAAATCGAAATTTAAAATTTGACGTTAAATCCGGCTGATCGTATTTTGCAACAGCCTGTTTTTCAATAGGAAATAACTCTTTCTTGACCTAGGGCTTTTCCACTATCAGAAATCGGGCTATCGCGGTGAGACCCAAAATTTCTTTCAAAAAATTATTTTTGATAAAATCAGCAAAACTGAGTCTTAAATAAGCTCCTAAATTTACACAACATGCTGATAGTGTCTGTAAAATTAATTTCCTCCAACTTCAGGGCCGGACGGACAAGAAGGACCGCGTGGCGCCGCCGGAAAAGACGCCGATCTCAAAGGAACCCCAACCGAAGACGACTTCTGTTTCGAATGTCCTCCCGGTCCGGTCGGCCCGCAAGGAGCGCCAGGACCGAAAGGAGACGATGGTCCAGTCGGTCACCCGGGAAAAGACGGTCGAAACGGGGAGCCTGGTCCACCCGGACCGGTCGGATATCCCGGTCCGAAGGGCGAACCGGGAGATCCGGGAGATAATGGAGACAGAGGGGTTGATGGGGAGGTAGGATGAGTATTTCTCATCGTAATGTAAAATAAAATTGTAGCTGTCAGAAGAGGAGGGTCCAGCCGGTCCTCCAGGGCCTCCAGGGGCTCGTGGACCACCTGGCGAGCCGGGAGAGGATGGAAGAAACGGCCAGGATGGAGTGCCTGGACCCATTGGACCACAAGTAAGATAATAATTTCTAGATAATTTTTTGGCCTTTCTTTGAAACTTGCGGGGTGTTTTTGGACATGAAAATTTCAGAAGGAAGACTTGGCCCTATGAGTCAAGTGTTTCTCTCTGTGTCTTTTTCCAAGAAAGTGCAATGAAAAGTCCATCAAATTAAACGATTTGATATGGTATTAGAGTGTTGCATGAAGTTTTCATACCAAATTTCAAGTTTCTAGACCCAAAAAATTTTTTTATCGACCAGTATATTGCACATGAATAACATAACATTTTTTTCTAAGTGTCCTTCAAGTTTCAACAATCCTTTTTTAACCTGTTTGTGGCATCTTTATCAGCATATTCGGCGCGATTTTCCATATAGCTGTAGTAATTTTTGAGTTTGAGCGTAACACTTGACCCAAAGTGTAATGTGTTCCCCTAGAAAAAATATGATCCTTAGAGTAAAAGGCCGTATTTTACCTTTACATTGGTCACCCTAACTATTCAAAAAATTCGCTGAAACCTTGAAAACCAACCTTTTTTCAGGGAGAACCAGGCAGCAGCGGTCCCAGAGGAGCTAATGGAGCAGACGGCCCGAGAGGAAAACCTGGCGATAATGTAAGCTTTTTTACATTCCATTTCAATAGTAAATTCAACTTTTTAGGGTCCCAAAGGAAGCTGCGATCACTGCCCGGAGCCCCGATTGGAGACCGGATATTGGGAGAAACGACAGCCCCAAGGATAGAAACTTTTTTAAATGTAATGAGCTGAAGTTACTGTGACGTAATAAGCCGGGAAAACTTAATCGTAATAAAATTGTTCTACAAATAAAAAGGACACGGATTTTGAGTGATTTTTATCAAGTTTTGATTTGGAAAAAAATTGAAAGGAACTAACTACTCTAGCATCAAGTGCGACGGTCAGAGTTTCTCTAAATTTTGTACATAAGTCAGGCGTAGGCTACACTCCAACTTTTGAAACTCTTAGCTAGCATTATCCAAGGAAAGCCGAGATATTCGACGATCTTTGAAGCCGAGAGAGCATGAAAAAGGCGGAGAGAGGTCATAGGAAAGACACTTTTCGGCTGTAATTTTCAGTCTCGCGAAGAAAAATTTTTTTTGTGGAAACATTACCATCTACGGTAGAAACAGAAGTTCTCATGGCCGAAATTTCCAAAAATTCCCGTTTTTTCCAAGTTTTGGTCTATGCCTTAGAAAAAGGCATAGTCACTAAATAATATCGAAAAAATAGAAGCTTAGAAATTCAATAGAAGCTCAGTCCTACAAAGCGAAAAAAATGGAAAACCTAATGCCAAAAAAAGCCCCGAGGTTCAAACAACACTGATAACAAGGAAAAACCCCAAAACTTTTCAAAAATCCAATAGAAATGAAGCCAAGATCCAATAAAAAACGCCGAAAAAACCAAAAATCAAATTCCAAAAGTTACACTACAAAACATTTATTTCACAACTACAAAACAAGATTTGACCTTCGAACGTTCTGCTTTCTACCAAAAGAAGTGTCGTGCTCAAGGGTTGTACTCGATGGGCAGGTTCTTTCTGCGCACCATACCGTCGCCCTGGAACCACTCGCGGCGGAACTGCTTGGCGGCTCCATCGGGGGTGTTGGTCCACTCGATGGTGATACGGTCGTTGTTGGTGTCCTCTTGGCCGTAGCTGAAGGCGTCGCAGGAGACGGCCACCAAGACGGCCTCCTTGGGGTCGAGCACTCCGCATGGGGGGTCGACACCGAGACGCTTCATGTTGGTGGTCTTGAAGGCCCATCCGATACGACGACCACCGGCATTGATCACCTGGAAAAGACGGGGGATTATGGTGGGAAATTGAAAAAATGCAAAAAATTGCAAAAAATGTACAAGAATTCAAAAAAAATTGCCAAAAATTTGGAAAAATTGCAAAAAAAAACGCAAAAAAAATTTAAAAAAACCTCTCTAAAAATGTTTGGCAATTCCTAAAATTTTCAAAAATTACGAAAAAACCCCCAAAATTCCCCTAAAATAACCAAAAATTTCCAAAAATCTCAAAAAAATCCCAAAAATTTTCAAAAAAACCCCAAAAAACCATAAAAAAAATCCCAAAAGCTACTACCTAATCAACCTATCAACCCTTCTACTTCACCCTTCAGCTCTTACCTTGATGTGGTAGGTGTGCTTGTCGTCGTAGGGGGCGTTGAAGACGACCTTGGTGCCGGGCTGGGTGGTGATATCTCCTGGGGGAACGGATTGAGCCATCGCGAGAACAGAGGAAACAGAACGGATCTGATGAGGATCCAGCCCAAATCTCCGGCTTTTATACCCCTCATTTCATGCAAATTTCGGGGGAAATTTGAATTTCTACGTGAGAAAATGAAAAATTAAAAATTTTGAAAAAATAAAATTGAAAATTTTTTATTTTTCTAAAATTTCGGTTGTCTAGGATCGTGAAATGCCTTGTTTACCTCGATTCCCGCCAAAAAGTAAGTTTAGAAGTAATCAAAATTCAAAGTTCCCGCAGATTTGGCAATTTTTCCACACCTCTTGGCATTCCGTTGCAAGCTGTTTTCTCTCGATTTTTTCGCTTGAAAAGTGGAAACATACTGCTCTACCTCGTATTTTACATTAATTCTCCTTCTTTACTTTGATTTATATAGCTGAAACTATTCTTCAAAATTTCTTTGTGTCTCTTATGTCTAAAATAATATTTTTCTTGTTGAAAATAGCCAAGGGAATTGAGAATTCCTTATGAAAAACGTTGATTAGGGTGCTGGCTTTCTCGCTAGATGCAGTTTCATTAAAATTTGTTGAAAAATTCCCCAAAACCAACCTTTTTTCATACTTGGGACATGGATAATGTAATTGGTCGGGAACCTTAGAAATTCTCCAATTTTTTTTGCCAAAGCCATTTAATATTGCTGGATGTGCTAACATGAGGCAGTACCACGCCTTTTCTCTTCAAAATTTTGATAGTTCCCCGTTTAATTTACTTTTTCGACATCTGATCTCATGAACAATATAATATTCCTCATATTCCCCGCATGAATTCTTAGTTTTATTTTAAATCCCCCTAAATACATTTATTTTTAGTAAGCCATGTGGCTGGCCCGTGCAAAAGCCCTGAATCAATCTCGGATTCTGGCCACGCAGCTCCGAAGCCTCGGCTTCTCCGCTCGAAGCCAGAAATGGTTGTCCAAAAAGGAGGCGAACAAAGTCGAGGAAGCTATGGTTGGTAATCACTTTGGTGCCCTTGACAATCCCATCTACCACACGCATACCCATAATCTGATGATGGAGGGAGATGAGAACCAAGAGTACGTTCTTTCCGATTTTTTGTTTGATTTTAGGAAACCCAAGAAGAATATATGGTGCGGATGAAGATAAAGGGGTAGAATAGGCTTATGGAGACTGTTTTAGCCCTTTTGGAAATCTGTTTTTCCGATTTTGGAGAGATTTTATATTGTTCATCATAGACTTGGATAGTTTAAGAAATTTTTGGTCTTTTTTCTGTATGAAAGCTCTTGAAAACGTATTTTGAATGGTTCTAGGAGTTAGATAAGGGCTTATATGTTAAATTTCAAGCAAAAAATTCAGCGTGAAAAACGTTGCACAGTCTTCAAATTAGATGTTTTACTCAAGCTATCTAAAATCTCAAAAATTTTTGCGAATTACCTGAAATTTTTTATTCCTTTTCCGGAGCATGTTGAAATAGATGTGTCCAATCTAAAATTCACTACAATCTCCAAGAAAAATTTCTAAAAATTCCACATTTTCCAGATTTTTCTACCGAGAAAGGCCCCACTACAAACTGCGAGGCGATCAAATCATGGCCACCGTTTTGGGAACCATGTTCTGGTCCTGGGTCTTCTACTCGATCTATTGGAAGTACGAATTGTTGGTTGGGCATTGGTATATCCCCTACATTCCGAAGGAATTCACGGACGAGGAGTTGGGAATCCCGCCGGATGATGCGGAGGACCCGGAATATTGGGGAAGTCATGGCAAAAAGTACGGAACTTATCGTTGAATCCGTGTTTAGGAGGTATTTTAGAATAAAAAAATGTATTTTTGTCACATTTTTTGGACTCGGAGCAAAATTTTTTTTATTTTTTTCGCACAGTGCGGGACCAAAATTTATTTTCGCACTGTGCGGCGTCAAAAATTTTGAAAATTCGCACTGTGCAATGGACAAAAAACAATTTATTATCGAATAACAAGGAACAAGTAACAAAAAAAAGTTTAGCCAATTACAAGTAAAATCTTCGTTTGGACATCTCCATTTCGTGCCGCTTTCGGACCCATTCATATTCTCCTTCTTTGGAATCAAAAGTTCCTTTTTGAAGCCATCGAAGCCGGAGGGTAAATCTGGGGCCTAATTCGTGTAGTGCGGCCTTGGCACCCTCTTTTTTGAATTCGTATCTAAAAAAATGCAAGATTTGATAAAAAAAATATCAAGTGTAATATAATCAGATGTCCAAACTGCCATCTACAATATATAAAAACCCCAATTCTATTCTCCAAACCTCTCATAAAGCCCTCCCAAACTCACCGATGATGTCTAAAGAAGATATAATCCCTTTGATTATGGAAAGTTACAACTCTCCGGCCTCTGAATTCAGGGTCATGTGGGAAGAGACAGGCGAGCATTCGAGCCACCGTATGGCCAAGTCGAGTGTTGAAATTGTTCAAAATGACTTCTGGGCAATGATCGGTGGATTCGCCAACTCCTTTGATGTCTTTGCTGAACTTCAGACTATTAATCTTGAAGTAGGCGGTAGGGCCTTCCGGCAAGTGGCAGATCATGAGACCGACTGCAAAATCAAACGTTATACAGTGTAATTTCCTTTGAGGTCGAAAAGAAGCGAATAATAGTAAGAAAGTTAAAAGTTAACTCCATTTTGACATTGTTTTAGGTATAAAAACTCAATTTTCTTGCAAAAAAAGCAATTTTTGTTTTGAACCACCATTTAATTTCCTTCTAAATTACAGTAACACCTCTCATAAGACCTTTAGAATACTAGTAAATATCACTTTGATCCAAAATTTATCTTATACTAGCCAATTCCTCTGATATTATTCATGGTCCCCTCTTACCCCACCCAACTCCAAAAATCACCGTATCACTTCTGTCTGGCCTCAAAATCTCCAAATCAAACCCCACACCCACTGAACAGTCCTTACCCGGCCGTTTTCTATCTTCATGAACAATAACAACATCAGTAAAGTCCCTTTCAATGGCGTCTTTGACAATCTTCTTGATGGCTGCATCCTTCCTCGGTAAGAATTCCGCATCCGGGATGCATTTCTGCATCTCAAATGCAAACTTCATTGTTGTGACTTTGGCTTTCGGCGAAGTTGTGAGCAAAATTCGCGGCTGAGTTTCCCTTCGGAAATAGGCCGAGAGCTCATCCGAATTTTCGTCCAATTGGACCTGAAAATGAACGTCAATTTGGGAATTTCGGTAGTAAAATCAAGCCCACTTCTTCTTTGATCTAAAAACGTAACAATAAAATAAAAAAAAACTCACTTCAACATCATTCGTATCAACAAAAGTGGCATCAGCTTCTCTGGTGTTTTCGATTGTTTTGGGCTCGGCCTTTGGTGCGGCATCGTCTCCAAGCTTCTCTCTGATCTTCTCACGAGTTTCTCGACGAGCTCTTTTTTCCTGAAAAGGAGCTTTTATTAATAATATAACGTTAGCTTCACTTTTAAAAAAATTAATTTTTTAACTGCCAAGTATAACATCGCTTATGGAAAAGGACAAAAATAGCAAAACAGAACCAACTGGTGGACTTAAATAGCTCAAGTAAGTCCTAGGAAACCTGCAAAGCTCAAAAATTGCTTATTCTATGATTAAAATACCGAAAATCGAACAGAATTTTGTTAGAGTCCAAAAGTTTCAAGTATAATATAAAAACGAGCTCAAAATGCATAATTTTGACTCCCCAAATCGTTCAAGGAACATTGAACAACAGTAACAGGTCCTATCGCAAATATCAAACATACAGTTTTTGCTACGTCTTCAATTAGACCGCCCAAATTTTGTGATGTTATCCATGACATCAAATTTTTTAACAAAAACGGAAGAATTTGAAGAAAATCAGTGTAAAATACATCATAGACTCGTACCACTCTCATTCATCTAAATACAGACAACAAACGATGAAAAAACTTACAGCTTTCTTCTGTGTCTTCACGGCTTTTCCTCGACTAACTTTCGATATTCCGACAGCCTTTTTCTTGGCTTTGGAAACAATTTTTGTCTCCATTTCCGACCTTATCGACTCCTTCAGCTGTTCCTTCTGCGCTTCGCTCAAATTTGCGGCTTCCGGCGCCGGCTTGGTCTTCTTCTTGATCGGCTTCTTGTCCATCTTGATCTAGCTGAAAATAAGAAAAAACCATTAGCGGAATCTGAATACAAACAAATCGTCATTGCGATCTGAATATATAGTGGTTCATACACGTTATTTACGAAAAAATCGTGAAAATTTATATTACACTAGGTGACGAATGTCTAAAATAATATCAGAAGTCGCAAAGAGGTAAAAATTAGAAGCCTAGCCTATTTATTCTTTCCTATCACCTATTTACCATCAAATTCTACCGAAAATCCCAACAAAAAAAGAAAAAGAAATAAAATTCTCCATGAAGTAGACGAAATGTCACAAAGTTGACGGAGTGTCAAAAGAATATTGGAAATGTTAAAACGGCCAAAAAATTAGCGGAAATTTGTTGGAAATGCAACTCAAGACATTTTTTACCCCCTTTTCACCCGAAAATTTTACCGACCGGTCGATTTTTCATCTTTTCTTTGATCGAAAATCTGATGTCAAGTGTAATTTCCCTTCGATTTGTGGCTATTTTTGGGATGATTACAGTACTCAAAGTCGGCGGAGAGAGTAAGGAATCCATATTTTAAGATTTTTTGTTTAGGGTGACGGAATTTTTGACGCGTTTTTTTCAGAAACCTGTCATCTCAAAGCCGTTGATGGTAGAATTGAATACAAGTTTTTGAACCAAAAAGATTACAAAGATGGCTGTGATCCAAGTCCATTTTTCGGCATTGCCCTCGACACGTTCAATTTCAGTTTCAAGAACACTCCGGAGTTGGAATTTGAGTTTAAGTTTCCGAAAGTTCCGGATGTTACGATTCAGATCGGATCCAATAGCTGCTATACCGCGAGGGTTATGTTCAATGCCACAAATCCGCCTCCACAACTTTGGTTTTTGAAAGGTAAGTTTGTAATTACCGTTTTTCGAACCAAAAAAGTCATATACGGAGAGAAAATTAGGAATTTCTCAGCATTTTCGACGAGAGATTGCGGAAAACGACAGACGGTCAGAGAAAAAAGTGTTTTTTTTTGGCAAGAGATTTTCTCGAGTTCCGCTGGCCAGTTTTCTTCAAATTTAGCATAGTAGTTACAGATTGGCTACATATAAATTCCTGAAAATCTTGGCTTGTAATTTGCAAGAGTAGCCGAGATATTCACCGAAAATTATGGGCGAGAGAGTATGGAAAAAGAGGAGGACGGTCAAAAAAATTTTTATGTTCTTAAATTCTGTGAGGGAAAAAGTAGTTTAGAGAATGAATTGGTTGATTCTTCACCTTATTATAAGGCTGTTACAGGGGCTTTCTCAAAAAAAAAAAAAAAAAAAAAAAAAATTTGAATTTCAACTATGAAACTTTGTTATATATCTCATAAAATCGATAGCAAAAGCTGAAATATCTGTTCAAGTTTTTTTTGTAAGTTTTGGCCGAGTTTTAGTTCAAAATTTTCAAAGAAATGCCCGAAAAACTTTGTTTCTCTGGTAAAAGTTCCTTATTTTGGCCACAACTTATAACTTTGCGGAAGCTTGTCGGAATTAGCCCAAATTTAGCGTGCAGGCTCAATTCATCGTTGTCAATGCCCGGACAGTTGATTTAGTTAGTGAGGTACCTTCTTTTTTACGTACCACCTTACCCTTCAAAAACGGCTGCAGCCTGTGATTTTACACTTTATACGATGAAACCTGTCCGGAACTAAACTTATTGCCTCCGTATGGAACTAAATGAGTCGTCACAGCCTTCGTAGGTACCCTTAAAACTATAGAGCTATTATAGTAATTCAGTGCCAGCCAGGTCGAAGCATTTTTTTCTAACTTTAGTGCCCAAGCTTGGGCGCAGTTCGCGGAGTACCTTTGTTGTGGCCAAAATAAGGAACTTTTTCCGTTTCTCTCGCTCTCGAAATTTCCCCACGTTACTCCAATTTTTTTATTTAAAAAAAATTTTTTGCATTTTTAAAAATTTAGAATCAAACGGAAAGCCGAACCGTGACGACTTGCGCTCACAGAACTTTACTCTTCAACAAAATCTCCTCTATCCCAGAGCATATCAACCGGAGAAGATTCTTTGTGGCTTTCTGGTTCGAAAGGTTGGAAATTACAAGATTATTGACGTTTTACTGGAGTAGGTTGTTTTAAAATTTTTTTTATTGTCATAAAAATATCCTAAAAACCCATAAACTTATTATAAAATTGATTTTTCCGACGTTTTGACAAAATAAAAAAATTTTTGATTTTTTCCGAGCTGCGCCCGAGAAGTGGCTGAAAATTGAATTTTTAGATATTTAAAACAATTTTTATTCAAGTTGTCGCATTTTACCCACAAAATATTAGGTTCTTCAATAATTTTTTTTTCCAGACAAGGCCGAGCAGTTGAATCACTCAGTTTGGTCATCAAATCGCCCAATAGAATCTTGAAATTGGTTAGCGATCTTCCATTCGACCCGGCCAATCCAAGCGTGTTTATTCATCCGCATGGTGAACTCGATTTGTTCTTCGAACTCAATCGGTATTGGTGGCCATTATCGCTGTTTTTGGGATTCATTGGGTAAGAGGATTAAAAAAAATTTTTTTTGAAGCTTCGAAAATTTTTTCGATTTTTTTGCAGATCTTTTTTTTCAATGTGTGTTCCGCACTGTGCAATATTTTAACAATTTTTTTCGGAATTTTTTGCACAGTGCAACTTCATGGTAACACATTTTTTAGTGTCGAGATTTTTTTCATTGTTTTGCACAGTGCATTTTTTTAGACTCCGAAAAAATTTTGTGCCGTGGAGATCTTTGATTATCCAATATGAAAATATCTTCCGCACTGTGCAATATTTCAATAAATTTTTTTGCATTTTTTGCACAGTGCACTTTCTTGAAGGTGACCAAAAAATTTTTTTTTCCAAAACGCCTTCCGCACTGTGCAATGACAACTTTTCTGTTTTTTTTTGCACAGCGCAATTTTTTGGTGACATTTTTTTCAATTCTAGATTTTTGTATTTTTTGGACAGTGCATTTTTTGAAACTCCAAAAAAATTTTGCACTATGCAGATCTTTGATTTTCTAAAATGTCTCCCGCACTGTGCAATGACGAATTTTTTGACTTTTTTGCACAGTATAATTTTGTGGTGCATTTTTCTCAATTTGGATGTTTCTTGCATTCTTTTTGCACAATGCATTCTTTAAAACTCCGGAAATTTTTTTTTTCACCGTGCGTGCAGATCCTAGAGCCCTTTCCGATTTTTTTACACAGCGCAATTTTTTGGGCAAAAAAATTTTTTATTTGTTTTTTTCAGAGGAACTTTGCTTGGGCTCGCCATTGCAATTGCTGTAGTAATGTGCATTGTGAAGAAGCCTAAGGAATTCTGTGTCGTTTCGTCCGAGAGTATCCGAGAAACCGCCAAGGAAAGGGATGCTTCGCTGAGGAGATCCAAAAAGAAGTCGAAGTCAAAGAAATGAGTGTTTGGAAGTAAAAAATTTTTGATCAATTTTGGCTGGATTTTCGTGTGTTAATAAAAATAAAGTTTATTAACCCAAGTTTGCGGGTTGACCAAAGACAAACACAGTACAACCGGGAGGCATTTGGACCACCGCCGAGTCTCGAAGCGATCAGATTGACAGCATTGGCATTCCGTCGCAAGCCGTGGAAATGGGAATTATGGGGACAATTTGGACAGTCATTGGGATTTGGCACGTACGAAACGGCCGAGAAGTGTCGAGGACCGCTCGGGCCAAGTTATTCGTCGGTGATTGTGTATCTGTTTACGTATACTCCCCGTACAATGTTTTGACCCCCCTCCTAACTCCGTCCAAAGTGTACTAATTCGTACCAAATTTGGTATGTAGTATACTCACAAGCTAGTAACAAAAAATAACATAGCAGGACCTACCTTATAGTTGAATATCAAAATCTAGGGAAAATTTTCAAAAATCACCTTAAAAAATCGAGGAAAAAGTTTTGACCCCCCATTAAAAAACGTTAGATATCGCCAGCGGATGCCACGCAAACCTATTGTAATCGACGTCCCATACCTGAATACAGATTAATAAATGGTTTCCCGTTGAATGCTTCGTTGCATTTGAGGATTCAACGCGTTAAACCGTTTTTAATGTAGAGCTGCCCAAAATTGTAAAAATCTTGCCTTAGCGCTTTCCTAGAGCTCTAAATTGGGTTTATATCATGTGATTTAGACCGGTATTTACCTTCTCCTTTCAATAAAAGTGCATGGTGGCCTGGCGGTGTAGATTCGGCAGATACCCTCTTGTCATGCCCAGCCTTGGTGAGCCATTTGCCCTTCGACTCAAGGTCGAGATGTGGTCGTTAGGTCCTCAATGTAATCGTGAGACTTCTATTTACTCTCAGTAATGTAAAATGTTTTGATTTGACACGTTTTGTAATGGGTTTCATTCACCTTAATCTTAAGTTTGCCGTTGCTGTAGATGACCCCGAGTACGATGACATCCCCACCTCCAACTTGGCGTTTCATACGTCTCAAATGAGTATGGTGGGTGCTGTACCGTCTTAAATTACCTGGTCCATCAAATGAAGACCGTTTTTGGTGGCTAAAAATCCATTTGAAAAACGCGGGTTTTTCGTTAAGGTGCAGATCGGCGAAGTTGCGCCTGCAAACCATATGAGACCGTGTCAGCCGGAGTTCATTCTTTGTTTGAGAGTAACTAGGAGTCTCACGATTACATTGAGGACCTAACGACCACATCTCGACCTTGAGTCAAAGAGCAAATGGCTCACCAAGGCTGGGCATGACAAGAGGGTATCTGCCGAATCTACACCGCCAGGCCACCTTGCACTTTTATTGAAAGGAGAAGGTAACAATTTTGGGCAGCAAAAAACGGTTTAACGCGTTGAATCCTCAAATGCAACGAAGCATTCAACGGGAAACCATTTATTAACCTGTATTCAGGTATGGGACGTCGATTACAATAGGTTTGCGTGGCATCCGCTGGCGATATCTAACGTTTTTTAATGGGGGGTCAAAACTTTTTCCTCGATTTTTTAAGGTGATTTTTGAAAATTTTCCCTAGATTTTGATATTCAACCATAAGGTAGGTCCTGCTATGTTATTTTTTGTTACTAGCCTGTGAGTATACTACATACCAAATTTGGTCCGAATTAGTACACTTTGGACGGAGTTAGGAGGGGGGTCAAAACATTGTACGGGGAGTATATAATATATTTGTGTGATTGTAGACGGATTGAGGCGGATAAAAGGTGTGTTATTTATCGTTGGATTTGTTGTGTTTTTAGGGTTGGTCTGAGGAAAGAGTCCCGGACCCGTTGTGAGAAGAAGCGGTGCCTGATCGTGTGGGAGAAGGGCCGTGAAATCTAGTACACAACTTCATTCAAATGGCGACAACGGTGACGTCCGATTCCGGACGGACTGAAATCGGCAAATCACGGGCGCATTTGATCAAAGCTACTGAAAATCTTGATGCCATATTATCAAAAGTTCCACCTAACCTGCATATCCCTCTGGGGGATATATAGCATCCTGATGTTCGCGTTGTTCTTTCTTACTCTCGCGGAGCGCGACACTTTTGTTGATTCATTGAGCCTCAAGTACCGCCTTTCGTTTAGCCTGAACAGAAATGTTGAGTACCGACTTGCTCTTGTTTTTCCTCGCTTACGCGCGGGCATAAGAGCGGGTGATGCGGCTGCCGTGCGCATTTGGTGCATTTTATTTTGGGGTTGCAAGATGGAGTTAAAGCAGAGAGAGCATTGGCCTAGACACTGCAGTCGGCTAAAGCGTTTGTAGGGAGTTTTGTATATTTTGCACCGCCACGAACAGCATGTCTTACGGAAGCAAGGCGATATTGCGCCCCGTGCAATAAGTCAGTAAAGTCTAGTGGTGAAAGATTAGTCCAAAAAAGGTTATACACAGTAGTTTATTTGAATAGAACCAGCGTATACAATTCCAGAGTAGAGGAATATATCTTACTTCAGGCGACTCTCTCTTTAGATGGCTCGGGCCGGGTTTATATACTGGTGGGGTTAGTGTGATGTAAACATTATTTCACAACAATTTCGAAATTTAGACAAATATGTCGTGACATAATTCGTTTCTAGAATGCGATAGATTTGTTTCGCAATAATTTCTGCGTTAGAAAAAAGCGAAGAGAGTTATTTTCGCGTTTCGCGAAAAGAAGAGAAAAATGAAGAGACTTTTTAGTAAACAATTGCGAGAGAAATGGAGAGTAAAGAACGCTCACAATTTTTTCCCTTTACAAACAAGAGGAAAGATAAAAATAATATAGTTGAAAAAACTTTTTACAATTCTTTGCGAGTCGAGTCGCAACACTCCCGGCCCTAAGGAAGAAGAGATTCCGTCAAACCTGGTCGCGTCTGATCCTCTGTCCGAAATGGTCTTCGAATGTGTAGTTGAGGACTTCCATGCATTGAGTACGTCACCATTTCCATGGCCTGTGGCTGTGCCGGAGGTGGGTTTTGCGGTTGTGGTTGCCGTTGCTTGTAGTAACCCAAGATTGCGTAGACAGTTCCATATGTTTGGAGTACACACGAGATTGTCACCCATACAAACCATACCATCTTTGCATAGTACCATATTGTCCAGAGTAATCCCCAACTGTCGAGAATTTCCGTCCTTAAATCATGGTGCTCAAGCACACTTTGGTCTTGGACCAATATTTCTGACTCCGTACTAACAGCTTTCTCCATTTCTTCCAAGATCTCTTCTTGGAACACGTTGCTTTTGTGGAGTATGATGTCTTTGAAGATGTATTGTTGATCCAGAAAATGCCATTGGTCTTTTTCTTCAAGTTTCACTTGCTTGGCTTGTTCTTTAATTGGTGTTGTCTTTCCCGTCATTCTGTTGTATTCGTAGACTTGGCCGTCGATGATTACATTCATTGTAGGTCCACAATTTTCTTCTTTTGCAGTTTCCTTTGAACGGTGGAGAATTTGCGTGTGACGATTTAGGAACAATGTAGTGTTGTATTGGTTGATCCTGATGGGTATTACGCATTCGTTGGGACTGGGTTTGAATTGGTACTCCTTCTTGTTCAGACGGTGGCACATCTCAACTTCAACGATATCGTCGCTCAAACGGTTGGCTACAATGTTCGTCCGGTTCAGCAGTCTCTGCATAGTAACAGTCGGATTGATGGATATGACTTCTCGAATCCTCGTTGAATGTTCGCGCAGCATAGCACACATCGCTCTTGCCAGATGTCGCATTTGCTTGAGGGTGTAGTATTCGGCGAACTGCAAATCCGACGATTCCTCATCGGATACATCCAAATTTGCTTGTCGTGACCATCTTGGCTTCATTTTAGCGAGGAAATTGTCAATGGTTTCCTCGTCGTATCCTTTTGCCATCATGTCCTCCTTGGTTGCTCCCCTTAGCAACTCCATTAAACCAAACATCTGTGAAGGATTTCCAGATCCTTTTCCAGTTGTAGTTGTACGAGTTGTCTTCGTTGTCGTTGCACGTGTTGCTTTCGTTGGTGCTGTCGTTGTAGTTCTTCGCGGAGGTTCTGTTCGTATTGGGGTTGTCCGTGTAGTCGTCGGTCGACTCGTTGGCCGAAGTGTAGTTGTTGGCATTGTAGGTAGATCCTTTGGCTGGATAAACGGTGCCCGCGTTGGTAAGTCAGGAGTCTCGTCTTGAATTCCACGAATTTTGATTGGGGGACCGATACGAATTCCAAGTCCTTGATCTGTTGGGATTATTGTTTGATTGCAATCCGATTTTGTAATAGTGGTGTTGAATGTGACCATGGCGTGCAGATCTTCGATCACAGCAGACTTATCGGTGACCACGCCAACTCCTTGATAAGCCTTTACAAATTCACACCTTTGCGTTTGGTTGACTTTCCACACGAATATTTCGTTTTCCTTGGTACGGCATATTCCAGCGGAATAAGTGCAGCCAGATAGGTCTCCCATTGCCGACGTTGCTGATGGGCTCCCGTAGTGGGCGAATACCTTTGTTTCCAGCAGGAGGCAGTTTCTCTTGACATCCACTTTTTCTCCATTTAAGAAGGTCATGATTCTGTTTGGTGGGTCGATGCTAACTTTGTTGTGTGTCCGGTAAATCGACTTCCCTTTTACTAATTCGCCATGTTTGCATTTTCTTTCCACAATCATCTTCTTACATTCTTCTTCTGATAGCACTTCGGGTGGGTTTTGGTCTTCTCGAACTTCTGGGACGCCGTTCAACAGCGTCTGTTGTCTTACGGTCATTGCCTCCAACCGACATACATAGGCAGGAGAATGAAATTCGATTGTGTTTCTTTTGTAGAGTTCTATCCGTCTTGGCTTCCCAACGTCGCTGTTGACGGACAAGTCGTAATCACAACTGGCCACATCTGGCATCCTCCATAGAACTCGGGTCTTCCCGAGACACAACTTGGGCTGATTCGTTTGACCATTGACGCCTCCAATGACGAATGTTAACAACATTAATAGAGGGGTGTAGTCGATAAATTTGTTTCGCCTTGGACGTCCACATCTAGCCGGAACAGGTTGTTTTTGCTCTCTCTCCAGGTCCTCCTTCGTCTTGTAGTCCAATTCTTCTCCTTCAACTTCTCCTCCTATTTCTAATGGATGTAATAAATTGACTGCTCGGATTGCAGTCTTCCGATTAGGCAGGATGATCTCGCAGTTTCTCGTGATTCCATCTTTGGATTTGATTGCTCTTTTAATCCTGGCCATTTTCCATTCTCCTCTCGGTTGTTCTGGCTCTTCCAGGATTACAAGTTCTCCTGGTTTCGGAATGAGAGTTTGCTTCTCTTGATAGTTTCCACGATCGGCCAGTGTGTCCAGGTATTCCTTTCTCCATCGTGCCCAAAACTTGTCAAGCCTTTCATTGAACTTGTCGTAAAGTTGTCGTAGCTCATTGATTTTGTATGCCTTTATCACGAAGTCTGGATCGCTTGATTCGTTCGCTGTATCACCATTTTCATCGTACCTGGTTCCGTTTGGTCGTAAGAAGTCCACCGGTCGCAGGGCTTCAAAGCTGTCGTTATCGTCGTATAACGGAAGCAGAGGACGATTGTTAAGAGTTCCTTCGATTGCGATGACAAGGGTTTCCAGTTCTTTATATGAAGGTCGTGATCGTCCCAGGGTCCGTTTGATTCCTTCTTTTAGACTTCTGTTCAATCTCTCATAGGTCGCTCCGCGCCATGGAGCGTTAGGTGTGGTGTGCGTCCATGTGATGTTTTGAAGGTGTCCATATTTTTCCAAAAACATTTTTCGTCCAGCGACAAAGTAGGTGGCGTTGTCGCTGAGGATATATCGCGGGACTCCTCTACGAGCGCAGAATTTGGTCATCGCATTAAGAATGTCTTCTGTTTTAATGGAGTCCGTAAGCTCCAAATGTACTGACCTGGTACGAAGACAGGTCAGTAACAGTACGTATGCTGGTCCATCCTTTGTTCGTAATGGTCCACAGATGTCCAGTCCCGTTGATTCGAATGGCGTTCCGGTAGTTGTTCTGCTTGTTGGTAGTGGGGGAAACATTGGAGTTTCTTAAGGACGAGTGTTGTAGATGCGACATCGGATGCACCTCTTAACCATTGTTTTGACATACCTGTAAGAGATGTAGAAGTTTTCTCTTATTAGTGATGTTACGGCCAACGCCGATTGGTGGTGGTTATTTTCATGATGGTATTGAACGATCTTTTGGGCTAGCGGACTCTCCACAGGTAGCCAGATGGGGTTCTTTGCATTTTCCGTTCGTTCTGCGTTCGCCAGTCTGGTGTCCACTCGCCATGTGCCAATGTCATCCTTGTAGAGACGTCGTCTCGTTTGAATTTTTGGGGTGGGGGGATAGATTTCTTGCTCGGCTCTGACGAGCCGCCTTCCCGCCTCTTGAGGAGTTTCTGGTATTGGCGTACGACCTGGGCGGCATTTGTTGATGAAGCAGATGACATGTTTGGTCACATTGATCAGCTTCTTCCAATCCATGTCTTTTGTGATGAGACTGGCTGGTTCGTCGGATTTCGCGGTAGCTGTTGTCGTCGTCTCGGTGGGAACGTCTGTGAGTTTTGGGACAACCATTGTTGAAGGCCATTCCGTGATGTCCTGTAGTAGAAATTCCGGTCCTTTCCACCATAATTCGTTGTGCATAAGCTCAGTTACTTTTGCTCCGCGACTTGCAATGTCAGCGGGATTGAGTTTTCCATCGATAAAGCGAAATTCCATCTCCTTTCTGTAGCTTTGCAGTTCGCGTACTCTGTTTCTTACATAGATGGTTTGATCGTCTTCATGTAATAACTGTTGAATGGCCACTTGACTGTCTGAGTAGATGATGACGTTCTTGATTTGTGGTAGTTCCTTCATGAGAAATTTGGCCACTTTTGCTGCCCCATACATCGAAGTTATTTCCTTTCTGGGAATCGTCAGTTTGATGCTCGATCGTTTCTTCAATTCGCTTGGGAACAGTCGTGATTTTGCAAAGATTAAAGCAGGTTTTTTCATCGGTCCAATTACATATGCAGCAATACCAAAGCCGTATGAACTTGCGTCGCAGAACACCGCCATGTTGACGTCTTCTGATTTTAGTTCCACCATCCGCGGAACTTCTATTTCTTTCACGTCGTCGACATACTTCGTCCATTCGAATACAAGTTCTTGGGGCACGGGGTCATCCCATGAGATCCCTAGGTCCCAAATCTTTTGAAGGATCCGTTTGAATGGCAACATTGTTGGAGATAGAAGTCCAAGTGGGTCATAAAATTTTCTGAGATGAGATACCATCATTCTTTTTGTTACTGTGCCATCGCCGTCGTACTTAAACTTGGGTCTACGAAATATCTGCCCGCGAATGGAACCGGTTCTCCATAAGGGATCTCACGTGCTTCCAAGGACATACCTAGTTTTGTAGCCACAAGCTCATACATTGGTAATAATCCAGCGATAGATTGCAACAAAGCATCGTCTCCACAAACTATCGTAATTGAGTTAAAAGCCTTCTTTGATGGCACACCCAATTCACGTAGGGCCACAAATGCTATGAAGGCATCAATTATTGTGTTCCCCACTGATGTTGTGGGACTACCTGATCTGGTGCCATCTAGGGCCAAGTATACGTAACCATTGGATGTTACAGCTTTCTTGCAATAAGTTTTCTCAAATAAATTGCTAAAAGTTGTTCTATCCTTGGTCTGTAATGCTCGCCCTATACATGCTTTTGCCAACTGTGCTAGATCTTTGGAACAATGTCCATCAAACCTACTGTAGTCAGATGTGATAAATGGTTTATCACTATGTTCTTTAATCCGACTAGCGACTTCCCTGGTGGACTTACCAGGCATATACCACGGTACTCTCTTCATCACTTGGTCACAAAAGGCCAATGTGATTGTGCTCAAGACCATGGTATGTTCAGCCGACATCGTCGTTATTGGACGTGGGGCGTTTGTTCCAGCATATGGTTCAGTTTTAATGAATGATTTGTTCTTGTTAGATGCATTCAATGAGGCCGTTGACTTGACCTGCGCTGATCTTGCTCGTTGTAACGGTTTATCCTGACGCCTCTCGACTTCGTCGAGATCAAAAGGTACAACCGAGTGGCAAACATCAGCCGGAACGAGCAATTGCATAAATTCACCTTTATACTTGTAGAATTCTGGTGGTATGGTTTTCTCATTCCGCACATTTGTGATGCGGCTCTGAACCATTGCTACGTCATTGTTGTAACTGTTCTTTGGGATGACAGACGGTGCGTCAATTAGAGGTTCAGTTACCCTTTGTCCTCGTTCCTCTCCGTCTTCCGTTGCTAGCGGTCCCAAAGATTGAAAATGAGACGTTGGCCCCATGCTACTTGTTGTCACCGTAGGTTTCGGTAACTTAGATAAAGCATCAATCAATAATGCTGCATCTAATGTAGCTTGTTTGCGGCCTTTGTCGGGGTATTGACTTAACAATATTCTCTCAACGTCTGATATCAATGGGTCATCCTTCTTTGATGCTCTTATGACAATTGAACTGTATAATGTAGCATCTAGCATTATCTGGTGTACGCTATCAAGCGACTTGACACAAACTGTATTGTTGATGATATCAAACACAAGCGTTACTCCTCCAGATGTGTAGAGTTTCCTTTCGACCTTTTTGATTTCAAACAGAACTTTCCAAGGACTAAACAACCACCGGGACCCTTGTACTCTAGCGCGGGGTAATAACCACACTATTTTATACTGGTCATTCAACTCGCACCTCCTGGATTCCACTGTATACATACACAAATTATTGGTACGATCAGTTACAGCCAGGTGGTCGGTCTCGTAATCCCAGATAGGGTGTTTATAAGTTGCCCCGCCACTGACAAAATTGCACACCTCATCTCCTTCTATATAAAATGCAGTCTCACTCTTTTCGCCAACAGTCGAAACTTTGGTTGGCGACATCGTGTACATTACAATAGGATGGAATAGAGATAGATACTGATTTATATCGACATAGTAATCAACATCAATCATTATCAGTGCATGGTTCTTTTCAATTGGTGAGTCCTTTACTTGATACTGTAGGTCTTTTAAATCGTAGAATACTCGGCACCCGGGAGTTTCACGTTAGTGATTGGGATTGCCACCGAGGTTTGAGTCGCTGTTAGTAAACAATTGCGAGAGAAATGGAGAGTAAAGAACGCTCACAATTTTTTCCCTTTACAAACAAGAGGAAAGATAAAAATAATATAGTTGAAAAAACTTTTTACAATTCTTTGCGAGTCGAGTCGCAACAGCGAACACTTTCTCCAACGGGTTTTTTCGAGCTACGGACAATTTTATTTTGTAATCTTGTTACTTTTTGTGTGGGTTTGCCATGTGAACATGGAATCTTCCAAAGATGGTAGGCTCGTTACGGCAGAGTGAGTCATAGTTAATGGGCGCCTGCCACACCACCACCAGGGCGTGCGGGATCCGCTGGTTGCGGACAAACGCTACCCCGTCGTCGGTGGTTGGGACGATGAGGATTGTCGACGACAAGGGCTTTCGTCGACAGTCCAAGGGACTGAAATCCGGTGTTGCGTATAGAGTGTTAATTTTTAGTTTACACATTTGTTCGGTGAGCCACTGGCACGTGTCCATTCGCGTGGGCGAGTTGTATTATAACTCCTTTATCAGATTGTTTTTAGTAGTTGCGCGAGGGGATTCGTTAGAATCTCTGTTCTGACTCATACTCAGGAATCTTGCGATTCTTTGTGTTTTGTGATTATTACAATCTCTCGGCCTGGAAAAAAAACGCGTCCCTGCGTTTATCCAGAATCACTCTTTCAGTCGCTCTTCCGAGTTTATTCGGAGATAAGAATTGGGAAAGAAGAAAAATGAATTTTCTTCATATTTGTTATATTGCTTGTGTTCTCCTCGTTGGAGTCTCTGCCGAAGATGGAACCCACTCGTCCCAGCTGAGAACCAAGACAATCCATGTGGAGGATTGGTACGTTGTCCGGCCCAGACCGTCTGTTAGCGGCCAGAAAAGTAAGTTGAATTGCATTTCCTCACTTGCTTTCCTCCATTATGATGTTTTTATTTTCAGGTATTTGAGTCCTCATGTTTGTGTGGACCCGTCATGGGTTTTGGAGCGGGATCTTCTCTTGCCAAAGCCCGACTGTGACTGTACCCATCGAATTATTAACTGTGCCATTCCTTCAATGCCATTTCTCTTGGTATTCTTTTTCTTGTTAGTTCAAATCATTATTTTATTTCTTTGGGTCTTCCGTGCCCAAGTCATAAGTTTTCTACGACCTGAGAACCTTGCCTTGCAGCCATAATTTATTTTTTATACTACTGGTGTTCTCCTCGTTGGAGTCTCCGCCGAAGATGGAACCCACTCGTCCCAGCTGACGACCAAGACAATCCATGTGGAGGACTGGTGCGGTGTCCGGCCCAGACCGTCTGTTGGCGATCAGAAAAGTGAGTAGAATTCTGCATTTCCTTATCACCATTTGATTTCCTTCTTTATGATGTTTTTCCAGATATTTGAGCGCTCGGGTTTGTGTGGACCCGTCTTGGGACTTGGAGCGGGATCTTCTTCTCCCTCCGCCCGACTGCAACTGCACCCATACAGTTATGAGCTGTGCTATTCCTTCGATGCCATTCCTCTTGGTATTCGTTTTCTTGTTTGCTCAAGTCATTATCTTAATTCTTTGGGTGTTCCGTGCCCAAGTCATAAGTTTCGTAAGTTTTTTACGACATGAGAATCTTGTATTGGAGCCATGTTTTCCTTATTTCTTTTATTGAGTTAAAGTAAAAGAATGAATAAATGATAAGTATGAAAAAGGATGTTATTCGGAGATTATTCGGAATCCGAAATGTCGTCATCCATTACGATATATTCTCCGAGGAGCCCGTTGACGGGGGCCGGTACCTTCCCTCGGCATTGAGGGGGAAGGAGGGGATCACAGAGTTGGAGATTGTGATCCGCTGGCTGTCCCACTTGGCATAGTGGAACAATTGGTATTCGGTGTAGTCGTCCAATTGAATTAACCCATTTTCGCGGGCTAAAGGGGCCAATGCTCGGGCCAAAATGCATTCATAATTGGCCGGGAGGTTCAGTTTGGCATGTGTGTTGAGCCAGCGGTGCAGTCTTGTAGCGTAGACCTGCACCGCTAGGCGAGGCTCCCCAGCCTCCTGCTTCCAGGTTGCCTGGATGAGGCGGAATCCCGCTTCATCCTCTAGTTCTTCCATGAACCTGTGAGGCGACTTTCCCTTCAGGCTGAGCTGGCTTGCCGGTTCAGTGGGTGTCGGAGGAGCCAGCTCCAACTGGCGGGTTGATGATGAGAGGACCAAATTAATCATCGGAAAAAAGGTCCCGGTGAGCCAAAATGCGGCAGGTACAGCTTTGTCGAGAATGTCCGTTGGATGTGTTGTGGAATGTTTAACGTAAACACTGCTGGAACGACAGTGTTCACTCCGAATGGTGGTGGGCTCAGGCCCAACCACCAAATATCAATTTGTTGTCTCCAAGAATGGGTTGTATGTATTAGAGACAATAGTAAAATGTGCAATGCCCAGGTAATATACAAATATTTATTATATAATCATATAATATAGAGTAACATTACTTGCAATAGTGAAGCTTCAAATGACTGAAATTCGGTGTTGCTTATATAGTGTCAATTTTTAGTTTGTACATTTGTCCGGTGAGTCACTAGCACGTATCTATTCGCGTGGGCGAGTTGTATTATGACGCCTTTATCAGACTTTTATCAGTAGTGGCGCGAGGGGTTTGTTAGTAGAGATGATCATTAATCGGTTCACAAGACATAGGCAAAGAAAAAATTTTGTCGACCAACATGTTCTTACCTCGTGGGAGATTTCCAACTGAACATTGAACGGGTTGACCATCGCGATGAATCTACATGAATTTTCAAATTTTTGTGGAGGAGTAAATGAATTGTCAGGAATTCGTAAAATTTACGTCTTCCATATCCACTGCTTTTATGTAATCTCCAATTATTCATTATTTTTTAAGTGCAACGACCGAATGTCGTGTTTTGACAAATGGTGATTTATTAGAAAATCGTCTGGTTTTATTACACAATAGGGCAATCAATACTGAGGTAATCATGTTAGACAGAGACAGGTCAACGTTTACGATAGTTTGCTCGCCATCCTGAAGTTTTACACAGTTTAGTAGATAATTTTATTTCAATAATCAAATAAAATTTTATAATACAAACTGGAATAAAAATTAGCCCAAGCAATATTATCTGGGCTTCATATCTCTGCCTCATCAGGGAGAAATGGGCATGTTTTTCTTAACAAAAGTTATTTCGGTCTGCAAAGTCAGTCTTCGCTATCATTTGGGCTTCTTAACATCGGTCTTTTGATATGACGACGTTACGTTCCCCTTTGACGTCGTACTCTTGGAGTATGACGTCCAGGATTCCCTCCACATTGATCAATTCCACGTCTCAGGTGTTCTGGGACATTGATCAACGTCGGGTGTGAACCCGACGTAGAGTCACTTTTGGTCCGCTTCCTCATATTGCTCTACGGCATTTGTCAGTGCTTCTTTAATATCCTCCAGCTTCTTCCTGAGCTTCGCTGAATCTTCCTGTACTTGCACCTCTGGTCTTCCCGTCTGCTGGACTGACAACTCTAACTCTACGGCTGACTCCACTAGCCTTTTGATTTTTACTAACAGTTGATCCAATCTTTGCAACCCTAAGGCCACCATGGCCTAATGCACCATGTAAAGTAGATAGACAATTTATTTTAACCTGAAATATATGACATGATTATAAATAATGGAATACGCGTCTTATACGGCGCTCTTCTGTTCCCGTTGTGCCCTCTTATTACGAACAGATTGACACCTGTTCGCGATAAGAGGGCGGTGGCGCCGTCTTCTCTTTTGTCTACGTGAACTGTGAAGCTATCCATGAACGGTAGATATGCCAATGTGTCTGCGCCATCGAACGTTTGGAGAGTTAGCTTTGGTAATTTTGCCGCCGTGGCCCTGCTTGCCCACCTGTTCGCGATAAGTTGAAATCGAGAACACGCACAAATTTTCCCTTTTACAAAAGTTGAATAACGCGTACAATCGAGGTTCTTGAGCTGAAGAGAACCTTGTATTGGAGCCATGTTTTCCTTGTTTCTTTTATCGAGTTAAAGTAAAAGAATGAATAAGTGATAAGTATGAAAAAGGATGTTATTCGGAGTCCGATGTGTCGTCATTCATTACGGTGAACTCTCCGATCTGCAGAATACGTGTCCTTTTCTAAAGCAACTAAAGCAGCGACTTGCCCTTTGTAGAGCATAACACTACAAGTATTGGCAACTCCAGCAGCGGTGGCCGGCCTTGTGGCAGAAAAGACTCGCTACTTTGTTTTTGGAAAAAAATATTTTTGCCAAAATGAGTCTCGAGCTGCGCCCGAGATTTTTGAAAATCTTGGTGCTATATTATACGAAAGAACTTAGAAGCGCATTTTTCCCTTAAAAAAAACGGTTTAGGTTGCAACTACCGATGTACTGCCTATTCGAATAGGGGGCTCATGTTGGTCGTCTAGATCGTCTTGATTTTTGTGAATTACATTTATTTTGACCCGTCGCGGTAAAAATGGAACCAATACGAGCAATTTCCTTGTTGGAACTATCCTATATTCTAGTTCTGGGCGAGGAGTCGGACATCGAGTCATTGGACGACATTGGGTAATCAAAATTAATATCATGTAACATGAATTATATGTACGTAGTATATATATATATATATATATATATATATATATATATATATATATATATATATATTATATTTTACGTAGTATATTGTAGTATATCGTATTATATTTTAATATATATTTTCTATGTGTATAAAACAAATTTTAAGTCCGGAAAAAATTAAGTTCATGTTTTAACAAATAAATTAATATATTCCACCGTTGCTTTACGTATTATATATAATATAATTATACAGGGTGTTTTAAGAAATTTGGACCAAATAATTTGCTTATATCTTTGTGTTCTTTGCAGCTATCAACGAATTTCTTTTTGCTTCTAAAAAACGACGTCGTGCGTTTTTAGAATCTCTAAAAAAATGTTTTGTCGTCGGCGGAGGGCCCATTTCTCGGCGGAGAAAATTAGGGCCTTTTTAAAAAATCACATCGTATTACGTTCGAACCTCGCCGTGACATTAATGAGATGTCAGGGCTACCTTTGCCTAACGTAAAATAAATATTATGGCGTTTGAAATTTAACGTCGTCAACGGTGTAACCGACGGTCAACTGGTGCTTCTTTCAAAATGACTCACATCCTAACTAATTTTTATTGAATTTTATATTTTATATTATTTATTTTATTTTATTGCGTTGATAAAATTTAATTAAATAACCTTACAATAATTATTTTTGGATGCGGGTTGATTAACGTTGGGTGGGTCATTTCCTGGTGCCAGCTCTGTTCTGTTTAGAGCCCCGGCCAACGACGCTCCTTCTGCCCTGTGGTCGTAGGGTGGGACGCAGTGCTCCCCGCCGATGTCCGACGGAAGGAACACTCCGTTTATCATTGACTGGATTGCTCTCGTTGTTCCGATGTGGAGACTGGTTGGAATTCCTTTGGCCTTGGCTTCTTGTTCTATTTTTAGTAACTCCGCCTTCAACTTGTTCACCGCTAGCGACGCTTCTGTCGTCGCTTGCGTTAGTCGCATGCGAAGGATCCGAACTTCGTGGGTGTTCATCGTTTGAATTTTTGGGGTGGGGGGGATAGATTTCTTGCTCGGCTCTGACGAGCCGCCTTCCCGCCTCTTGAGGAGTTTCTGGTATTGGCGTACGACCTGGCCGGCATTTGTTGATGAAGCAGATGACATGTTTGGTCACTCGTATTATATTTTAATATATATTTTCTATGTGTATAAAACAAATTTTAAGTCCGGAAAAAATTAAGTTCATGTTTTAACAAATAAATTAATATATTCCACCGTTGCTATACATATTATATATAATATAATTATACTGTTGTTTCAAGAAATTTGGAACAAATAATTTGCTTATATCTTTGTGTTCTTCGCAGCTATCAACGAATTTCTTTTTGCTTCTAAAAAACGACGTCGAACATTAACATAAGGTATGATGATGTAGTATACGTGGAATGGCAATCTCTTATAGTCTAATAACCACTTTTTAGTTTAGTTACATCTACAGGGTGTTTCAAGAAATTTGGAACAAATGATTTGCTTATATCTTTGTGTTCTTTGCAGCTATCAACGAATTTCTTTTTGCTTCTAAAAATTGACAGCGTGCGTTTTTAGAATCTCAAAAAAAATTTTTTTCGTCGGCGGAGGGCCCATTTCTCGGCGGAGAAAATTAGGGCCTTTTTTAAAAATCGCAGCGTATTACGTGGCGGAAACGGCGTTGCAACGGCTGAAATCAAGTTTACGTTACACCTCCGTCGATTTTACGGTATGCATTTTTTTGTTTTCGATTTTACGCGCACCGCGGAGGCGCGGCGGAGACTTCAGATTTCGGCGGACGTTGTTTTGGGCCTTCGGCTGTTGCAATTCATGTTGGAAAAGAAGTTGGGGTGATTTTTTGTTGTCATCCGATGCACAGATGGCAAAAATTTCGTGCTTTTTTCCCCGGCGGAGGATTCGGCGGAGGCTTTATCAAAGGGTCAAAGCTGTCTTACGAGTCCGGGAAAAATCTCAGCTACAAGAATCCATCAGAGCAGCATTGTCTTTCAAAGATTTTTGATTTTTTTGGTCCGGCGGACAAATCGGCGGAGTTTTGTTTTTACCCTTTGATAAAGCCTCCGCCGACTCCTCCGCCGGGGATAAAAAGCACGAAATTTTTGCCATCTGTGCATCGGATGACAACAAAAAATCACCCCAACCTCTTTTCCAACATGAATTGCAACAGCCGAAGGCCCAAAACAACGTCCGCCGAAATCTGAGGTCTCCGCCGCGCATCCGCAAAAGTGCGTAAAATCGAAAACGCAAAAAAAGCATACCGTAAAATCGATGGAGGTATTACGTAAACTTGATTTCAGCCGTTGCAACGGCGTTTCCGCCACGTAATACGCTGTGATTTTTAAAAAAGGCCCTAATTTTCTCCGCCGAGAAATGGGCCCTCCGCCGACGAAAAACAATTTTTTTTGAGATTCTAAAAACGCACGCTGTCAATTTTTAGAAGCAAGAAGAAATTCGTTGATAGCTGCAAAGAACACAAAGATATAAGCAAATCATTTGTTCCAAATTTCTTGAAACACCCTGTATTGTGGCTAGCCAAATATACACCGACTTGTAAGCACTACTTTTCATTTTTTCCTTTTTTCGACACCGATCGGCGGCGGAAAAAATGTTCGGAACGCTGTGCGTCGTGCGTTTTTAGAATCTCTAAAAAAATTTTTTGTCGTCGGCGGAGGGCCCATTTCTCGGCGTAGACAATTAGGGCCTTTTGCCTTTTTTAAAAATCACATCGTATTACGCGGCGGAAACGCCGTTGCAACGGCTGAAATCAAGTTTACGTTAAACCTCCGTGGATTTTACGGTATGCTTTTTTTTGCGTTTTCGATTTTGCGCACATCCGCGGAGGCGCGGCGGAGATCTCAAATTTTGGCGAACTTTGTTTTGGGCCCTCGGTTTTTGCAATTCAGGTTCGGAAAGAGGTTGGGGCGGTTTTTTGTTTTCATCCGATGCACAGATGGCAAAAATTTCGTTCTTTCTTTCCCCGGTGGAGGATTCGGCGGAGGTTTTATCAAAGGGTCAAAGCTGTCTTACGAGTCCGGGAAAAATCTCAGCTACAAGAATCCATCAGAGCAACATTATCTTTCAAAGATTTTTGATTTTTTTGGTCCGGCGGACAAATCGGCGGAGTTTTGTTTTGACCCATTGATAAAGCCTCCGCCGAATCCTCCGCCGATGAAAGAAAGTACGAAATTTTTGCTATTTGTGCATCGGATGAAAACAAAAAATCGCCCCAACCTCTTTTCCAATATGAATTTGCAAAAGCCGAAGGCCGAAAACAAAGTCCGCCAAAATTTGAGGTCTCCGCCGCGCCTCCGCGGATTGCGCAAAATCGAAAACGCAAAAAAACATACCGTAAAATCCACGGAGGTTTAACGTAAACTTGATTTCAGCCGTTGCAACGGCGTTTCCGCCACGTAATACGATGTGATTTTTAAAAAAAGCCCTAATTGTCTACGCCGAGAAATGGGCCCTCCGCCGACGAAAACACATTTTTTTAGAGATTCTAAAAACGCACGACGTCAATTTTTAGAAGCAAAAAGAAATTCGTTGATAGCTGCAAAGAACACAAAGATATAAGCAAATTAATTGTTCCAAATTTCTTGAAACACCCTGTATAAGGACTATATGCAAATGCACATGCTACACATTTATAGTTATATGGCAAACCAGGTTATATTCTTTATTAACTCGTTGAATAAACTCGATAAAGACAAGATAACGTTTTAATATACGAATTAATACATTTTGGAGTTATTATATGTCTATATAAGTTATTATATGTTCATTATTATATCTATGCATAATTATATGTTATATACAACATTAATGCATATATATATTATATATAAGTATTATATCAAAATTTACATATTACACAAATATATACATATATTAACCTTGGTAAACCATACTATAACCTTCAAATCGTTGAATAGAAATTACTCTATATTATATATCATCATAATTTTGTCTCTCTTACCAAAAAGAGACAGCTCCTCATTCGATCCGAACTTGTCTTATCAGTCCCCTTCTCTCTCTCTTTGTATGCAAAAAAGAAAAGCAGAAAAACGCCACTTTTGAACAATGCTTTTTGATCGCTGATAAGGGAGATTTTGTATACATAAAACATTTTTCTTATAAGAATAGTGAAGTATTAACTATAACTTTTTTGTATAAACCAATTGAGAAGGTATTGGCGAGCTCTACAGTTGGGACAAGAGGTGGCAATCGGGCCGGGCCGGGCCGATTTTTTGTGGCCCGGCCCGCTGGCAACAGGAAAGGAGGCTGGTTTGGACAATTAGGGATACCATTGAAGTTTGTCACAGCCGGGGGTGGCTCGGTGACACGGTGGAATCGGCCGGATGGGTTTACCGACTCCTTTGAGTAACTGAGTGTTCTCCTACTTTTTAGCTGGATGCGGAGGTTAAGATGGGCTGGCGGCGAGTACAACAAGGGATTGATTTGCGACATATTTATTGTTGGAAGCTTATGTATTAGCATAAATGGGCGGGATCAGATGAGGTGCCCTAGGGCTGGGCCAAGGGAGGTCTTCCGGCCCTACTACACCTCATAAGAGGAATCATTAAGCATGCGACAGGGAGTGAATGCTTACTGAGGCGTTTGCACGGGAGAATGTGATTAAGAAGCAGGAGCGCCGAGTGTTGTGGCAATCAAGAATTTTGTCGGCCAAAATTAATCATAATTGCCCACATTACTGAGATGCGAAATTGTGACTGAAAACAGTGTTACGCGGCACCTTATAGAGCCTCCGTAATGGCTGTTCACTAGATCATCTTGTCTTCAATTATTGTTTTGTTTTTGAAGGCATCATGAACTTGCCCCGGATAAATTTGTCTAACAAATATGTGAATAATTTTTTTACGATTTTGGACATTTCAGTACTTGTTTGAGTACTCAGATTGGTTCGCAAAACATTTGGTTAAGCTTTGTATGAAACGCCATGGATCCTTTGAAGGGCTTTACGATCTAACTCCTTTACGTTTTTTCAGCGAGACGATGCTGCATCTTGTTGTGTGGGCGGCCAAGGATCAGACGACCGAGTGAGTGGAAGCCGTGCGGAAAGCACGTGGACACCACCGCTACGCTACGAAAGGAGCGGTCAAAGGAGACCACATCAAAGGAGATCAAGCTTAATGACCGCGCGCGTTGCGTGCGTCAAACACAGAGGAACTAATGATCGACTCCTAAGTGATCCAAGAAAAACTACGACTACTCACGTCAACAAACGTAAGCTATATTTTGCTCGAGATGTGAGCCCCATCCTAGAGCAAGAAAGCGAAATTTAAGCACTATACCTATTATGCAAAATATTTTCATATATAGCTATATAGTTAAGAAAAAGAAATAGGAAATATACAAAAAAATATAACCGTAATAAAAACAATAGTATCACAAATTTTTCGCCCCACAAAAACATCACAAAAAAATGATGAAAAATAAAAACGGGAATATCCAAAAAAAATGCAAAATAAGAAGGCAACATGATCAAAATAATATTACAAAAAAAAACTTTGCCATATTATTTACGTCGAACTCGAAACGGTGATGTCTTCGCGTTGTTCCGGAATAGAAAGCGCCTGATCCTTCTCGTCTTGGCGGGTTGATCTCCAGCTTTAGTTGTTGTATCCTGGCCACGTGGATCAGCCGTTGGAAGAGTTCGGCCAAGACCATTAACTCGTGGTCTATGGGGACCGCCGTGGCCCGAGGCGGCGCCAAAAGTTCGCGGAGCGCGAACGCAATGCTTCCAGTCCTTTTTTTTCTTACCTTCCGAAATGTTCATCCTCGCTTCTAAAAAGAGAAAAAAACAAATCGGAAATGAAAATATCAGACATAATCAAAAGAAAATATTAAGCAGGAAATCCTGTAAATACGAAAAGGCCTTGCCAAAAAATTTATTTTATTCTCAAAAATTCTTGTCCAAAACATTCAAAGGTTGCTCTCTTCCACCTCTGATCAATCAGTTCTTCTGTTCTCCGTGGCTCCGTGCCCGGCTGAATCCGCCGCCAGTAAACATATAACGCCCCAGCACTCGAAACGGCCAGACAAAGAAGAAAGAATACAAGAAACGGCCGCCAAAATTCGGTACTTAATGAGCACTCAATTTCTGGAAATGACTAAACTTCTACTCATCTAATTAACCCAATCAATAATCCGGCATGATATTACAAATATGTTTATTGCTCTTCGTTCGGAATACGCGAACTTGCAGAAGCGATTATATAACATCATTTTCAGAAACAAGGGCCGCCCCTTACTCCTCCCCATTCTATAAGAAGTTATTGGGGTTATCGGGAATCTGGACTGAGCTCTGGTACGGTACTTATTCAGGATAGTCGTGGTGGTTGGATTTGTTCATTTCCTGGGGTTGTCGGTGCTCGTAGGTTTGGTGCGGTACGCGTGTTCGGGGTAGCGATGGTGGTAGTTCGGTTTAACCCAATCAATAATCCGGCATGATATTACAAATATATTTATTGCTCTTCGTTCGCAATACGCGAGATAAATCTATCCAGACTAACTTACAGAAGCGATTATATAATATCGTTTTCAGAAACAAGCGCCGCCCCTTACTAATGGTTGGAGCCTTGGTCGTAAGAGTCCTCCGCACGCCGATTCCTGATCCTCGGCTGGAACAAGAATAACTTCATCGACACCATTTGCCCCATAACTGGAACTAACACAACAAGAGAGAACTAGACCCCAGAAGACAACATTGAAGAAATATCCTACGGATAAAGCCGGAACGCAGAGACGCGTTCATCTCTTGGCCGTGATATTGTAAAAATCGAACAATGGAAGCCGAGCGGAAAGCACCACCGCTACGCTACGAAAGGAGCGGTCAAAGGAGACCACATCAAAGGAGATCAAGATCAGTAACCAAGCGCGTTGCGTGCGTCAAACACAGAGGACCTACTGATCGATAACTTCCGGATTACGAAACCGAACCGACAGATGGACTCAGAAGAAACTGAGTACATAAAAACTAAGTTTGGAATTTGTTCAACCCAAACTACAATAACCCAAGCTACTATATAAGCTGACCTCGAAATCAATTGAGGAAGCTTCCACTCTCTTTCGAACTCTTGTAAAGGAAGCTTCCACTCTCTTTAAAACTCTTGTAATTTTTCTCTCTAATAAACTTTATCAAATTCTCTAAAGTCGACCATAACAAAAAGTGGAGGTCCCACCGAGATGGATCGGAGCCTTCCGCGTTCTGGAAAGTGGCCGATCAAACATAAAAGCGCGACACCCAAGTGATCCAAGAAAAACTACGGCTACTGAGGAAAAAGTTGGTGATCTACAAGTGTATCTGCAGTTGTATTAGAAAAAATAGAATAGTCCCGTGGCTATTGTGGAGTTCTTTGATATCTCGGGATACGGTCTAGGTTTTGTTCAGCCATACAGTATGTATACAATATTGTAACGACAAGTGACTATTTGTTGCCTTGTCCGGCTGCCCTCTCGAGTAAATGATTTGAGCTGGCAAACGTAGTATCCATGTTTCCCTTCAACGTTATTGTAAATAAAACCTTCATTTATACCTTTCTATTCTAAAAAAATTGAAGTCTCCAAATAACGATGATATATGCTATTTAGTCACATAACGTTCTTGACGCTTCTGGTCGCGTGGGTTACATAAAATTAAGGTGATGAAAGAGTTATTCATGTGTGCAAGCGTGATTCATTCGCTTTACCAATTTGGTTTATGATAAAGACATTTATTTCGTAATTCGGACGGTAGTTAATCATTAGTTTCTCTGATCTGACGCACGCACTGCGCGTGTCCATCAATCTTGTTCTTTTTTTGATGTGACCTCCATTGCGCGTTTCCTTGTAGCGGTGGTATCCACGTGCTTTTCGCACTTATCTCGTTCTTTCCAATTATTACAATATTGGCTTCAGGAATTACTTGGGCCAATCGCGGCGTATGCCGGCGCTCGACGATATATATCTTCCGTCGGATGAGCCGAATGATATCTTGTGTGTGTGTGGGTTGACCAGACACTCCTCGATCGTCGCTCCCAGTGCCTTCAACTGGTTGTAGATCGGTGTCCATAACCAAAGGATTCCGTTACCAACAATATCGAGCTGGTTTCGACAATTAGGGAAACCATTGAAGTCGGGCCAAACATTCGACTTCAGAAAACGAGTGCATTACTTTCCGCTGTTCGGAGTTGAATTCATTCTTCTTCCTGCATTTGAAGCTTCTTCCAATTCGATGAAATTGTTATTTTTGAACTTTTTGTGGCACTTTTTCCCTTGCAGTTTCTTCTTCATACTCTGCTGGTGTATTACGAGGTCCGCATATAATTTCGTTTTCGTCACACCACGTTGATAGCGCGGTGAAGGAAATGCCGTTTTTGTAGTGTAAACTTGACGTTTCCCGAATTATTCCTTTGACGCTGTTGGAAATAGATTTAGTTCGGCAAATTACGCATTCCTCTATGGTCTTGGCTCGTTGGAAATAGATTTAGTTCGACAATTTACGATTTTTTCATTTCCTGCAAGCCTCCAATACTCCTTCACTGCCTCATACACTGGGCATTCCAGGTTGTTGTTGTTCATTTTGTTTAAAGAAATTTACAAATCTGAAAATAAAAATAAGTTGTAATATTATTTGTCAACGCGCATCATAAAGTAAGTATGAGAAACGAAGCTCACAAATTTATTAGGTATCTAAAAAATATAAATGAATTATCGAGCAATAATAAGCTCTGTTGCAAAACACAGAAAAAATAGGCAGAAAATTCAGGCATTTTTTTTGCATTGTTCGAGTTTCTGCTCATATTTTTGAAAAAATCAACTTTTAGAGCAGAAAAAAATAAAGCAGAAAATTTTAGCACGATATATATCTTCGTTGGTTGAGGCGAATGGTGTCTTGTGTGCCTGGGTTGTCCAGACACTCCTCGATGAGCACTACAAGTGTTCAATCATTTTCTTAGTTTGATGTGACCTTCATTGCGCATAGGCCCTGTAATATATTATGACTTTAGATAAAGTTTATTACGAGAGAATATTTACAAGGGTTATAAAGAGCGTGGAAGCTTCCTCGACTGATTGCGAGGGCAGCTTATATAGAAATTCGTAAATTTATGAAAGAGGAATATAGCAAAGAAAAGCGAATTATTTGCATAACTTTACGACCATGCTATCTCGCCTTCTCTGTCCTCATGGCGCAGCCGCTGGGCCATCCTCGTAGTGCCTGGGGCTAAATATATTAGCCCCAGGTCTTCTCGGAGGAGAAGTATTGTGATCGTTTGAAGCAGAAATGTGTTTCCCAAGTTCTGCATGTCATATTCAAACCGATGGTGGCTGTAATACCTGTGCTCGGTGTTATCTAAACTGAGCCGAGCCGAATAATTGTCAAACACGTTTATTTAGCAGCAATATTTCTGATAGGGCCGGAGGCACTACAAGAAGAGCCAGAATCGCCACATGTGTGCGGGTAATTCCAGCCGTTCCTGGTGTGCCACGCGGTCCATTAACTGGACCGCCGTGGCATTTATGGCCTTGGTGACCATACCGGAGTCTTGCTCCATTTCCAGTATTGTCCTGGTTCGCACGTCCGCCAGCGAGATGCCTGCCGTCCACTTGGCCTCTCCCGGCCGTCTGTCGACCCGGATTTGGGTCTGCTCCGGGTACGCCTGTTCAAGGGCGTTTACCGGCCATGCGTACCGGTGAATGGTGGGCCGGTGGATGGCCGGCCGACCAATTGGGGCATACTTGATGGGGGTCCATAGCCGGCGAGCCTCGGTGACCAGAACGATCGATGAAGTGCTGGTCTCAATGACCAGCGAGACCATGCTTGTTGGGTCCGACATTGTTGGGGAAATACTTGCAGGGAAGATGATTTTTGGGGTAGAGTGGATCGCTTTATATACTGCTTCTAGTGTTGTTAAGTCCATTTTACGGTCTGTGGAAATTTTGCATTCTTGGGTCATCTGAAGGTTCCATTATTTGATTATTACAGGGTGTTGAGGAGGATTATGGTTCCTACGTCCCATGTTGGCAACTCGGCCTCGGCTACTAAATGAGCCAGTCTCGGTGTGTGTCGTCGTTCAATTACATAAATCTTGCGGCGGTTGAGGCGAATAGACTCCACAATGTCTGGGTTGACCAGACACTCTTCAATGTGGACGTTGAGGGCCTCCAGTTGATATTTTATAGGGGTCCATAAACGGACGGCTTCGGTTATTAAGACGATGGATGAGGAGCTGGTCTCAATCACAAGCGAAATCATGCTAGTTGGGTCCGACATCTTGATACTTGTTGATGGTTTATAGGGGTCCACAAACGGAGGGCTTCTGTTACCTGGACGATGGAAGATGGGCCGGTTTCGAACATGAGTGAAATCATAGAGGTTGGATCAGACATCTTGGGAATACTTTGCGGGGAAGATGTTTTTGGAGGTAGAGCGGATCCGTTTATATACTGCTTCTTGTGTTGTTAAGTCCATTTTAGGGTTGGAGGAATGTTGCATTCTTGGGTCATCAGAAGGAGATTTTTTTGGACTCATTAGTTATTAGAGTCATTAATGTTTCCTTCTTGGAGCGTGCTCCTTATTGACGCACCGGTCACCGATAAGCTGGCGGCGGACCGTGCGGTCTACCACTACTGTGCAGTCTAGTGGGATATGTTCGGGCGAATTGCTGTGGGGACACGGCTGCCTGCGCGCTTTATGGGGTCTTCTCATTTCCTGCTCCAAGTTTCGGCGAAGAGATCTGGCCAGGTTTTCGTCTTCCTCCAGCCTGACCAGATTTTGTCGGTGCCTTTCTTCGTCGCTCAGCAACAAGGTGTTGAGTTGCCGGATCTGTTCTTGGAGCTGAGAGCCTATCTCCGCTGAGGCCCTCTGTTGGTTTCGGAGGGCCTCACGGAGGGCTTGGAGGTTACGGTGGTTTCGTTCGTTATCTTCGGTTAGCATGCGCCGGGTTCTGGCCTCATCCAGTGTGTCACGGAGGCACTGTGCCTTCTCCTCCGCCTGGTGGCGGGCTGCGGTAGAGGAGGAGGCCTCGGCGGACAGTGCCTCGTTTTGTACTCGGGTCGACCCGTATTTGGGGAAGGAACCCCTTCCTTCTCTTCTTGGTGGGTTTACACTCATCTTCAGCTGTTGGATCTGCGCCACATCTACGAGCCTTTGAAAAAGCTCAGCCAATGCCGTCCATTCGTGGTTTATGAGGACTGCAGTGGGCTGGGGCGATTCCAGGAGCTCTCGGAGCACGAAGTGATTTCGTGGGCATATTTGGACGGCCTTGAGCTATATGGTTCACTGATTACTCCCCCAATGGAGTAAGGCCAGGCTAGCAATAACTGCTGGGCGAGCCTGTAGTGGGGTGTTGAGGAGGATTATGGTTCCTACGTCCCATGTTGGCAACTCGGCCTCGACTACTAAATGAGCCAGTCTCGGTGTGTGTCGTCGTTCAATTACATAAATCTTGCCGTGGTTGCGGCGAATAGACTCCTGAATGTCTGGATTGACTAGACACTCCGGCAGCTTCTATAGCAGCTTGACTTATTGTATTAGTTTGGGTTGAACAAATTCCAAACTTAGTTTTTATATACTCAGTTTCTTCTGAGTTCATTTGTGTCCTTATCGGTTTCGTAATCCGGAAGTTAATCGATCATCAGTTCCTCTGTGGTTGACGCACACAACGCGCGTGGTTATTAATCTTGTTATCCTTTAATGTGGTCTCCTTTGACCGCCCCTTTCGTAGCGTAGCGGTGGTGTCCACGTGCTTTTCGCACGGCTTCCATTGTTCGATTATTACATTTTACGGGACTTGTCAGAAAAAGTACTTTCGAAGATAATATTATAATTACGTGCCTAAACCCTTCTATGCATTTGTAGTGCATGTGGGACAAATCCAAAAGTGAAAGTGATCGATATTTATTGAAAATTCGGAGGGGGGGGGGGTTTATATAGTGAGATTTGGCCAGGGAGAGGGGGTTGTCCTTTGGCCTAGAAAGAGCCTTTCTTCGGCCAAGTGGGTGAATGTCGTTGACAGATCGCGACTCGCGACGCCTTCCTTTCGGTCGTTCTTTGGTTCCGATTTCATTCGAACGGACAGCATCTTCCGCCTACATTACGGCACTACACACTTATTGTGGGTACTCTTCCATGAAAAGTGCTACAATTGACACTATTTCAAGCCTTGGTTACGATTGGTTCGCCTTGTATTTGAGCCACGGAACTGGTTCGGTGGTCAGCCATGGTGATCCGAGCGCTCCATTTATATGTATGGCCACGGCCGGGGTGGCCGGTGGCTCAAAAATTAGTGGCACGGCCGTCTCCAACGTGGCCAACACGGCCAGCTTCGGGGCCCTGAGGCCCACCGCCTCCGTCCATTCACTGGGCTTGGTGACCGTAAAGACCGTGAGGTCTGGACGGTCAATCTCCAGCTGGCCCATGAGAGGCGCCAGTTCCCTGAAGTCCCTGGTTAGGACCAGGGACCATCCGGGTCCTTGAGGGACCTTGTTGATGAGGTTGGAGGCAACACTTTCCTGCCAATTGGGGCTCCCCGACGAAAAGTGTGGAGCCTCACATGGGTCCACGGTCCCAAATTGTTCGTTGGCGAAGGCGCCAATTTGCGCCGGGGCTAAAACACAAGTATCCGACTGTTGCGTCGGATATTACATGGTGTCGAGTGACGCCTGAAAAAAAGGAACCGCTTATCTTCTTGGCGGGTTTACACCCATCTTAAGCTGGTGGATCTGCGCCACATATAAGAGCCTTTGAAAGAGCTCGGATAAATCCATTCATTCGTGGTTGATGAGGATCACGAATTTCGCTCTTGAAGCGCAAAGGGATCCCGTGAGCATATCTGGACGGTTTTGAGCTGTATGATCTCGGTTGATTGATTATTCCCCCAATGGGGTAAGGCCAGGCTAGCAATAACTGCTGGGCGAGCCTGTGTTGAGGAGGATTATGGTTCCCGCGTCCCGTGTTGGCAACTCGGCCTCGGCTACTAAAAGAGCCAGTCTCGGTGTGTGTCGTCGTTCAATTACATAAATCTTGTGGCGGTTGAGGCGGATAGACTCCTGAGCGTCTGGGTTGATTTTTTGACGGTACTTGATGTCGCTTATATACTAGAATGATGCCATCGTCGCATTAGTTTTCTATTTTCCGCAACGAGAAACAAAGTCGATGGAACTTTTATAATTACGTGTGTGTATCAAACTTAGGTTAGTATAACAGTTAGTATAATCCCTTTACTTTCATAAAATTGTTTTACGTTTAGGTACCCATCCACTTGCCTTTCTTCTTTCTGATTTTTCTGACAGGTTCAGTCTGCTACTGAAAAAAGCTTTTAGGCGGATTTGTTTTATATAGTGATGCATCTCTAGTTAAGTCCATTTTGTGGTGGAAACTTCCTAGACTGATTATGAGGATAGATGATAATGTATTATAGCAGATTCTTTTAGTTTTTTTTTGATTGAGTCATTCTTTCGAATAATTCAGAATTGGTCACGATAATTATTTTATTTTTGAATTTTAACAACCAGTGATCTCATCGTTAAACTTGGGAATCTTAAAGGACCAAAGCAACCACATGGAAGACGAAATGTCACAGGATTTTTGCTGCCATTTGTCGTACAACGGAAATATATTAAAATAATGAAATCAAATGTGAATCACATCCTCAGCTGTTTTAATATTATTTCTGTGATGTTTTAAGGGCATGGGAGAACAAAAAAATTTGTGACATTTCGGCTTCCAAGCCGTGAATATGAGACTGAAATGTAGTTTCGTTGGTCCTTTAACAAAACAAATTTCAGAAAAAACTAATTCAACTGTGGCAAGCAAGCTCCTTCGCACGTCAATCCAAGATAGAAGAAAAAATTTCCCGCCCCTTTTTGGTGATTCGTTCAAAACGAAATGATAAAAAACATTTTCTTATCTTTCTTCTTCCTTTTCGAGAAAAAGCATTTATTTCGGGCAAGAAAAAGTGCCGATAATTTCGCGACATTTCGTCTCTCATTTAAATCAATGAAAACGATACGAAGTTTCGAAACGGTTCAGGAAATGCGCTGGATTGACGTGCTTCGTTTCAAGCATATATGAAGTACAAAAAAGGCGTGATAAGCACAAATTTTAGAATATTTCGACAAAATACAGTATTTTTTGCAAATGTCATAATTTAACATAACGTCACATATTAATGTAATAAAATAAAAATTACAGAGAATATATGTAAATAAAAATTCAATCAGAAAACCGTAGTATATAGGTAATATATAGCAAGTATAAAACATCAAAGTATATCTGTAAAAAAAAAGAAAAACAAATAATAAAAAAAACAGTAAAGGCATAATAATATAATATATATACATATATATTTATATATAATATTTCTGGTATAAAAAACATTAATACGCCATATAAATCAAAAATTTTAAAATAACATGAACTTATATGTAGTATATACGGAGGTATAAAAGTTTAATAAAATCTGCATATATTCAAAAAAGTATCCCAGTTCCATATCTGCATGTACATTGAAGAACAAGAAAAAAAATCAATTCTTCAAAATTAATACATAAAAAGTATGCCAAGTGCGACGCTCGGATTCTTTTAAATTTTGCCCACACCTCGGCCGTAGGCCATATATAAATTCCTGAAAATTTTAGCTCTTGCGTTCCAGAGGCAACCGAGATATTCAGCGATCTGCTGAGAGAGTATGCGAAACGCGGAGAACGGTCAGAGAGAAATACACCTTTTTGCCAGATTTTCATAGTATCTAGTAAAAAGAGCCATTTTCCAGCTGCGAAATAAGCCCGATCGACGAGAAAAATCGACCGAAAGTTCCACAAAAATTTCCTCTTTTTCTTCCACCGGAAAAGAAGAATGTGTCTGTGTCCAGTGGTTCGGTTAGCCGAGTGGATAAAGCATCCGCTCGATATTCTTTTGGGGGTTGGTTCGATTCCGGGGTCTCGCGAAGGACCGTGATAAGGCTCTTGTTGGGCAAGATCAAACTCTAAAAACCCAAAAAAAAAACATATTTTGCCATAATAAGCAATAAGCAAAAGCAATAAATCAGCAAGACCCCAAAAATTCAATTGCCATACTAGTCGCGCCATAAAGTCTTGACACAAGAAAAACAAAGCCCACTGTATAAATGTGTCATGATTCCAAGGCGCGACTAGCACTACCCCGTTTTCAGAAATGCGTAGACTTTTTTCGCAGGCTTTCCGCACCGTGCAGATGAGAAATCGCCGCGGCGCACTTTTTTTCATCTTCGTCGAGACGAAAAAAGTCTGCGCACTTTTGAAAAGGCGTAATAGAAAAACTTTCGTTTTGACAGAAGTTTATTTTTGTCTAAAATTGACTTTTGATGGCCTTCCAGATTGTACGTTAAAGTGTTTCCTCTATCCAAAAAACGGTCACTTTAAACTAATTTTGACAAGGGAAGTACCCCAAGTGCGACGCTCTGATTATCTTTAAATTCTGAACACAGGTCGGGCATGAACTAAACATCAATTCCTGAAAGTTTTAGCTCTCGCTTTGCAAGCGCCGCCGAGATATTTAATGATCCTTGCCGCCGAGAGAGTATGATATTATAATTCCGGAGAGCGTTCAGAGCGAAAAACCCTTTTTGGTCGCAACTTTGCTATACCGGTTGACAAAATTTTCTTTCCACCTCGTATCTCGGGAACTGCTGGGCCTAGAACCTCCAAATCCGGCATAGAAACATCCTAGGACAATCTAACACCATGCCCAAAAAATCATATCATTTGGTGCACTTTCAATGCACTTTTTATGCAAAAGGCAAAAAAAGTGATGAAAAAATTTTCTTTGGAAAAACGTTTGTAAATCATAAGCCAGGTGGCGCTAAGGCATGATTGTGGTATCGTTGTGATTGCGAGACCCTCTATGGTAAAAATAGGAATGAAACTTTTCGTGCCAAAATTCGGCAAAAGTATCAAATTTTTGCCGACTTTCGATCTAAAAAATCTCGGTCTGTTCTGCAAAGCACGAGCTAGGATTTTCACATGCATTTTACGAGGAATGTACTTTTATGGGGGCTCCTACTTTTTGACGGGACAAATCTCAAAAAATCAGAAAAAATGTGCTGATATATTACGTCTCACAAGGGAAGTCACTTAAGTCACGGATCGATTTTTAAAAACGACTGTTACAGCGATGGGGAGGGTAGGACGGAGATATCAAATCTGAAAACCGCTACCTCCACCGGCCTCTGGGAGCCGAGATAATCGACTAAAAAAGTTTGACCAAAAAAAGTTTCCCCGAGTAGTCCTCTCTTCCGAAAGAAGGAGGGAAGAGAACCGAATGGTCCGGTGGTCTGGAAGCGCGCTTCCGGGCCTTGACCTTTTCAGGTTCGAATCCGCATGGGTAAAATAATTTGTTAAACTTTTCCTGTAATCCAGTAAATTTACCGGTAAGATAAAATTTTTGATTTTTTGCATATTTTACAATAAAATTTCAGAGTAATAATTTGAATGTGAGTTTCAAACAATTTGAGTTTTCAAGGTTGAAAACTTACCGTAAAATAGGCATAAAATCTAAAAATGAATTGCTAGTAAATTTACTGGATTACATCAACTGTTTTATACATTTTTCACAAGTTCGAGACCCGCGCGGATTCGAACCTGAAAAGGTAAAGGCCCGGAAGCGCGCTTCCAGACCATCGGACCATTCGGTTCGCTGGGTTTCCTTCTTTCGGAAGGAAGAAATGTTCGGAGGAATTTGGTCAAACTTTTTAGTCGATCATCTCGGCTCCCAGAGGCCGGTGGAGGTAGCGGTTTTCAGATTTGATATCTCCGTCCTACCCTCCCCATCACTGTAACAGTCGTTTTACAAAATCGATCCGTTAAGTGACTTCCCTTGTCAGAAACTCAACAAACATCATTTCAAGCCAAAATAAAAATTGTAAACCTGTGAAAAATTAAGCGAACAGGGGTTCATATAGGACTTTCAGTCAACTTCCGAGTGAGTTGTCACCCCTAAAAACCTAAAATGGGCAGCTAATATAATATATACATGTCGTTGATCTGCACATTTTTTCTGATTTTTTGAGATATGTCCCGTCAAAAAGTAGGAGCGGAGCCCCCATAAAAATACTTACTTTCTTTGTTAGAAAAAAAAGATTATTCTAAATTTTTGCGAAGTTTCATCAAAGTCTGAGCGTCGCACTTGGGGTACTTCCCTTGTTAATCAAAAAAAAAAAAATCATTTCAAACTTACACTGAATCAAATCTCAAATCTCCAACTCAGCGTTCAACCCAAATCACCGCAAAAAATCTCAAAAATCGCACTCTTGAAAAAACGATGATAAATTACATATTTCCTCGCCGAAATAAAGTAAATCGCAACAAGACTTCTGCCCTTCAACAAGCCAAAGTGCAACACTCACGCTGAACGACGGGGTTTTTTAGTCATCGGCCATAAAAAGCGTTCCAGTCATAGATGTTTTTTCGCGGCGAAAAGGCTGAAAATCTCTTCTTTTTGCAGTTTTTTCTCCAATAAACTTGATTTTCAAGTTTTCATAACTCTTTTCATTAATTTTCCAGCTCAAAAATATTTTTGCCCTGAGGCAAATTTGAGATTTTTACCATATTTCCCCCCGTTTTCTCTCTGTTTCGCCGAGTTTTCGCTAAAAGACCGTTCTCTCCCGAAAATTTCTCTGCGCCTCTGCACGCTCTCTCCTCCCCAAGCACTCTATCGTGGCGTGGGGAACGCGCCACGAAGTCTCGTCCAAAGGTCACTCGGGCTTTTCCGTCGCCTGCCAACTCTCGAGCGAACATCGGGGCTTTTTTCGGTTCGGAAAGAGGGCAAATTTTTATTTTTTCTCCTGTTTTTGGAATTAAGAAGGGCTCTCTTTATCAAGTGGAGGGAAAGTTATGTGTGGTAAGAAAGTTTAACATTACTTTTTGACAAAAAAAAGAGATTTTTGGCTGTCTTTTTTCGATTTTTTGCGATTTTTTCTGATTTTTAAACGAAATTCTCAATTTTTTGAAAGAAAATAAATATTTTTGTCTTGTAAGATACAAGTGGAGGGAAAGTTACGTGATGAAAAAGGTTGGAAATTATTTTTTAAGACAAAAAAGAGCTTTTTTGGCTGTCTTTTTTCGATTTTTTGACTTTTTATGCAATATTCTCAATTTTTTGAAAGAAATTAAAATATTTTTTTTGACTTGTGTGCCTTTTAATTGAAATTCCTAAGTAGCTATCTCGTAGTTAACCTATTTTATGAATTTTTAAATTTCTTCTTTGCCCAAAAATTACTACTGTTTATATGCTTCCACAAAGTTTTTTTTTTGCAAAATTACTCTTGCAGACTTTATTTGCTTCCTAATCGCAGAAACTTCTGTATATCATATGCTCCAAAAGAATGTTTTCAGGTTATTAGCCACACAACGAAAGTGAATAAATTATCGAGTTTTTAATTCGAGAGGGCACAAGGACAGAGCGCGATGTCAGATTCGGAGAGCGACTTCCTGGTGAGTTTTGCTTCTAAACATTATATTTTTTTGCTACGCAAATGTAAGCGTAATGTCTGTATTTCGTTGTGCAATGAATTTCTTTCCGGCAGAGAACAGCGCTAAGAGTCTCGCATAAATCTTACCAAAGAAGTTATCTTTATTTTACTAACAGGGGAAGTACTCCAAGTGCGACGCTCAGATTTTCTTTAAATTTTGCACACACGTCGGGTATGGACTAAATATCAATTCCTGAAAGTTTTAGCTCGCGCTTTGCGGGCGCCGCCGAGATATCGAACGATTTTTGCGGAGTACGCTAAACGTGGAGAGCGGTCAGAAAGAAAAACGCTTTTTGGCCATAACTTTGGCAGTTTAGTGCGGAGAAATTCGATTTCTTGTAGAAACATTATCCTTTACGCATGAAGCTTTTCGTGACGAAATTCGGCAAAAAGTCCTAAATTTTGGCCGACTTTCGACCTAAAAATCTCGGTTGTTTCTGCAAAGCGCGAGCTAGGATTCTCGCATATATCTTAGAAAAAATTATTCTAAATTTGTGCCAAGTTTCATCAAAATCTGAGCATCGCACTTGGGGTACTTCCCCTGTAAGTTTCATAATCCATATCTAAATTGGTGATTTCTCACGTATCCGTATCCCATAAGTAATACGGATGCTTGAATCGCTGATGTAAAATCACAATTTCTCTTCCAGGACGACTCAGACTCCGACTTTGGAGCCGGTCCATCCGCAAAGAAGCCGAAGATTTCGAACACGCCAAAGAAGAAAGCTCCGAAGGCTGAAAATGGAACTCCAAAGAAGACACCAGCCAAAAAGAGCACTCCCAAAAGTAAGTACAACATCAATATGTCGGGAAAATAATGAGCACTCTATCGCATCGAAAATCGCATCGCCGCCGAGAAAATGAATTGTGTCGCGGCAAAGTCGAGTTGCTTCTCACTTCAGCGACGCGCTCGGCTCAGTGAAATTGTGTTCATTATTTTCCCGACGGACTTTTACGGGACTTATCCGTCTGTCGGGAAAATAATGTGGATTCGTCCAAATACAATAGAACCACATTATTTTCCGAATTCGAATTCTCCCCTTCTTGAACACTCCCCTCATTTTGAAAATTGAAAAAATGAGATGTGACATGTTATACGATGGAAATTTTTTTCAAGTTGTAAAAAGCTTTTCGCCGTATAACATGTCACACTAACTTTTTTCAAATTGCAAAAAACTTTTCGTCGTATAACATGTCACACTAACTTTTTTCAAAATGCAAAAAACTTTTCGTCGTATAACATGTCACACTAACTTTTTTCAAATTGCAAAAAACCTTTCGTCGTATAACATGTCACACTAACTTTTCTCAATTGCAAAAAACTTTTCGTCATGTTACATGTCACACTAACTTTTTTCAATTTGTAAAAAATTTTCCTCGTATAACATGTCACACCTTATTTTTTCAATTTTCAAAATGGGGGAGTGTTTCAAAAAAAGGCTGTAAAAATTTCGTCTGGCATAACGTATTTTACAAAAAACACAGCTTACTCTCCATTTTTCAGAATCCGAAAATGGCCTTCCGAAGGACTTGGCCGAAGAGGATCTCGCCGTCTTCACCAACATCGACAAGAATAAGGGCAAAAACCTGTCGATTGAGGAGATGTATCAACGCAAAAGTCAGCTGGAACACATCATGTTGAGACCGGACACCTACATTGGGTCCATCGAATTCTGCGAAAAGCAGTTGATGTGGGTCTACGATAAGGAGGAGGATCGGCTGGTTCAGCGGGATATTTCGTACGTTCCCGGACTGTACAAGATCTTCGATGAGATCCTGGTGAATGCGGCGGATAACAAACAACGAGACCCGAAGATGAACACGATCCGAATTGATATCAAAAAGTGAGGAGGGTGTTATCAAAATAGGATTTTTTTTTGATGATTTCATGCGACATCCACATTATTTTCTCGACAGACTGATATCGATCTGTCGGGAAAATAATGAGCACAATGTCCGTCGCTGAAATGAAAAACATTTTGATTTTGCCCCGATAAAACTTGTTTTCTCAGCGGCGATACGATTTTCGATGCGACAGGGTGCTCATTATTTTCCCTACAGAGTTGATAATTGTAATAAAACATCGGTACTCTCGCTACAGACGCTCTGTACAACGAACCCGTTTGCAACAAAAACTTTTTATAACAAACTGTTTTATTGGTCTCACGAATTTTATTGAGGCCAAGATTAGCCCACGTACAATGGGGGACCTGACCAGTGGCAAAAAAAACGCACTATTTTGCTTCCAGGAAGTATCAAAAAATGTAGCAAAGTGCCTCCTTCTCCAAATAAAAAGACTCGGATTTCAAAAACGCGCCGCACGTCAAACTGATATAAGCTAAAACAGTCCGGTGAATGGATTGGTAATTTGCCAAAAAAAAACGCGAAAAAAAGTTTTGTCGAGGAAGAAATGGGGAATTTTTGGGGCCAGAGAGTGCGATCTTTCGTGTCTTTTTTCTCTCTTTCTCTGCGAAATCAAGACAAAGTGTAAAAAACCGATAGCGGAGAGTCTATTCCGGTCACCGGACTCCTCAGTTTGACGTGCTCTTTTTGTCAGAGAGAGGGCACGTCCTTCAAAGCCAAGTTTTTTCACTTGGAGACGGAGGCATTTTGCTACATTTTTTGATACTTCCCGGATACAAAATGGAACGTTTTTTGCCACTGGATTAGGTCCGTCACTGTAGTACAAAAACTTTCTATAACAAGTAATCTTTGGGCCTCTTACAGTTTGCTGCTTTGAGTTTCGTTGCGTACATACATGTGTGTAAATCGCTTTACAGTGAGGGACCTGATCCAAAGGCAAAAAACGTGTCATTTCGCATCCTGGAAGGGACCAAAATGACTTGAAACCCTTCCCTTCTCTAAGCTAAAAAACTCTGCTTTGAAAAGCCCGCCTTGAAGGAAAGGGCGCGCTTTTCAAAACGGAGTTTTTTAGCTTAGAGAAGGGTAGGGTTTGGAGACATTTTGGTCCCTTCCGGGATGCAAAATGAGACGTTTTTTGCCATTGAATCCGGTCCCTCACTGTACATAAGCTCGAGCGCACATCAGAAACCTCTCTGCCGCACGCGTGAGGGCCTCTCTTCCAAATCAAGTCGCTCTTTTTGTGGAGCGTGTCGTATTTTACCTCCTCTTTTCCAGAGACAAAAACGAGATTTCCATCATGAACAACGGCAAGGGAATTCCGGTTGTAATGCACAAAGTCGAGAAGATGTATGTTCCAGAGATGATTTTTGGGACCTTACTGACGTCATCCAATTATAATGACGAGGAGAAAAAAGTGACCGGCGGGAGGAACGGCTATGGTGCAAAATTATGCAATATTTTCTCGACCAAATTCACTTTGGAGACCAGTTCGAAGCATGACAAGAAGAAGTTCAAGCAGGTAAGTTTTCATGTTCAAACTGAAATTTTGGTTTTTAAAATACGTTGTTTCTAAATGATATATGCTATTTTCAGACCTGGATCAAGAACATGACAAAAGATGCGGATCCAGAGATTACGAAAAATGATCCAGAGGACTTCACAAGAGTCACGTTTTCGCCGGATCTGAAGAAGTTCAAAATGGACAAATTGGACGATGATATTGTCTCTTTGATGTCCCGAAGAGCGTTTGACGTGGCTGGCTCCACCAAAGGCGTCAAGGTTTATTTGAATGGGAAATTAATTCCTGTAAGGGGGTTTTTTTTATAATTTTGATTACTTTTCAAGTCAAAAAGAATAATAGTGGGAGTTTTTGCCAAAAAATGATACTTTTTTGGCAAAAAAAGAGCCTTTCTTGTCAAGTTTAGAAGCAAATACTTCATGCAACTGTAGAATGTAATGTTCTAGAGCATATTTGAAACTTCTAGCTTGCACTTTGCAGAAACAACTGACATTTTTATTAGGTCACAAGTTAACAAAAATTTCACATTTTTTTTACGAATTTTGGCATGAAAAGTTTCATAGCTATTTCTGCCGTAGAGAGTAATGTTTCCACAAAAAATCACTTTTTTCTGCACAAAACTGACAAGGATACGGCCAAACAGTGTTTTCTCTCTGACCTCTCTCCGCGTTTCGCCTACTCTCTCCCAAAAAAGAATAAAATTGCATTTGTCTTGTAAATTAACTAGAAATATCGACCCTTTTCAGTGCCAAGGCTTCAAGCAATACGTCGAGCAGTACACCAAGAACCAAACCCACGACGGAGAGCCCTACAAAGTGGCGTACGAATCAGTAAATCCTCGGTGGGAGATCGCTTTGACCGTGTCGGACCGAGGATTTCAACAAGTTTCGTTTGCAAACTCGATTGCGACCACAAAAGGAGGTCGGCATGTTGATTATGTTGTTGATCAAGTGGTCTCGAAGTTAATTGAGACCATCAAGAAAAAAGTTGGAAAGTCCGGGATTACTGTGAAGCCGTTCCAAGTCAAGAATCATATCTGGATTTTTGTCAATGCGTTGGTGGAGAATCCAACGTTCGATTCGCAGACCAAAGAGACAATGACTTTGCAGGTAAGGTAGTTTGTTTTGAGGTCATTCTTTTGAAAACTACGTCGTAGGTTTTGGCCTAAAATCAAAGGAAGGCTACGACTTTTTGAGTCAATGCCATTTTGCGCGTCTCGGCTTTGCTGGTCGGCGACAGTTCGGGTCGACGAAAAATCAACCAATTCGGGGCCTAGGACAAGTGAATACCCCAAAAAAGGTTGTAGTAAGTGCCTACAGGGCCTGGCAAAGTCGTTCTAAATGGTCGGCGGACGCTCGGCGACGGATCGGCGAAGACTTGACGAAGACTTTCCATTTGTCCACTTTTTGTAATTTTAGCTATTACTAACGTTAGTTTTCCCTACCCTGAGTTACTGTAACATTTGCTGCAATAACATCCAGTAAAGCTTACTGATTTTTTTGGAGCATGTTTTGTTCGTTTCTTCGGTTCTGTATGTTACAGTACCTCAGGGTCAAGAAAACAAAGGCTAGCAGTTGTGAGATTCTATAACAATCTCATACGAATGTACAATATCTCTCTACCATTGTAATCCCAAGTCTAAACTCCGCCCACCTCGATCTGGCAAAATCGAGGATCGGATCAAAGGATGAATGGAATAAGTGAGAATGCCGGACGGTCGCGTCCGAGCCCATCTTATCTTTGGGTTTAGGTTATTATAATAAATAAACCTAGTATAACTAACCGAAGTCGACATATATTTTAACTCAGTAGCTAAAGTTATAAAATGTAGTGATAATGAAAGTCCCCGTAAAGTCTCCGCCGAGCCTTCGCCGAAGTTACCAACGGGTCTTGGTAGGCACTTCCTACAACATTTTCTTTGGTATCCACCTGTCCTACCGATCGCTCTGGTGTTAACCCGAGCCGTCGCGGACCTGAAAACTCGGGTCGCAAATTTTACCTGTCACTATGTTCAAGTTATTTGTTTCTACATTTGAACACCTATTTTTAAATCCTACTCATCATTTTCAGGCCAAAAGTTTCGGCTCCAAATGCGAGCCCTCCGAGAAATTTATTCGTGAAGCCTTGAAATGCGGAATTGTCGAAGCTGTCATGTCATGGGTCCGGTTCAAACAAATGGAACAGCAGGACAAGAAATGCTCGTCCAAGAAGACCTCAAAACTCAAGGGCATTCCCAAACTGGAGGATGCGAACGACGCCGGCACCAAGAACTCCCATCTTTGCACATTGATCCTGACTGAAGGAGATTCCGCCAAAACTATGGCTGTCGCGGGGCTTGGAGTTGTGGGCCGCGATCGTTACGGTGTGTTTCCACTGCGAGGAAAAATGCTGAATGTGCGTGATGCGAATCACAAGCAAATCATGGACAATGCGGAGATTAACGCGGTCTTGAAGATTGTTGGGCTACAGTATAAGCTGAAGTATGCGACAGCGGAGGAAATGAAGACTCTGAGATATGGGAAGATCATGATCATGACGGATCAGGTAGGGAATTAGGAGAAAAAAAATCTTATAGATCATAACAGTCTGTCAGGAAAACATTGACCAAATTTTGCTGGGCCATTCGCGTCGCTGAAGTAAAAAACACACAATTTGATTTTCTCGGCGGCGATGCGATTTTCGCTGTGACAGAGTGCTCATTATTTTTCCGACAGACTGAAATAAGGGTTCGAAATCAAAACCAACTCTTACCAATTGGATTTCGCTGTTCCTCTAAAATTTGTGAATGACGCCGTTGAAATTATTTGCCCTAGTTTTTTCTTCAGAGCTTTTTCTTTATGATGCTTTAATTCTTCCGTTCACAAAGCCGCTGAAATCCTTTCCAGGACAAATTGCATAGGGCAAGAAAATTAAGGGATGCCTACAAATTGATAGCTGCTAGTCCGTTCACAAGGTCGCTGGAGTGATGTTTGGCGTTTGCACTGTGCAAAAAACGTCAGGGTGCCGGTGGCAGTCCAAAAAAGCCCATTGCACGGTGCAAAACGCAACAGTTTGCACAGTGTTGTGGAGCGTCAAACGTCTCCACAATTCCCAAGCAAATTAGCATAAACCAACCAATATAAAAGCAACGTCTCGTCACCAATTATAGAACATTAATCTCATCTCTCTTTTCCTTTGTGCGGTGGTGTCAATAAACCTTATTTCTAATCTCGTGTCTATCCTCTACCTATCTACGTTGATCCTACACTACACACAGTGCAAAATGAGCTCTTGTTGTGTATGTCGACAAAATCACATCAGCGACTTCTCGGATGGACTAGAAAGATAGACAGTACTCTAGAGGCTTACATTGGACTAAAAAATATGAGACCCCTGAAGCCTCAGAAATTGTTTGTTATAGCCAGGCCTCGATGCCCAGAATTTCCCAACTTTAGATCTAAAATATACGCAAAAATTATGGATGTTATACATATAAACTTCGTATTTTACCTCACACTGCTAACATTTATCGCTCTGTTTTCAGGATCAAGATGGCAGTCACATCAAAGGTCTCGTCATCAACTTTGTCCATCACAATTGGCCAAATCTCATCAAAAACAACTTCATCGAGGAGTTCATTACTCCCATCGTAAAAGCGATCAAAAACAAAGAAGAGCTCTCCTTCTTCTCCATCCCCGAATACCACGAATGGCGCGACGCGACGCCCAACTGGAGGACCTACAAGATCAAATATTACAAGGGATTGGGAACGTCGACGGCCAAAGAGGCCAAGGAGTACTTTTCGGACATGCAGCGGCATCGGATCCGCTTCAAATACGATGGGCCTGGCGACGACAACGTCGTCGAGTTGGCCTTTTCCAAGAAGAAAATCGAAGAACGCAAGGAATGGCTGACCAAGTGGATGGAGGAACGGAAATTGCGCCGGGAAATCGGCGAAGCCGACGAGTATTTGTACAACAAGGATACGAGAACCATCTCGTATAGTGAATTCGTTAATAAGGAGCTGGTCTTGTTCTCGAATATGGACAATGAACGGTCGATTCCGTCGTTGGTGGATGGGCTGAAGCCGGGACAACGAAAGGTCCTTTTCACGTGTTTTAAGAGGGCGGACAAACGAGAAGTCAAGGTGGCACAGTTGGCCGGAGCGGTCGGCGAAATGAGCGCTTATCATCATGGCGAGGTAAACGGGTATTTCTCAATTTTTCGTAGTAAAAAATATGCGTTAGAATACGTGAAAATTTGTGTAGCCGAAGTTTTGCTAAATTTGCAGCGTGCTGGAAATTCCCTTCCCTGTCTTCAACGTTAGCTCTATCCAAAATCCCAAAAAAAATCCGATATTTCTTGGTGATTTTTCAACCGAAAAAGATCAAAAATTCTCAATCATTTTCAACCACAAAACACAGGTTTTCGGGGTAAAAGGGCCCTTCTTCAAAAGGCCGTAGCGACCTCAGTTATCAGTTTGCACTTTAACATCTTGTTATTTCATATACAAAAAATTATGTCGCTTAAAGATACGTATTCCACAAACGAAGGCTCTGCGCCAGCCCCGCCGGAAGTTATAGCCTCCGACTTTCCTTCACGTTTCTTGAAAGGCCCTGTAAAAAGTCATGAAATTTTTGATGCTAAAATTTGCAAAAAAGTGTCACCTTTTTGCCAACTTTCGATCTCAAAATCTCGCCCATTTCTGCAACGTGCAAGTTGGAAGGCTCGAATATCTCTTTGAAAAAGTTAATTTAAATTTGCGCCAAGTTTCCTCAAAATCTGAGCGTGACACTTGGGGTACTTCCCCTACAATTTTGTCATGCTTGATTTAAAAAAAAAGATAAATATAAGCGCTGTTTTCAGCAAAGTTTAATGGCGACCATCGTCAACCTTGCTCAGGACTTTGTGGGCTCCAACAACATCAATCTCCTCCTTCCCATCGGTCAGCTGGGTACCCGGCTCTTGGGTGGAAAAGACGCCGCTTCAGCGCGTTACATTTTCACCCAACTGAATCCGGTGACGCGCGCTCTGTTCCCCGCCGTGGACGAAAACGTTTTGCGCTTCCTGTACGAGGAGAATCAGCGGATCGAGCCCGAATGGTACTGTCCAATCATCCCCACGGTGCTTGTGAACGGCGCCGAAGGGATTGGAACGGCGTGGTCGACAAAAATACCGAATTATAATCCTCGCGAGATCGTTGAGAATATTCGACGATTGATCCGCGGGGACTTGATGAAGCCGCTGACTCCGTGGTACAAAAAATTCCAAGGAGTCATCACGAAGCTGGACGACACACGATACGTCTGTAGCGGTGAAATCGCAACACTAAATGAGGATACAGTGGAGATAACGGAGTTGCCGGTGAAGACATGGACTCAAGCTTATAAAGAGAATGTTCTGGAGCCAATGATGGACGGCTCCGACAAGCATATGCAAATCATCGACTTTAAGGAGTATCATACCGAAGAGACAGTGAAATTCGTGGTAAAAATGACGCCCGAAAAGCTGAGACAAGCCGAAAGAGAGGGTCTCCATAAAGTTTTCAAACTCCAGACCGTCATCAACACCACATCGATGGTGCTGTTCGACGCCAGCGGCTGTTTGCGCAAGTTCTCATCGCCCGAGGAGATTTGCCAAGAGTTCTTTGACACGCGGCGCAAGGTGTATATCATGAGGAAGGAGTTCAATGAGGGATGGTTGGACGCGCAGGCCTCAAAGCTCAGCGAAAAGGCGAGGTTTATATTGATGAAAATCAAGGGAGAACTGAAAATTGAGAACGTGAAAAAGGCGCAGATTGTGGTCGAGCTGAAGAAGCACAATTTCAAGCCGGATCCCGAGATCAAATGGAGAGAAGAGAGGAAGAAAAAGGAGCTGGAAGAGTATGGAGAGGTCGCGGTGGACGAGGAGGAAGAGGAGGTAAGAAAATTCATAGTGAAATTAATATTCACTGTGAATGTACAGTGGCGGACCTGATACATTGGCCAGAGTTGATAATTGTAATAAATCATCGGTACTCTTACTACAGACGCTCTGTACAACGAACCCGTTTGCAACAAAAACCTTTCTATAACAAACTATTTCATTGATCTCACGAATTTTATTGAGGCCGAGATTAGCCCACGTACAATGGGGGACCTGACCAGTGGCAAAAAACGTACCATTTTGCATCCGGAAAGTATCAAAAATGCAGCAAAATGCCGCCCTCCCCAAGTGAAAAAACTGCGATTTCAAAAGCGCGCCCACTCTTTTTGTGAGGGAAAGGGCGCGCAGTTCAAAACGGAGTTTTTTTTAGTTGGAGAGAGAGGCATTTTGCCACATTTTTGATACTTTCCGGATGCAAAATGATACGTTCTTTGCCACTGGATCAGGTCCTTCACTGTAGGATCGTTAGGAACCTAAAAATATAACAAATTACACGTTTGTCTCTGGGCAAAAAATCCTGATAACTTTTACAGTGCGGCTATGAAGCATAGCTGCGAAAATCACGAAAAAAGTCCCTTTCACAGTTTTTGTTTTTCTTTTTGCACTAACGATAAATTATCAGGACGTATTGTCTATTGTATCAGTTTGTCGGGAAAATAATGTGGGTTTGTCGCGTTTTAGAATTTCCTATTGCCGCTTTGCGACGGCTTGCCGCGGCTGGAAATTTGGCGCGCGACTGGGACGAGGAGAGACATTTTGTTGCGACAAATCCACATTATTTTCCCGACAGACTGATAGGAGTCCGTTGCGAAAATAATGAGAACACTGAGAAAATTGCATTGCCGACAAGAAACTGAATTGTGTCGCAACAAAATCAAATTGCTTTTCGTTGCCGCAGCGACTACTTTGCGCTCATTATTTTTAACAGACTTTTGTAAGGGGTTGGCTTTTCTTTTTGGCCTAAAATTGACTCTTCGACCCCCTGCAATAGCTTGTAATATACAGTGGCAAAGAAGCGTATCATTTTGATTCCGGGAGGTATAAAAAATGCAGCAAAATACCTCCTTCTGCAAGTGAAAGAAAATCCGCTTTTAAAAGCGAGGTTTTTTTAGTTGGAGAAGGAGGTATTTTGCCACATTTTTTGATACTTGCCGGATCCAAAATCGCACGCTTCTTGCCACTGGATCAGGTCCTCAACTGATCACTAGCATACAAAGTAGAAATTTCAGCAAATTAATAGATAAGAATCTACTGTAAAGAGCCCTCTGCAATTTTTATACCTTTTTCGTTCAGTCCGAAGACGATGGCCAAGCCAAAATCCGCGACTACGACTACCTACTTGGCATGAAGTTGTGGAGTCTGTCCATGGAAGAGAAGGAGAAATTGTTGGCTGATGCCGAGAAGATGAAGAAAGAACTGCAAACGCTGCAGCTCAAGACTTGGCATGATCTTTACGAAGAGGATCTCAAGGTGTTTGAAGAGGCCTTGGATAAACAGGTTGGTAAAATTTTCAATTGTAAAATACGGCAGAAAAGATCAAGCTTATTTTTTTATATTTTAGGAGAAGAAGGAAAAAACTGACCTGGAAGATTGTATTAAGAAGGCCATCGCGAAATTGAACAAGGATGATTCGGGGAAGAGAGCTGGAAAGAAGTTGGCTAAAGGGATGGTGGTAAGTCACTTTAACTGAAAACTCTTAACCCTTTCCGGATGAGTCGGCACCTCCATGCAGAAATGAAAGAGGGTACCCTACTGAGTAACGGCATAACATGGTTCAGCCCATCGAAGCGTTATTTGGGACTTATGACAAAAAATGTCCTAAAAAGTACCCCCAGTTGACATAACCCTTATAAAAATTTTCTAACGACTTGTAAATTAGAAACTACCCCTAAGTTAAAGTCTAAGACTCCTACTACTGTTACATCCAAGAACTGTCCAAATCGGACCACTACAGGATTAGTTATCGACTTTTGGAAATTGAATTTTAAATTTCGACCAATTTTTGGCACAAAATTGAGTATAGTGGCAAAAAAATGTACCATTTTGCATCCAAAAAGTATCAAAAATGCAGAAAAATACCTCCCTCTTCAACTTAAAAAATTCCGTTTTGAAGGGTGTCCCTCCCGAAAAAAGAGGTGTGCTTTTGAAATTGGAGTCTTTTCACTTGAAGAGGGAGGTATTTCGCTGCTTTTTTGATACTTCCCGGATGCAAAAAGATATATTTTTTGCCACTGCATCGGTCCGCCACTGCACTTTTCAATATTGTTTTTTACGGCGTAAAAAACGGAATTTCCAAAAAATTTCTTGGTCTACTGTAAAAATAACGATGAGAAAAAACTGTGGTGACATTGTACATCCTTATTAATAATATATCTGTATAATTATTTTACTGTTAGGAATCTTACCGACGTTGTTTCCCTGGTTGGAAACAAAGAAAATTTTTTTTGAAATTTCATTTCCCAACCAGAGATTGCCACGGCTCCGGAGCCGGCTCTTGGCTCCGGCTCGGAGCGGCTCCGGTAATTTTGGGTGCGGCTCCGGCCCCCGAGCCCAAAGTCGGAGCCAGACTTCTCAGCTTTCAGAAAAGTAAAAATTCCATGATCTTGTTATACCAAATTGCTTGAAAAATACTGGTAAAGATGTGATGCATACTGCAAAAACGTTGGGTGTGTGATCTCTGGCACTAATAACTTTTTATTTGGAAAAATATTTTTAAAATTTTTCAGCTCCGGAGCCGGAGCTGCAAACTTGGCCTCGGCTCCAGCTCTGGGAGCTAAGAGCCGGAGCCGGGGCCGAAATTTTAACCGTGGCAATCTCTGGTTGGAAACAAACAAAATTTGTTTTGAAATTTCGTTTCCCAACTCACTTCGAAAGTAACTGTACCGGCCAAATAACAGTATTAAAATGCCAAGTCCGGAATAACGAAATATGATGACATATTTGCAGGACGTAAAACCGAACCCAGAGGCAATCCGAATTGCTCCGACGTTGGATGCGATGAAAGAAAAGTACGAAACCAAAGTGAAAAAAGCGAGAGAACCCAAGGATCCGAATGCCACTCCAAGCCCAAGGAAGAGGAAGCTGAAAGAGGAGAATGGAGAGAATGGGGAGGCGGTAAGAGCGGATTTTTTGATATCAAATTCTACAATACAGTATAAATATTTTCTAGTCGCGCTTGAGGCACTTTCCTTATAAGGATTATTACTCTTGAGACCTCACAAATTTGTTATAGACAGGCTTTCTGATAAAAAAAAAGTTCATTGTACAGATCTTTAACGGTGTTTAGATCAACCTACAGTGAAGGACACGATCCAGTGGCAAAAAGCGTACCATTTTGCATCCGGGAAGCATTAAAAATGTGGCAAAATGCTTCCCTCTCCAGGTGAAAAAAAAACTTTGTTTTGAAGGGCTCCCTCACAAAAAGAGCTGGCGCGCTTTTGAAATCCGAGTTTTTTTCACTTGGAGAGGGAGGTATTTTGCCACATTTTTGACACTTCCCCGATGCAAAATGGAACGTTTTTTGCCACTAAATCAGGTCCCCAACTGTATTTGAATCATAAATCTTATTGCCACATCTAAACATGGCTCTTAGCTTTTTCAAATTGACCTGTCGATTTTCAGAGCACCCCTAAGAAGCCTCGCAAAGAGAAGACGACCACTCCCAAGCCGAAAAAGAAGAAAGAATGGGCCAGCGACGAGTCTGAAGGCTCAATTTCCTCCGATGACGCCGAAATTCTTCCCGCCACTCCTCCACCAAAACGAGAGACGACCGGTCGAAGAGCCGCCGCTCAGGCAAGCAAAAGCTTTGTGATCTCGGATGGGGAAGAGGAGGATAGCGAGAGCGATCTACTCCCAGCCACCAGCTCGAAATCAACTCCAAAAGTTGCCGGAAAGAAGAGCACTCCGAAGAAGAAAGCTGCCGCTGACAGTGAGGACGATGCTGATTCCGCTTCGGCCGCTGATTCTGATGCTGATATTGTCGCGGTGAAAAAGCCAGTAGTTAAAAAGACCACACCAAAAAAGGCTACGCCCAAAAAGCGAGAGATCAGCAGCGGTTCCGAGGACGATGCTGATTCAGCATCAGACGCTGATTCTGACGCAGATTTTGATGCAAAAATAACGCCAACGAAAAGATCAGCGGCTAGAAAAGCAACGCCCAAAAAATCAGCGCCTAAAAAGAAAGTTGTCACCATCTCGGACGATGATGCTGATTCTGCGTCAGATGCTGATTCTGATGCTGATAATGGCTCTCCAGCCAAATCGAAGCCAGAATCCAGCAATGGGACGCGTAAACGGGCTGCCGCGGATATCAGCTACAAGGAGCCGGACAGTGACAGCGATACCGACGCGAAACGTCAAAGAGTTGTCATCGAATCCGATGACGATGAAGTGGAACTTTGAAGCGTTTTATTTCGATCTTTATATATCCGATCTGCATTTTTAAATATTTTGTCGAAAAATCTCATCAGTTTGTACAATTGAGTAGCGTAATTTGGTAGCTAACGTAGTCATTCCTATTTATTTTTTTGTGGTGCGAAGGTAATAAACCATTTGTAAAAAGAAAAGTTTCTTTTTATAAATTTTTTTATGGAAATTTAGTTACCTTTTAAAGTCGCATTTTAAAAATTGAGGAACTTGTTTCCAACTTTTTTCAAGAGTTGAGCCTGTTAACTTCATATAAGGCCACTAAGGTAAGCTAATAAAATTAGTTCAATTTGGCTTCTCCCGACTTGGATTTTTGTTGCAGGGAAAACTCTGAAGTGCGACGCCAAGTAAGGCATAAGCCAAATATCAACTCCTAAAAGTTTTAGCTGGCCCTTTGCAGGGCCATCTGAGATATTCGACGATGTTTGTGGCCGAGATAGTACAGTGGCGGACCTGGTCCATTGGCAAAAAACGTACCATTTTGCATCCGGGAAGTATCAAAAATGCAGCAAAATGCCCACCTCTCCAAGTGAAAAAACTCCGATTTCAAAAGCGCGCCCACTATTTTTGTGAGGGAAAGGGCGCGCAATTCAAAACGGAGTTTTCTTTGTTGGAGAAGGAAGCATTTTGCCACATTTTTTATGCCTCCCGGATGCAAAATGGTACGTTTTTTGCCACTGGATCAAGTCCCCCATTATACGCTGAGAGCGGTGTAAGATAAAACAGTTTTTGGCCATATCTTTGCCAGTTTTGTACCGAAAAAATGATTTGCTGTGGAAGCATTGCCCTATAGGGTAGAAGCAGACCTGAAAACTTTTATGCCAAAATTTGGTTTTTCAATTTGTGACGGCTAGCTACGGCTAGAAATATAGTAAAATCCACATTTTTTCCCCGCAGACATAATGAGCAAACTTGCTCAAGTCAAGCTACCGTATTTTACAAGAGTTTTAACCCTTGCAACCCATAAATTTCCCGGAATTTTTTTCCTCCTACCCCTACAAGCTCACCTAACACCCACATAAGACAACACAAATCAGAAAGCCCAAACCACCAAACCACAATCACTTGTAAGTCATCCAACAAGCCCCTGTCACTTGTAAATGCCCTTCCATTCTCTTGCAAATTACCGTTTACAACATGTCCGACCAATTCCGCCAAAAAGAAAATGTGTGAAACGCTGACGAAGCGTGTCGATTTCGTTTAGTTAAAAATAAAAAAAACCGTTCTTTTCGAAACTATTTATTTATTTTCTTTGCGCGTTTTACAGCGCCCCTCTTTGCGCTGATTTATCAGCCGCAACCGGTAGGTTTCAACGAGCGGCCATATTCCTGGACGTCCGTAGGCGTGAGTTTAACACGGAACGGAGGCTTTGGGAACGCTTCCAGACAGCCATGATGACTGGGAGTTGCACTTTTGGAGGGTTCATTTTAGCGGGGCTGCCGACCGTTTTTAGCCGTAAAGTTTCAAGTTTTATAATTTTTATTGGTCTTGTTGTGGTGGTGCTTTGGTCTTTTTGCAAGGTTTTTCGAAATCTACAATGCTTTTTACAGGTATATAAAGTGTAAAATACGTTGTACAGTTCTGGGGTGCAATTTTCTTACATTAGTCCGACCAGTGCCTGGGCAACAACGCATCTGGTAATTCTCACCAAAAAAATTGGACTTTGGACTTTAGTCATCAGTCTGTCGGGAAAATAATGAGCAGAATGTCGCTGCGACAATTTTGTCGCTAAAGTGAAAAGCAATTTGATTTTGCAGCGACACAATTCATTTTCTCGTCGGTGATGAGATTTGCGATGCGACAGGGTGCTCATTACATATTTTCCCGACAAACTGATGGGCTAGAAATCAAAGTCACCAATTTCCTTTTGGACATTCTTGGGTTGGAGCCTAGAGTCATCCAAAAAAGTTGGGCTTGCTCTCATCGCATGCATGAGGTTGCCAAGCCTCTGTAAAACGAAGATTTTTAGAAATTGATAAGTGGCCTATGACTAACAGGGGAAGTACTCCAAGTGCGACGCTCAGATTTTCTTTAAATTTTGCACACACGTCGGGTATCGACTAAATATCAATTCCTGAAAGTTTTAGCTCGCGCTTTGCGGGCGCCGCCAAGATATCGAACGATTTATGCCGCCGAGAGAGCACGCTAAACGTGGAGAGCGGTCAGAGAGAAAAGCGCTTTTTGGCCATAACTTTGGCAGTTTCGTGCGGAAAAATTTGATTTTTTGTAGAAACATTATCCTTTACAGTTGAAATAGGCATGAAACTTTTCGTGCCGAAATTCGGCAAAAAGTCATAAATTTTGGCCGACTTCCGATCTAAAAATATCGTTTGTTTCTGCAAAGCGCGAGCTAGGATTCTCGCATATATCTCATAAAAAATTATTCTAAATTTGTGCCAAGTTTCATCAAAATCTGAGGGTCGCACTTGGAGTACTTCCCCTGTAAAATTTTAAGTAAAAATCTAAGCTTCGCACATCAAAAACTTCCTTACAAGTTGTTAGTATGGTAAAGTTTTCTCTCTTTTACTGGCTTACCAATGGATTTATATATTTCTGCAAAATTACGAGCTAAATCCACATTATTTTCCCGACGGACTAATATCCCCAAACCTGATTCCTTTGATCCTCATTTCTCCAAGACTCCCGGATTCTCATTGTTTTCATTTCCCCTCATTACTACCCCATTTAAGCTCATAATTAGTTGGTTACTTACAGCTCTCCCTCCTCTTGATTTCAGTAATAAAAAAGGTCGAAAAAAAGAGTGATTCCCCATTTGTTTTCCCCAATTTTTGGATGAGCTCCTGTTTACTTTTGAGGCGTGAGAATTTGAGGAGTTATTTGGGGGTTCATCTCTTTCCGAAGATAGAAAAGAAAAAGGACCGGTTAGTTACAAAAAGAGTAGACAAGTTCAAGGTTGAGTTCGGTTCGTGAATAGTGTCTTTTATATAGTTTGTAAAATACGGGCGCAACCTTCATAATTTCAGTCTTTTTTCAAATTTTGTGTATGGCCATTGGCTACAATGCCAAAAATTTTTAGCTCGCGATTTGAAGGCACAGCCGATATATAAAAAACATTTCTTGGAAAAAATTATTAAAAATTTTCTGGTCGATTGTCAAAGCATCAGAGGCGTAATATTATAGAAACGTGGAATTTTGCATGTGTTTCCACTATGACATAGATAATCCTTCGATCACGGCCGATTTTTTATTTTTGAACTAAAATTGCAAACAAATCAAAAAAAAGTGCAAAAAATGGCCAAAATCAGGCATTTTTTTGGCTCTAACTTTGCTCAAACCCCCACCAAGATTTTCTTTTATTGAGCCCAAGAAAGTACATTTTTTGACAGGACGAATCCACATTATTTCCCCGACAGACGAATAAGTTTATTTAGTATAAGTCTGTCGGAAAAATAATGACCACAATGTTGTTACACCGATCGCGTCACTGAGGTGGAAAGCAATTTGATTTTGCCGCAACACAGTTCATTTTCTCCGTGGCGATGCGATTTTCAATGCGACAGAGTGCTCAGTATTTCCCGACAAACGGTAATCTTTAAAAATTCTAGACTATCGCTTATTGAGGCCTTTGTTATACAAAAAACCATCGTTTTTGTCATCCTCCTCCCTCCGCTAACGATATTTTATTACAAAACCCCTCATTGTGATCAGCCAAATCATCGACCGCATTAGTCAAACTGTCACAGTCCGCCCGACCGCCCGGAAAACAATCGAAAAAACGCGAGGGATCCGTTTCACTCAAACCGGTCCCATTGAAACGTTAACAAAAAAAAACGTTAAGCCTTTAAAAATTTCTTCTTTTTTCGATTAATCAAGTCGATGATTTCCCGATTTTTTTTTCAATTTTACAATTGCGAAAAAAGGAAAATAAAAAATTCGTGGTCATTTCTCGAGGACTTTTCGTTTGGTCGCCTTTATTACCATCACAACTTATTTTTTGGAAAGCAGAGTTTCAGGTGTAAAATGGCTGGGAATGTAACGCTTCTTACATTTTTTATGATTTTGGCACTTAGTGGTACCGTGTTTGGCGCTGTCAACTTTTACGAATGGCTGGAGAGGAATTCGTATTTATGTAAGTGATTTTGGGGTTGTAAGGCGGTAAAAATAGATTTTTTTGGTAAAATACGGCTCCTGCAGCATCAAAACTTTTATAAATTTTTCCGTTTTTTATGCATGCCGAACAAAAACAATATATCGGGTAGGGGAAAAAATTAAATTCGTGGAGGAATGATCACTTTCTTGTCCTGTGCGGAGGTTCATTTTAGCTTCAAATTGGCTTTTGGTACCTCTGAAATTATCTTTTGGGGCTTTGGTAGTTCAGCACCCCACAAAATGTACAGAGTGACCCAAAATAACGGAGACAAAATTTGATGGGTCCCACCGCGAAAGCTTTGTTGGGTTAGGCCAAATAAAATACAGTGGGGAAATCTCCACTCTTTTCTGTACCTATTGGATACTTTTGCTTGTTTGTGTTACCTCAGGGTCGGCTTTATTCGACATGTCAAGTGAGCGTGGTGCTATTTTGACTCTTTTTCGCAGTGGCAAACGCCAATGTGACATTGTTAGAATGCTTGGAGTGCCCAAGCAAACCGTTTCAAAGGCCGTAAAGCGATTCAGGGAGCTTGGCCACGACGGTGACCGTCCGAGGAAGGGAAGGAAACGCACCGTCAACACTACTCGGAATCGGAAGATCATCAAACAACGGGTTGAAAGGAATTCGTTGGTGTCCATGAGGAAAGTGGCCAAGGAAACCGGCCTAGCCCGTGAATCTGTTAGGCGTATAGCCAAAGAGCATCTACAGTTAACGCCTTACAAGCTCCGAAAAGGTCAATTGCTCACAGAGAAAAATAAGCAGGTACGGCTTGAAAGATGTAAGAATCTCATCCGTCGGCACGCAGGTAAGAACTCAAATGAAATTTTATTTTCAGATGAAAAACTGTTTTCCATTCAGCAGACCTACAACCCTCAAAATTCTCGTCGTTGGTCCTCAGACCGTCCAAAAGAGGATGCCATTGTTCCCCGACGCCAATACCCCCAGTCTTTGATGGTATGGGCAGGGATCTGCGCCTCGGGCAAAACTCCCTTAATTTTTGTTGAAAAAGGCGTTAAGATCAACGCAAAAGTGTACCAAAAGGACATTTTAGAAAAGGTGGTATTGCCATGGTCTGCTGAGCACTTTGGCCAGCGTAGATGGACTTTTCAACAGGATTCGGCCCCGGCACACAGCTCAAAATCCACTCAAGATTGGATTCGGGCCCATTTCCCGGATTTTATCCCTTCGAAGGAATGGCCCCCCTACTCTCCCGATCTCAACCCATTGGATTATTCGATTTGGTCGATCCTTGAAGCCCGAGCTTGTAGCAAGCCCCATGACAATATCGAGTCTCTGAAGGCTTCACTCATCAAGGAATGGAAGCGTTTGACTGCGGAAGAGGTGCGTGCCGCGGCCCTCAACTTCACCGAACGCTTGAAGCTCTGTGTCGGCGCACAAGGTGGCCACTTCGAAACTACTTAGATATGATATTTATGTTATGTAGTACTGTTAATTAAAAAGTTTGTTTGTTGTTATTTCAACCGGTAAATAAATATTAAATTAAAATCTTTTGTCTCCGTTATTTTGGGTCACCCTGTAGTTCAAACCCCCACTGTCTTGCCCATTTCACACCCCCATAATGAAAAAAATTAGAATAACACAAAAAATGCAAATTAGAGTCAAATGACCCACGGCGTTTTAGCTCAAACTCCCAGTTACCGTCCAAATTCGTCTTTGTGGTTCAGGCAACGGTTATCGTAGCCGAGAGAACCCAATCCCGAGTAGGTGCTTCAGATTGGATGAGGGGGTTTATACTGGGTCATGGGGGACTGAACTGGACTGGGTGGTTGTACTACCTTACCCCTATCTTTTATATGTACTAGTCCGTTCGCCAAGTCGCTGGAGTGATTTTCGCGACCTGCACTACACTGCTCGACAAAATTATAAATGCAGTTTTAAAATCGCTGTAACTTTTGTGTTTTTCAATAAAACTGCGCCATATTTGGCTCCAATATGTACCAGTGTACTATAAATCTTGTGCCAAAAAATTATTTTGGAAAGTTTCCGCAAGTTGGAAAAAAGTTGAAAAAACCGAGATTTTGGTGATTTTCTTTGCGACAAAATTCATTTCGAACTTCATTTATAATTTTGTCGAGCAGTGTACGCAAAAGCAAAATTTCACTTTTCACCGGGCAATTTCTTGCTTTGCCAATGGTTTTTTTCGGACTACGCTGGCACCCTGACTTTTCTCACACAGTGCGAACGCCAAAAATCAGTCCCGCGAGGCTGGTAAAAAACATTTTTTTTTGGTAAGATATGAAATTAGCAGGATCAAATCTATACAAAAAAATTTAATTTGTAGCTTTTTTGCACCGTGCAATAGGCTTTTTTCGGCCGTGACTTTTTCTGCACAGTGCATGTTGCAAAAATCATTCCAGCGACGTTACCAACGGACTAGTGCTTCCGAACTCGTTCGTTGCAGCCAGGTTTGGAAAAAGTTCCTTATTTTGGCCACAACAAATGTACTCAGCGAACTGCGCCCAAGCTTGGGCACTAAAGTTAGGAAAAAACGCTTCGACCTAGCTGGAACTGAATTACTATAATAGCTCTATAGTTTTAAGGGTACCTACGAAGGCTATGACGACTCGTTTAGTTCCATACGGAGGCAATAAGTTTAGTTCCGGACATGTTTCATCGTATAAAGTGTAAAATCACAGGCTGCAGCCGTTTTTGAAGGGTAAGGTGGTACGTAAAAAAGAAGATACCTCGCTAACTAAATCCACTGTCCGGGAATTGACAACGATGAATTGAGCGTGCAGGCTAAATTTGGGCCAGTTCCGACCAGTTTCCGCAAATTTATAAGTTGTGGCCAAAATAAGGAACTTTTACCCCATGTTTTGTTATAGAGAAGTTTTTTATGCCAAGATTGGACTTCTTATTCATAATTTTGACACTGAAAAATGTCTATGACTCATTTTCCAGGCGAATCCGGACTAAACCCCATAATCTTCCTAACCTTCGACGAGTCAGTTCAATTTGGCTGCGACACTCTTTGTGGCACTCCTTCGCTGACCAAACTTGCTTGCGGACGGAATCCCACCGATCTGGATTCAACGGCTCCAAGATGTTTTCCGAGTAAGTCCATGTCTTTCACGGCTCTTATTTACCAAGAAAAATGTTAAAGTTCTGCATGCGCGCCCTGAACTAGCCGTATGTAAAATTCTAAAATTTCGAACTAGCGATGTCCAGTAGCAGCCAAGGTGTTAAACGATCTTGTTTTTGAGAGAGCACACGAAATGCGGAGAGGCGGACAGACGAGAAAACGGGTTTTGGCTCTAACCGTTTTGTTTACGTTTTCGCCCTAAAAATCTTGTTTTTTTTATATCTTGCGCAATAATATTATAATATCTGCAAAGCGCAAACCACGAATTTTATAAATAGAAAGTAAGTCGCAAAATGGGCGATTCCAAAGCGAAGCAATTCTGAGGCGCGACAAATCCACATTGTTTTCCCGACGGACTGATACGTACATAAGATGAGTAATAACACCAGCAATACGTTTTTTAATAATTATTTTCAGTTGAGCAATGGTGTCTCGAAGGCTTTGAGGTTGAATTGGCCAATTTTGGGGAGAAATTGCCTAACCAGCGAATCGATGCTACGACAGAATTCAAAGGGCTGGTTATGATGAGTGCCAAGGACTTGGAAATGGGCTCAACTGACTTTGCAGTGGAGTCGACGTTAGAGACAGCTCCAATTCCTGAATTTACAATGCCATCAACAGCGGCGACCGAGCCGACAACAACTACTACGACTGCTACAACAATAACACCGCCTCCGACTACGACCACTACAACGAGGAGACCTACAACAACAACAACATCAACCACAACGACTACAACAACAACGACTCCTACGACAACAACTACAACTACAACAAGAAGACCTACTACAACGACAACCACCCCTGCCACAACAACTACAACAAGAAGGCCTACTACAACAACACGTACAACAACAACCACAACGACGCCTCCAACAACGACAAAGAGCATCTTTGCCACAGCCGAGCCTGCACAAAAAGTCTTTGCCAACGCTTTCAGGGAAAGGGTAGGTTTTTTGGTGGTATAAGTTAACTAGGAAATTACGCCAAGTGCGGCAATCATATACAGGGTGGGCCACTCGAAACGGGTAAGTTTTTTCTTTGGATTTCTCCGCGGAGACTCCGCCGATTTTCCCGAAATTTAGATTTTTCTGTAGCTGAGACCCGCCATTTTTAACCGGTTGAATTTGAAAAAAATATATTTTGAATTGACCTTTCTATGCCTTCCCAAAGTTTCGAAGAATTATTTTCGGGCCGAAACCGCTAAAACTTGAAAAATTTTTGGAATGATTTCGAAAACTTGGTCATTTTTTCGAGTTTTTGGGTGAAATTTTCTAAGTTTTACCTCAGATAACCATAAAATATTGTCGTAAAAACAATTTTATTTAACGACCTGATTATTAATATTTCTATCTGAGTTCGAAATGCCCATTTCCACTCGCAGAACAAACTTGTAGGAGCTTTGAGAGTCATGAGAGTCGTGAACAGCTCGAATTGCAGATCGTGAACATCATCTATCTTTAATCGGGCTGGGCTCCAAGCTTCAATGACTTGGAGCTGGGGCTCGTTGCCAATTGTGTGGAGTTTTGCAATCTTTTTGAAATCTTTTTTTTTGAATGTTCGTGCCCTAATGGTAATACAAACAACCCTCTTGTGGCTTTCAACTTGCTTTTAAACAAGTTTATGGCGAGCACTAGCAACTTTTTACTCCGCGATTTCCCCCAAAAAAAGCCAAAAATTTTCCAAGTCCGAGAAAGTCAATTGAAAATCATTCCAAAAATTTTCAAAGTTTTAGCGGTTTCGGCTCGAAAATAATTCTTCAAAACTTTGGGAAGGCATAGAAAGGTCAATTCAAAATATATTTTTTTCAAATTCAACCGGTTAAAAATGGCGGGCCTCAGCTACACAAAAATCTAAATTTCGGGAAAATCGGCGGAGTCTCCGCGGAGAAATCCAAAGAAAAAACTTACCCGTTTCGAGTGGCCCACCCTGTATATTTGATGAAACAAATTTAGAATACTTATTTCTAAGACATATAAAGGTGGTCATATAAGATCTCCGAATTTTTTTTCCCCAAATCGCGATTTTCGGTGCACAAAAAAGTCGACGCCCAAATCGAAAAATTGGCGTCAACTTAATTTTTTCAGCACCGAATTCCGAAATGCGGTGCTGACTTAAGGACTTAAGTCTTCGGTGCAGACTTAAGACTTTGTGCACTGATTTCGAAAAACTTAGAAAAATTTACCGAATTTCAGAATTCGGTGCCGAGAAAAAAATAAGTCGACGCCAATTCTTCGATTTGGGCGTCGACTTTTTTTGTACACCGAAAATCGCGATTTGGGGAAAAAAAATTCCGAGATCTTATATGACCACCTTTATATGCGAGACTCCTGGCTCGAGCGTTTCAGAAAAAGCCCAGATTTTTAGAGCGAAAACTGACAAAAATGTGGCACTTTCTGGCGGATTTTGTAATAGAAAGTTTTGTGGCTATTTCTATCATAGATGTAATGTTTCCACAAAAAAAAAACAAATTTTTTCCGCATTAAACTGGCAAAATTTTGGCCAAAAAGTGTTTTTCTCTCTTACCGCTCTCCTTTTCACGTACTCTCTCGGCCACAGAGACCGTTGAATATCTCGGCTGTCCCCGGAAAGCGCAAGATTTTACAAACCTTTCAGTTTCAGTAATTGATTTCTGATGCATTATTTTAGCCCTCGATATGAGACTCTTGGGAGCCTCTAAAATTGCTCATTATTATAGGTTTTACTGAACATTTATATTCCTTTACATTTTCAGCTTCTAAGCTCCAAGTCCACCGACTGTTTCGATGGTGACGTCGCTTGTGATTTTTGGTTCAAGACCGGTGAATGTGAGAAGAATCCGAAGTACATGCATTTGGTTTGTCGGAAAGCCTGTGGAAGATGTCTTCCGCCGGACTCGAATGATCTTCGACGACGAACATAGAAATCTCAGTTTTTTCATGGTTTATAATGTATTTTTTGTTTTTTATGTAAAATATTAGATTGAATCAATCTTTTGCAAAACAGTTTTAAAATTCAGACATCGTTGGAAGGCGTTAGAAAGGTCGAGTGAAGTCTTCCACTCACGTGGGTCAAGTGTTCCTTTCGTAGAAAGTGTTGAAATCAATTTTTGTACGTTTTTTTTGGTTTGGTGTCAAAGCTCTCACTATTGTGTTAAGTTTTCCGAGTTTGGGTGAAGTGTTCTCTTCCTGAGTCAAGTGTTTCCCTGGTTGGCCAGATGTCGCCTTGCTGGTAAAATTTGGCCGAAATTAGTCTGCTATAATCTTTTCGTCAACTGTTACAAATTTAGAAGCCAATTAGCGCTTGAGTCAAGTCTTCCACTAACTTGGGTCAAGTGTTCTCTTCATAGTAAACGTCGCAAATCAAGTTTAGTCCGTTTTTTGGTTTGATGTGAAGTGTCTCACTGTTGGGTAATGTTTTCCGAGTTTGAGTCAAGTGTTCTCTTCTTGAGTCAAGTGTTTCCCTAGTTGGCCAGACGTTGCCTTGCTGGTAAAATTTGGCCAAAATTAGTCTTCTATAATTCTTGAGTCAACTGTTACATACTTAGAAGCCAATTAGCGCTTGAGTCAAGTCTTTCCGTGACTTGGGTCAACTGTTTCCCTCGGATTTAAAATATCGAGATAACAAATAAGAAATTTTATAAACACAATAATAAGCGCCATTATGCTATGGGATAACTATTAATTCATTTTTCTTTCAAACTGTCAGATCCTTGCTTTTCTGATTAACTTTCTCTGCTCCATCCTTCTTCTTCTCAGTCTCTTTGCCCTTCTTCGACTTCTTCGTCGTGCTTTCGTTTTGAGTCTTGGCCATTACGTCGGCACTCTTCTTCTTGTTCTTACTTCCTTTTTCATCTTCGTTTTGGGTCTTGGCCATTCCGTCGGCACTTTTCTTCTTACTCTTACTCGCCTTTTCACCATCCTTCTTCGATCTTTTCGTGCTTTCATTTTGAGTCTTGGCCAACTTCTCAGCACTCTTCTTCTTGTTCTTACTTCCTTTCTCATCTTCGTTTTGAGTCTTGGCCAACTTTTCAACAGTCTTGTTCTTGCTCTTACTTCCCTTTTCGCCTTCTCTCTTCGATTTCTTCGTACTTTCATTTTGAGTTGGGGCCATCTTCTCCACGCTCTTCTTCCTGCTCTTACTGCCCTTTGCAACTTCTTTTTTCGACTTCTTCGTGCTTTCGTTTTGAGTTGTAGCCACTTTATCGACACTTTTCTTCCTACTCTTGCTTTTCTTTCCATTTCCTTTCTTCGACTTTTGCGTTTGTTTCTCCTCCAAATCTTTGGACTGCGTTTTCTCTACCTTCAAAATTTCGTCTGGTTTTCCCACCGTCTCAGAACTACAGGGCAGCCAGAGTCCTCGAGCAAATGCAATATTCTGCAAGAGTGTTTGGAGATATGAGTAATCAGGGGTCGAATAATAGGAGAGTTTGTCGATATAATGAGCAAATTTCGTGAGTTCCGGAGGGAATTTGCGGAGAAGAGTCACTGAAAACGTCAATATTAAACTGTTTTTTGGTTTGGTGTCAAGTCTCACAATTTTGGGTCAAGTTTTCCGCTTGTGGGTCAAGTCTTTCCCTGCTGAGTCATGTGTTTCTCTCTTGAGAAAAGTGTCCTTCTACATCACCCAAAGTATATCTACTGCGATTTTAGTCAAATATTTCCTATCTGAGACAACTCTCCCCCTAAATGTGTCAACTCTTCCCCAAACACCCAATTTCCTTCCCAACTCACATTCATCAATGAAAAGCTTCTGTTTCAGCGTCAAAATGACTTCAATGTCCTTCTCAGTCCACCAGAAAAGTGCTTGGACATTGAAGACTTGCAAAATTGTATAGAAAAGTGATTCCAAATCGTCTTTTCGGCACTGCTCTCTCAATCTGAGGGCATTTCTGGACGCGTAGCGCAAAGTCCCAACTAATTTGACGATTGGTCGAGGTTTTCTTGAAAATGAAGTTATTAAGAAGCATTTCCAATAATTTTACAGCTTAAATTGGACGAAAAATCATCGAAAAAAACAGTTGACCCAAAAGAGTCAAGTGTTCCCCTCGTCGTGGGACAGTTGACACCGCCGGTGGAAACCTTCCCCTAAACGTTAAATCACTGAAATTACAGTAAAATATTGTCTCAACTACCTTGGTACTCCACTCAGCTCCTTGTGAACAAATCTTCTGGCACATCCAAAATCGAACAGTACTACAGCTCCATATTGCCGGCCAATTCCTAATGCAAAATTATTCGGTTTGACGTCTCGATGGATGAATCCCATATGATGGAGTTGTGATATCGCTTCAAGGCATTGAATTGAAATTTTCACCGCTTTATCTATCGTGTAATTGGAATCCGGTTGCTGGCGTTGAATTTCGCTGATCGTACGGCCCACCATCGACATTATTACAAACTTGAATTCGTAGTTTTGCCCTGAAAAAATGCAGAATAAAAAAAATAAGGTCGGAAATTCAAAGAATCGGAAATTTTTCTATGAAGAGAAGACTTGACCCAAAACGTGAAAATATCTGGGTTCTTTTATTTTGAACATTTCGTCGGTTTTAAAATACGCTCTCTGAAACCCTCATTATAAAAATAGGGGCTTCTTTGTTTACAGACCCAAATTTTCTTTGAGGGGAACACTTGACTCAAAAATCAAAAACTCATCGAAAACGGTAAAAAAATACTTTTAAAATATGAAATACAATTAATCTACACTGTATTGCTCAGTTAAAACATCAACTACAAAATATTTTTCGAAATGGGTCAAGTCTTCCCCTCAAAATTAAAAACCGAGAAAATCCCGAAAACTTTTTTCCCCTCTTACCATAACTGAGAAGTCTGGCAAAATGAGCTCTTCGCCACTCCGGCAGTTGCGCAACGCCAGTCAAAATCAGCACTTCCAACGCTAGTCTTTGCCTGGAACTCTCCACGTCTTGCCGCTCGATTTTCATGGCCGCTACAGTATTCTCCTTGACATTTCTCACCATATAAACATCGCCATAGCCGCCGGATCCGAGGAGTTGGCAGATCTGGAAAGGTAAAATACGTCCTCTTTCGCTTGCCTACATTACTTTGCAAAATCGCTCAAAACAATTTCAAATTAAGATTTAGGACAAGAATACTGCATTTCAGCTTACTTCAAAAGCTCCCTGAGCCGACTGCACCACTGAGCCACGATTGATAACGTCTTTATCCGTCTTTTTATCCGGTTCAGCTTCATTTGCCTGATCTTTTTCAATATTTTTGGACATTTCAAGCGGAAAAGCGACCGATCGTCGGAATATTAAACAAAAAATAAAGGTTGCATATTTTACCAAGAAATTAGCTTTTTTATCTTAAAAATTTGAAATTTTTTTATAAATTTTTTAAATTTGATACCTACTACAATATATTGCAATATAAAGCTCAAAAAAATTTTGTTGATACTCCTTTTTAATGCATGAGGTATTCTGCTAGTTAAAATACATTTCAGAGAAGAGATAATTACAGTCAAAATAACAAAAATCCGATTACAGTAATTCACATACCTAAGTTACGCGTCCCAGCACGAAATTCAGGCAACTTTTGGCCAAATGAACCATATTGCGTTGCGGAATTCTGTTTCCGACCATTCCCAATTTCTCCTCATCAAATTAGTGATGTTTTCACTTGATGGCAAATGTTTTTGCCACTTTTTCACTCCGTTTTTTTCAGTTTATATTATCCATGACACCTCTTGTCTTAATATCAAAAATTTTCAGCTCAAATGCAGGTCTTTCAATAAAAATATGTTTGGTTTTTCAACCTTGTGTTTACAAGGTCGAGTGATCAACAAAAAAATGATTGAATAGCCGGGATGACCTAGTTCAGAATGCAATTTTAGGATGTTTAGCTTTAGCAGGTCAGATTATGAAATAATTTGTTTTATTTCCAGCCAGCTGGAGCTGTTTTTATGAATTTAGATCCGGGAAAAGATAAGATTTTGTTTGTGCATCTGGTTATTCCGAAATTTCTGCGGTTTCTACATCAGGTGCCTGGGATTTTGATACAAACATCTGATCAGGTGTCTAGTATAATATCGACGACTGCAAACTTAATTTTGCTAAAAATCTTGTTTTCCATTGTGCTTTAGACAGTCCATCTGACCTTTAGCCACTGTATAAACATCGGTCACACTCGTTCGCCGGTGGTCTGGGCGATAATCGCCCGAAAGTTGATATTGGATGTGTAAACAAACGCCAAAACTTTCTATTTTTGTGAAAATCTCGATGTTTATGTGGGTCTGGGGTCACCATTCGTCTAAATAGCGGTCGGCGGAGCAAAATGGAGGTGTTGCGATCTTGGGATTATCAAATTTTGGTCGTTTACTTGATCTAGTGTAATGTTGGGGGAAATTGAGATATTGATAGAGCAAGTTAGAAGGAAAAATTCGTCCGGAATATAGACTGGACCTTGTACAGTGGGAGACCTGATCCACTGGCAAAAAACGTACCATTTTGCATCCAGGAAGTATCACAAAATGTGGCAAAATACCTCCCTCTCCAAATGAAAAAACTCCGGGTTCAAAAGCGCGCTTTTTTCACTTGGAGGGAGAGGCGTTTTGCTACATTTTTTGATACTTCCCGGATGAAAATGATACGCTTTTTGCCACTGGATCAGGTCCTTTATTGTATAAGGTCTCAAAAACAAGTTCACATCAGAAAATCAAGTGGAAGATGGTAAAACGATCAATTCTTTGATCATCATCACCTGCTGACGCAGTGTAATATAAAAAGTGGATTCACTAATCTCCCACTGTCAATCCCGACGGATCTCTTTGTCTAATCCCTTCCCAAACCCCTGTGTCGTCGAATAATAGCCATTCTGACCTTTGTCAGCCCGATTTTGCATCATTTCAACTCCCATTTTCATCGACCTCCTTGAAAACCTAATACACCTGTCGTTTCGCGAGCAAAAACCATCTCCGCCGGCGTCTCGGGAGGCGTCGCGTTGAGTGGGAAGATTGAGTGGAACCTCGAGAACAGGGTCATGGTCATTCGGTCCTATAAAAAAGGCCTCCGCGACCCGGACAGCGGGACGAAGGAGGCGAGGGACGCGAAAGTTGTGACGTGGCACTATTTTTTCGCTCCTTCCCCGTTTTTTCATCAGTCCAACGCGAATGCCTTGCGGTGTGCGGGTCATTTGCCGGTGTAGGCTTTCCAGGGTACAGTGCGGTCTGGGCGAGAGTGGGGTAAAACTTGAGAGACTTTTGGGGAATTAGAGGTGTTTACGTCTTGTTGTGTCCAATTTTAGTGGTTCTTTGAACGTTTTCAAGGTAAAATTGAATAGAAAAAGCTGAATCAGAGTCCATTCTTTCTATTGAATATTATTTTGAGTCAGTTTTACCCGATATTTTAAGAAAAATTACCTAAAATATCAAAGTTGCCATGGATAATATAAATTTTTGGTTGAATGCGAAGGTTTTTGTCTTTTGATGTTTTCTCGTTATTTCTAAGGTTTGATAATTGTATTTTCTGGCATGTACCGTCAAATTCACTGTTTTTTCCCGTGTTTTCTCACATCAGATATAACTTTAGATAACATCTTCAATTTTTCGAAATTTCAGGATGAAGTCACTAGTCTGCTTGGCCGTTGTGGCCTTTTTCGCCCTCGCCCAGGCCAAGGACACGATCACCGTCACCAAGAAGGCCTACTTCGACATCGAAATCGGAGGTGAGAAGAAGGGCCGCGTTGTGATCGGACTTTTCGGTGATGTCGTCCCCAAGACCGCCACCAACTTCCTCGAACTTGCCAAGGGATCTAAGGGATACGGATACAAGGGCAGCAAATTCCACCGTGTCATCAAGGACTTCATGATCCAGGGTAAGAGTTTATTTGTTTTTCTTGGTTTAGGTTGATGGATACTATTAGAAAATTGAATGATGTGCAAAAAGTAGACGTACTACCGCTATGAAATTTACTGTAGAGCTTAATAATGGTGTTGGGAAGCTAACAAACATATTTGCTTTTGTAGGAACAGTTTAATTTTTGCAAACAGGGTCAAGTTATGTTGACCATGGATAACATCAAAAATTGATTATATTTTTATTTTTTTGCAGATTCATTCTGGAAAATATTTTGGCATAGGGTTTAAAAAGACCTTGGAAAGCTTAATAATGATCTTTCGTTGAATTATATTCTCCGTAGACATCAAAAATTATAATTTCCTTATCTTAGGTGGTGACTTCACCCGTGGTGACGGAACTGGCGGCAAATCCATCTATGGCGAACGTTTCCCCGATGAGAACTTCGAACTCTCTCATTACGGCCCCGGATTCCTCTCCATGGCGAACGCCGGACGTGACACCAACGGCTCTCAATTCTTCATCACCACCGTCAAGACCCCATGGTTGGACGGTCGCCACGTCGTGTTCGGCAAGGTCCTCGAAGGCTTCGACATTGTGCGCGCCATCGAGAACGGCCGCACCCTGCCCGGAGATCGCCCAGAACGCGATGTTGTGATCGCTGACTCCGGCGAAATCCCCACCGAACCCTTCGAGGTCAGCAAGGACGGATCCAACTAGATGATATCCTCAAAACGTGTGCTATCCGGATATTCTGGAGCATTTATAAGATATTTGTTGTGGTTAATTAGCAGTTTGACTGGGAGTTGGGTCAAAAGTTTGGATTTGACAAGAAAATTTTTGGGTTTTCTCAATTATTTTCAGGTTGAATCCGAATTATTAGCCCAAATCCGGGTCTTATAATAATTAGTCTATTAAGTTAAGCCCCAGGCTAGTCCTGTATCTCGTTTTTACCAAAAACTTTTTGTAATTAGAATCGTTTTTATTATAAAGTAAAGTAAAATACAAAAAAATGTTTGTTTTCATTTCAAATTTGGCATGAAAGAATACTTGTGAGAGTAATGTCGCCTTCTGGGAGTGGGAAACGTATTTTAGAACGGGTTCGGCTGGGTTTAGGCCAAGGGATTGCAGTTTTTGAGGTTGGCGAGCTGCGCCCAGGGTTGGTTGTAAAATTTAGGTAGAAAAGGGGATTTTTAATCGAAATGGCTTAACAGGAGCTCCATAATGAAATTGGAGCAGTTAAGATTTTTTTAAATTGCCTTGGCCATATCAGAATGCTAAAAATTCCGGCCGAAAACACCTTTGATCGTATAAAATGTCCCAAAACACGTTTCCCACCCGCAATTGAGAAGAGTTTGATTGTGGACTAGCGCGAGTATTTGTATGAGACGTGACACGTGTTTCCAAGACGTAGAACTTATCAATATTACTGTATAAACGAAGAGGCAGAGGTAATCACAAGTTTGGACCTACACGCAATGACCTGATAACAATGATACGTTATAGAGAAAAGGTATTAGTTGCAGCAATGTGTACAATCGACCGAGTGCACGTTTTTTCGAGGGCTCTCCTTTTGTTTGAGGGGTGACTTCGAGAGCATTTTGAGTACAGTATCCAAGATGACCATGGGTAATATAATGATGTCGAAATGAGAGGGATTTGAGTTAGTAGTTGTCCCGGTCCGTGTTGAATACCCTGAAAATTCATTGTAGAATATTTGCATCGAGATTTTAGACGCTGAATTTTGAATAGCAATAAAATAAAAAAGATTTTTTGCTCTAGATGGAGCTCAAGAAAAAAAAAGAAAATTTCATCCAAAAAATCGGTCAGAATTGGACTAGTATTGATTACTATAAATAGTTTACGACCTGCAGATGTTGTATACGCCAAAAAAACTTTACTTTATCTCTCGCACAGTGCAAAAATTATAAAAATTGAAAATTGCACAGTGCAAAAAATACAATGACGGACCTGATCCAGTGTCAAAAAACGTACCATTTTGCACCCGGGAAGTATCAAAAATATGGCCAAATGCTTCCCTCTCCTAGTGAAAAAACATCGTTTTGAAGGGCGCGCCCTTTCCCTCACAAAAAGATTTTTTGAAATCGGAGTTTTTTTCACTTGGAGAGGGAAGCATTTTGCCACATTTTTGACACTTCCTACGCCAAAATTTTTTCAAGTTTTCTCTCGCACAGTGCAAAAATTAAAAAAATTAAAAAATTGCACAGTGCAGAAAACACAGTGACGGACCAATGGCAAAAAACGTACCATTTTGCATCCGGGAAGTATCAAAAATGTGGCAAAATGCATCCCTCTCCAAGTGAAAAAACTTCGTTTTGTAGGGCTCCCACGCAAAAAGAGCGGGCGCGCTTTTGAAATCGGAGTTATTTCACTTGGAGAGGGAAGCATTTTGCCACATTTTTAATACTTCCCCGATGCAAAATAGTACCGTTTTTGCCACTGGTCCCCCACTGTTCAAGTCCCTTACCAATTGATGAGATTGTCCTGAAAAACGTCCGGCTCCTTCGCTGTGAACGTCCAATCATTGTCAGTGCTGGTGCAATTACTCGGCAGTTCGGCGGCGAAAAAGTCCTGATCCAGGCTTCGAATGCTCTCTTTGGTCAATAATTTGGCCACATCGTCGCCATTCGCGGTCTCCGGGAAAATGTGATGCAACAAGGCCTTGTTGAAGTTGTATTGCTCCCATTCGAAGTAGCGCTCGTCCACGTGGTTGACGTTGACATCCGCATTATGTTGTTCCGGGATTTGACAGGTGTCATCTGAAGGAAATTTATTTTTTTTTGGGCTTGTTGATGAAAAGAGGATCAAATCTAAGTTATGGCTATAAAAATAGAGGCTATTTGGTTGTTTTACCTCCGAGATTTCCGAGGTTTTTTGGACCAAAAAATGTTTTCGTGGTGAGACCTAAAATTTTTTTAAAAATGTAAATTTCTTCAAAATATTGCAAATGTATTACTTTTCGAGTATTTTTATCCAATTTTAGACTGAAATTTTTTCTAAACACGCAAGTCGCCTTACCCAAATAGACCAAAAATTTTTCGTACGACTGTTGCGTGATGTATGCCTGTTTGGTTAGAGGCTGACGCAGAGCTGCCTCTTTGAATCTGAAAATGAAATGAAAGTTATTAAAAGCGTGAAAGATTTCAAAGAGAAGCAAAATTTTGAAAATTCAAAAAAAATTTTTTTTTTCTTTTGGTATGGAAAATTTGCACCGGGCAGATAAAAAAATTTGGGGGAAAAAATATCAAAAAATTGCGCTGTACGGGAAAAAGTTTTTTCTGAAGGCACTGTGCAATCAGAAAAAAATCTGAAATTTGCACGGTGCAATCATTTTTTGGCAGAAAATGCGTAAAAAATCCGAAAAATTGGGAAAAAGTTCCTTATTTTGGCCACAACAAATGTACTCCGCGAACTGCGCCCAAGCTTGGGCACTAAAGTAAGGAAAAAACGCTTCGACCCAGCTGGCACTGAATTACTATAATATCTCTATAGTTTTAAGGGTACCTACGAAGGCTGTGACGACTCATTTAGTTCCATACGGAGGCAATAAATTTAGTTCCGGACATGTTTCATCGTATAAAGTGTAAAATCACAGGCTGCAGCCGTTTTTGAAGGGTAAGGTGGTACGTAAAAAAGAAGGTACCTCACTAACTAAATCCGCTGTCCGGGCATTGACAACGATGAATTGAGCGTGCACGCTAAATTTGGGCTAATTCCGACCAGTTTCCGCAAAGTTATAAGTTGTGGCCAAAATAAGGAACTTTTACCAAAAATTGCACAGTGCCATCAAAGAAATTTTTTTTTATATAAAAATTTCTCAAAATAAAATTTTTTGCTGGCAATCTGTCTGTAAAATAATGAGCCCAATGTCGCTGCGCCAATCGCTGAAGTGAAAAGCAATTTGATTTTGCCGCGACACAGCTCATTTTCCCTGCGGCGATGCGACTTCCGATGCGACAGACTGCTCATTATTTTCCCGACAGACTGCAACCAAAAACGACGAAAAAAAATTTAGCTTCAACTTACGACAAGCTGGTCGTTTCAAGGAACTGTTCGATGAGACAAAGCCAGAACAAAATTAGATTCAAGCATTTCTGCATAGTTGCCACTACAAATGGCGATAAATCATTGTTCCCGCTTGTGATCAAACCCACATTTTCTGAAACGGAACGATGTCAACATAGGCGGGCGATAAGATAACAAATGAAACGGGGGGAAACGCGACAACGTGTGCGGGAGAAAAAAAAGTTTCAGTGAAATTTCCACGGGGCATTCGAAGTAAGGAGTTTTTTTTCAATATAGACAATGTTTGGAGAGGGGTTTTGACTGGGAATTTGTCAGCTGATCAAAAATTTTTGCGTGGATTTTGATTTTAAAACCAAATTTCAAAGTTTTTTGTATGAAATTTTCGACGTAGACTTGTTTATTTAGCTGTTTATGACCGAAAATGGTAAAAAAACTTCGATATTTTTTCAAATTCAAAAAACAATTTTTTTTTATCTTATAAAATGAAGCTCTATACAAGTCCATAAGTAAATTATATTCGGTAAAGTCATCATTTTCAGCTAGAAAAGTACGAAAAATCAAAAAAAATATATTTTAAGTCATCATTTTCAGCCTATACTGTAATGTCAGCATTTTCAGCCAGAAAAATACGAAAAATCAAAGAAAATATATTTTAAGTCATCATTTTCAGCCTATACTGTAAAGTCATCATTTTCAGCCAGAAAAATACGAAAAATCAAAAAAAAAATACTGTAAGTCATCATTTTCAGCTTATACTGTAAAGCCGGCATTTTCAGCCAGAAAAATACGAAAAATCGAAAAAAAAATTATATTGTAAGTCATCATTTTCAGCCTATATGTACTGTCAAGTCGGCATTTTCAGCCAGAAAAGCACGAAAAATCAAAAAAAAAGTTTATATTATAAGAATCATTTTCAGCCTACACTGTAAAGTCATCATAGTTTTAGCGGCGTAACTTCATTTTCATCTAGAAAAGAACGAAAATTTTTTAAAATATATATATTACATACACTGTGAGGTCGCCATATGAGGGTTTTATGGCCAATCAAAAAAGTCGTAAAAGTGAAAATCCCAGACGGCGTCTTTGCTCTCTTTTTCGGACATTGATCAAAGTTCCGCTGGAAGCGTCTATTGAGTCGCGAAAAAAACTAGTGAGAAAAGGAAGTAAAATGAAAAGAATAGCTGAAACAGATCCGAAAAAAGTTTTCACAATGTTTTTGAAACACCTTGTACTAGTGGGGTCGAAAAAATTTTAAGAAAAAATCAGATTTTACCATGCAAAAATAGAAAAACCAACAGAAAATTTGAGTGCCGTAAAGGATTTCCTTGTAAAATTTTTAGGGGAAAAAGTGTAATCTATACAGAGTTAGGGCGTAAAATTTAAAAAAGATCTGAGAGACTGGTTTCCTGAGAAAGTCTAAAAGCACTACTTCTTTTCAGAAATGCATAGACTTTTCGTCGCGTTTTGCGTCTTTTCGTAATTTGCGGGGCCAATTTTGAACCATCTTGCACATATTTTATGTCGCCCTTGAAAAATTCTGACAGGGGAAATACCCCAAGTGCGACGATCAGATTTTGATGAAACTTGGCGCAAATTTAGAATAATTTTTTAAAAAATATATGCGAGAATTCTACCTCGCGCTTTCCAGAAACAACCGAGATTTTTAGATCGAAAGTCGGCGAAAATTTAGGATTTTTTGTCGAATTTCGGCACGGAAAGTTTCATGCCTATTTCTACCGTAAAGGATAATGTTTCTACAAAAATTCAAAATTTTCCGCACGAAACTGCCAAAGTTACGGCCAAAAAGCCCTTTTCTTTCTGACCGCTTTCCACGTTTAGCGTACTGTCTCGGCGGCAAAAATCGTTTGATATCTCGGCGGCGCACGTCAAATTTGCCAAAAAAAGACGCGAAAAGACGTTTTGTCGGGGAAGAAATGGGGAATTTTTGGGGCGAGAGAGTACGCTTTTGTGTGCCTTTTTTCTCTCTTTCTCTGGAAATCAAGACGAAATGTAAAAAACCGATAGCGAAGAGTCTATTCCGGTCACCGGACTCCTCAGTTTGACGTGCGGCGCCCGCAAAGCGCGAGCTAAAACTTTCAGGAATTGATATTTAGTCCACGCCCGACATGTGTACAAAATTTAAAGAAAATCTGATTGTAAGCGTCGCACTTGGAGTACTTCCCCTGTCAGTTGAAAAAAGCTTTCTAAGAAAAAGCTTATATTCCAATGCACGTCAAACTGAGATAAGCTAATACAGTCCGGTTAATGGGTTGGCAATTTGCCAAAAAAAGACGCGAAAAAACGTTTTGTCGGGGAAGAAATGGGGAATTTTTGGGGCGAGAGAGTACGCTTTTGCGTGTCTTTTTTCTCTCTTTCTCTGCGAAATCAAGGCTAAGTGTAAAAAACCGATAGCGAAGAGTCGTTTCCGGTCACCGGACTCCTCAGTTTGACGTGCAATGTACAGTGTAAAATGTTAAACGCACGGTGCGGTCCCGCGAGATAAAGCCCTGAAAAAAGCCTATTGAAAAAGCGTAGTGAAAGTACATATAACAGTTCCCACTGTCATTTTCGTAATTCTCGAATCAATTGACCATGGGAAGGACGGGAAGGACGGCACAACAAGCGCGGCAAACCGAGCAGAACGGGATGAAAATGACGTTCGGTGAAGGCCCTCGCAAAACGGAGAGCTTTCCGGGGAACAGAAGAGAGGAGCGATTCTCAAATCCCCATGGGGGATATTTCTTCCTATTTTCTCGAACAAACGCAAATAGCTCAATGTTTTTGGAGGGTTGGAAAAGAAGGAGACTTCTTTATTAGTTCCGCCAAAAAAAGGTTTCAAAATTTTATTAGTCTGTCGGGAAAATAGTGAGCATAAGGTCGCTTCGCCGATCATGTCGCTGAAGTGAAAAGCAATTTGATTTTGCCGCGACACAATTTGATTTCGTCGGCGGCAATGCGATTTTCGATGCGACAGAGTGCTCATTATTTTCCCGGCGGACTGATAACGCGAGTAAATTTATTTATTGCTTTGGAATTTTGGGACTTTTTATTTATTTAGGAGGACCCCTAGACATGCTCAAGGAGCGGAAAAAGTGGACCCGGTCCGTTTAAAATTTGCTTCGGTCTGGCTTGCAGAGCCATTCTAACAAGGGAAGTACCCCAAGTGCGACGCTCAGATTTTCTTTAAATTTTGCACACACGTCGCGAATAGACTAAATATCAATTCCTGAAAGTTTTAGCTCGCGCTTTGCAGGCGCCGCCGAGATATCGAACGATTTTTGCCGCCGAGAGAGCACGCTAAACGTGGAGAGCGGTCAGAGAGGAAAACGCTTTTTGGCCATAACTTTGGCAGTTTCGTGCGGAAAAATTTGATTTTTTGTAGAAACATTAACCTTTACGGTAGAAATAGACATGAAACTTTTCGTGCCGAAATTCGGCAAAAAGCCGTGATTTTTCGCCGACTTTCGATCTAAAAATCTCGGTTGTTTCTGCAAAGCGCGAGCTAGGATTCTCGCACATATCTTAGAAGAAATTATTCTAAATTTGTTCCAAGTTTCATTAAAATCTGAGCGTCGCACTTGGGGTACTTCCCCTGTAAGGACCCTTGTTCCCTACTCTCTGTTTTGCTTCAAATTTTATCTGAATACTTTACATAACATTGCCGCAAACCATTCCCTGAAGACTTTAGCTCACGCTTTGCGAGTTCAGCCGAGATATTCAATCATCTTTTTTGGAGAGCGTACGCAAAATGAGGAGAGTCTGCCAAGCAAAAAAGTTTTTTTTAGTTTTACCTCAACGAATTTTGCTTGGAAAACAGTGATTTTTTCGAGAAAATTTGCGCTACAAACTAGAAATAGATAAAACTTGGAGCCCTCAAATCACAAGAAAATCATTTTTTTGGATTTCAATCAAATCTTTAACCTAAAAATCGGTATGATTTCAGCATAACGGAAGCTGAAAATTTTCCAGATGTCATAAAAATTCAATTCTTAATTCACGGCATGAGCTGTTTTTTCGAAGCCAAAGCACCCGATAAACAACTCGAAGACCTTCTCGTTGGCTATGCACGGCTTGCCAGCGCTCAATAAAACTTGCACTTGGCTGTTTTCCCACCGAAGTAAACAGCTCTTGCCCTGGCTCCAGCATGAAAAAAAAAACTGTTTTTACGATAAAAAGTGGGAGATTGCTCGGACAAAAATGCGGTTGTAAACAGATTAACTCTACAAAGGGGCCGAAAGTAGGGATGCTGACAGTGAAATTAGGGGAAATACGTAGATAAAAGGTAAAATACGTTATGTTTTTCAATGAAGTATCATAAAAAAACTTTTTGAATATCTCATTTTCAGGGAATAATTGACAGTCGCCAACGATTATGCGAGCAAACTTTCTAACGAAATCTAAGCGTTTCACTGCATTATGAGTCAAGTTTTCCCCATATTTTTATTTTTGCCAGAGTTTCATTCAAAGCCTTGCTATTTCCAATACCAATCCGATAAAATGCTTACTTTTTTAAAACGTAAAACTCGACTTTGAAGATTCTTCGAAGAAAAGAGGAGCTCGGCTTTTGGCCTCATCAAAACCCCAGACAATGGAAGTAGCATTGTAGACAACCCGGACTTTCAACGGTCCCCTACACCTGTTTTAATTGTGTAATTCCGAATTCGAACCCTATTCTGTCCTTTCAAGTGCTATTTGAAGTAAAACAGATGTCAGGAGAATTTTGACCAATCATCATGGCAAATTTGTCACGTAATCTTACAAGGGAAGTCGTTCAGATCGCAAATGAGTTGAGCTATGGGACCGGTATATTCTGATTCTCCATATTTCAAAACGGTAAGAGCTAAAACAGTTTTTGCGTCTGGGCCCTAGTTTTCGAGAAAATCGACCGTAAAGTTTGATCGGAAACCCCGCTAAATAGTCTTCGCTCCGAAAGACCTTTGGATCAAGAGCCAAATGGCGGAGGGCGAGTGAAAACGCTCTCAAAATTCTTTTGTCCGGGATGCCGAGGAAGGTTCGAGTCCCGCTAGGCTCAAACCCATGTTCAAAGAGCTTTGATATTAAAAATGATAAAAAA